ATAATTTCCATGTACATAATAATTTATTTCGTCTTAACTAATTTGTTACTTCAAAAAAAGTTTGATATTCGATCTGTTGGATTTTGTTGCGGAAAGTATTGTACTGATTGCCAACACATGTTTTAATCCGTAAATATTGTAACAAAAAACGCTTTTAATTAAAACGATTTAAATGCGATTCAAAGAAAATAAATGTCTAAGTGCCTCACAATTAGTCATGAAAATATATTTGTATCTTTTAAAAACCCGACTAGGTAGATTGTTCTCGTTATTATTCATCTGCTGGTAGGAACGGCAAAGAACAAAGATGGTTTGTCCTCTACAAAGACGGTATTAGCAGGTGACAAGACAATTTCAAAGAAAATGTACATTTTTCTTCTTAAAGAAAATAAAAAGTTATTAAAGTAACCGCTTTTACTTTAATACATTTTATTTTCTTTTTGTTACTAAAAAAAGTTTTACGCTTAAAATTTCAATTAACAAAATGTTCCGATCAATTACATGGCCATTTCGGGCCATAACATGGCACAGTGAAACACCGTTTAATTTAACTGGTTCTCAAGCGTCATACACTCGTCGCCATGAATTCCCATTGGGGTTTTCCGAACGTTATAAAAAAAGAACATCTTAAGTAAGGTAAAGTCAATTCGTACATGTTTTGATAAATTTTGATTAAAACAACCAGTTGTTGCCAAAAAATTTTTTTTTTACACTATTGAATCAGAAAGATGTATCTGGAAATATATTTTTTTTGTAGAATAGAAGAAACCTTTTATTTTTATTTTGCCTCTTCATGAAATTTTAGTAGATATACCTGGATTTCAGGTGTTTAAATATATTACGAGCACACGACCTAAACTAAGGAAGCATTCACTAGACATATATTAGAAGTACCTACTACATTACGCAGACTTAACTCAGAGATGAGACACAAGATCTGTCTGCATAATATTTCACAATAAACAACTCAAAATATTAGTTTATTATTTCAACGCGTCCCATGCGGTGGTGTGCTTGTGTCATTTAAATCCTAAATACGTTCAATTTCCTCATTTCGTCAATGGTATCGGGCTTTAATAAAACAAATCAGTGTGTCACAATATTAAACTGAAATTAATATCTATAAACTACTAATAATCTTTTGTGTGTGTAAAATTGTTAATTAAAAAGACAATTTAAATATAGACTTGTCTATGTTCAGCTGTGCAGAGAAAAGTTTGATTCCGATGTCAATTGTTTTTTTTTAATTTCGGTAAGTGTACCTACATATTAAATAATTGCCATATTCGAATATGTCGAGATGTAAGATGGTGAAAAACTTAAATAAATTTTTATTTGTTTATTTTTCGGAATTCTCTCAGAATAGATACTTAGATTTTATTATCTGTAAACTTTGGCGGCAATTGTCGCTTGTAAAAGCCCATGCTTATTAACAAGAATAATAAGTTCATAACCATGAATCACGATGGCTAGGACCTCCGTCGTACAGACGTCGTTAACCGGCTACCTACCTTAAAGCTTCAATTCACTTCATACGGAGCCAATATGCAACCGGTTATCTGCTTGACAGTAAATACTGTCTGTGTTTGTTTACTGAAGCTTGAAAACAACTTTTGATTTGTTGCAAGATGAATATTGAATGAGGAGATGGCTGTATTTGCAAATATATTGATAATTTGACAACAAAATTACAGGATAAGTTTCAAAATAAGGAAAATGAGACTCTATCTCTACCGGTTCCAGCTGAAAGGACATTTATAATGTAGCACGCCCGAAAATTCTCCAAGAGTACCTTGGATATTTTCGTTATTTACACATTTTATTACGTATATAATTTCACTCATATTACCTAGTCTATTAATAAAACCTGGCAGCTCACAATCGCTTAACTAATACCAGTACACATTGAAGCACTAAATTGTGAATATAACCTGTTTTAATAACTATTTATTAATTGCTATCAAATGTAATTGAGGTTATACTTACATAAATATTCTTCACTTCCAATCTTACATTTTACCGTAAGTAAAAGTAATAACCTACACATTTAATAGAGAAATCACCACATCCATCTTTCGTATAACTTTTACTTAGACACTGTTTTTTTTTAAATTGTAACAATCATTATGGCACAACAGCCTATGAAAGTGAAATTCGCAGAAGTATATGTCATCGTGGAATTTGTAATAGTTACCGGCGATTACCGTCTTTTGCAGATCAGGCCACAATTATAAAAAATAAGGCCGAAAATAACGCATTAACATAGTTTAGGAAGTCCATAAATCATTCAAAACTGGACCTACAATTATAAAATGGCGACCACATTTTGAGAGGCCATTCACTACGCACATACACATATAATAATTTACTAGCTATTGCCCGGAACTTCGCTCGCGTGATTTCTTATTTCTAACTTTGAAAATGTCGAACTGCTATATAAACTTTCATACCTTATTTTACCCCCATCGAAGAGAAATTTCATAACTTAGACTAGACTACATAAAAAGCATCAACTACTAAAATTTCAAGTTTGTAGCCCCAGTGGTTTAGGCAGTCAGGCAAATAATTTTATATATATAGAAGATTGTAACGCCAGTGTAATTATTGTACCACTATTACAATAATATGACATTAATGTGTAATTAAAACAGCCTTAAGTGACTAATGACATGCAATTTACATATATAAAGAAATAATCCTAAACCCTGTCCTATAATCCTTTTTTGTTTATCTGTGGAAACACCCTCGGGCCTGCGGCGGAGGGGGGGGGGGGGTACTACACACGGTGTGCCACTCTGCGCCTGTAATAGGAGGGATCCGAGAACTGCTGTTATTAAGATATCCGGACCAAAATCCTAATCTAACCTAACCCTGTCTTGCATATCAGTGAATCGGACTTGTTTGTAATTAATAAAAAATGAATCTATCCATACAAACTTCGGCAAAGAGGATGGCTTCATTGATTTCCTTAAGAGGAAGAAAAAAGATTTTGAATTAGTTTATTCCTGAACTTGGAACTTCAACCGCGGGGTCTGAACCCCTGTGTATCTACAACTATTTTAAGTACGTGCAGGCAATGATATCTATACAAATAAATAAAATTGGAGTGTTTGTTTGTAATATTAAAATAACCGCTTTTTACTAAATGCATGTGTCATGTATGTTTACACGGTACATATGCCAAAATAACATTTTTTACAATTTTTGTCTGTCTGTCTGTTTGTTCCGGGTAATCTCTGGAACGGCTGGACCGATTTCGACGGGACTTTTACTGGCAGATAGCTGATGACATAAGGAGTAACTTTGGCTACTTTTTTTAGACCAGCTTCGCCTCGCGGCGTTACCCGAGGTTATAACAACAAACGCGGGTAACACCGCGGGTCTCAGCTAGTTGTATATAATATCATTGCGTGCAGCCGTAATAACATTCAGGGTTAGCAAAAATTTTAATTTATACAAACACGCACATAGTCACAGATTTAGAAGACTCAATATTTCCTGTTCAGTAATTGTTCTATGTTTTACTAATTTCAAACTATTCATTTCATTTTAAATCCTTTCAATGAGTTTAAAATCATAAATTATCAAGGTAGAAAGGCGTACCTCTCTGTCTTTTCTGTCTCTGTTTAAAAAAGACAACTCCCGCAATAGGAATATATCCTGTGTGACACAAAGAACACCCAGACTCAGAACAAAAATTTGTGGATCACACAAAGTGCCGTCCCATGTGGGGATCGAACCCACAACACTCAGCGTAGTAGGAAGCGGCGTGGTGACCGCTTAAACCACTACGCCATCCGTGCAGTCTATGTACCTAACTATGTTTTTTGAAATTATTTGGTTAATTATTGTTTACTTCTGTAAAGCCATTGCTTAGAATCGATTAGATATTGAAGACAATTTTTCAGCTGTTCATTTACTTATAATCATACCACCAACCAACCAATACAATTTATCTCGTCACCCAAATCACAACATACCAAAGTCGACCATTAATTTAATATAGACCAGTGTTGATCGAGTGACTGGCCATTTATGTAACACATTCAGTACAAATTGAAGCTCACGATTATTAAACACTGAGCCACAAATAATCGAACGGTATTTGAAACTTGTTGGTATCATCTTTTATTTATTGTTTTAAATAAGCACATTTTAAGTAAAATTTTGAATTGAGAAAATACGATTTCAATTAATTGTTAAAATAAAAATATAGATGATTGACTATGCTTTTAGTTGTTAAGCTGACACTTTAAAAAAAAACATAATGTAATATACAAAAAATGATGCAGTTAATTTGAAATATAATGTTGATTGAACTGTGGTATTCAGATTTCACCAAGATTGTCACAAGCGACTTTAAAAGACAGAATACATACTGCGTACCTACATTAATGTAGCAACTATCTTGCAACCCTAAGTTGCGCAACAAAAAGTTGTTCAGTACACAAACGCCTTACGCGGTGCACTTTAAACGCTTTTAAGTTATTACACCGTGATTGCGGTACTTGGCGATAATTGTCCAATAATCTGGACACGAAGGTGGTATATTTAACCAATCTACTTTGAGATAATCGCCCGTTCACTTTACACTTTAATGTATCAACGGATATAATTTGGGGTGGGGCTATTAGCTTTTAGTCATAAGAGCTTTATGAGTTTAAATGTTGATGATTCAACTTTCTATATATTCTTATATTGCTCAGGGAACCCAAAGATTAATTTGATTCAGAACTTATAGAAATCCCAGCTACATATTACTAGAAACGTTTGACGTTACGTTACGTTAGTTTTAAATCTAGATTGAGTACGTAGGTATCTCTAGAATAAATGTAGGTACACGAAAGATATTCTGTAATACAGGAGCATAAGAACTGAATGCTATTTTTGTTTGAATGGCTTTCTTGTTGGTTTCTATTTAAGCGGTGTTTTCAACCGAGAATCATGTCGAGATGAACCGAATGTCCTTGTATTAAAGGAAGGTTGTTAATTGGTTCCAGATGCATCTAAGCTCGATCCAGTTGGCGTGCGCAGCACTGGTTGCGGTGGCGCTGGGTGCAGCCGCTCCCCCCTCAACCTCGCACCACGTGGCGCGCCGGTCGTTCTTCACGCTCGAATGCAAGGGCGTCTACGACGCCGCCATCTTCGCTCGCCTCGATAGGATCTGTGACGACTGCTACAATCTCTTTAGAGAACCGCAGCTGTATACTTTATGCAGGTATGTTCCATTTTTAAATTATTTGATTAATTGTGACGTTTTGCAGTTATAACTTGATCCTGAAATGTTTTTATACAGAACTGTCATCATTAAAAAAAATGATTTACCTCTAGCCGGTTTTAATTGCGGATTTAGTCGATTAAAATAATAATTCGAAGTCAATAAAAATTTCTTTACACATAATTGTTTTGTATGACAAAATCCTCAATTGAAAACCTACATATCCACACACTATGAACAAATAATAAAGTGAATTATTCCTTGTTGGGGCACAGGAAAGACTGTTTTACGACAGATTACTTCAAGGGGTGCGTCGAGGTGCTACAAGAAACAGACAAGTTAGAGCTTTTCAAGGAATATATAAGAATAATACATGGGGCCGATCCTGGGATTTAGGTACAACATGGATTTGATTATACCTCTCTTTCTCACAACTAAATCTTTCCTATAACTATCTTTTCGATGCGTTGAGCACTTCCTTCAGCTTATTTTACTAAGGGGTAATAAACAGCACGCCATAACAGCCTTCATTTAACACGACTTTGGTCTTGCAGCTTGTAGACTTAGCAAAAATATTTAGTACATATAAATATGTTAGTGTTCGGTATTTTTAATTTAAAAAAAAAACTGTCACAACATTTTGAATCACAAAGAAGTATTTTTAAATCAAAATTAAACATTAGTGTTTAATGTACTGTGATTTAAAAATACATCATTGCGACTAATAAAAATCGTAAGTATTTATGTATTATCTAATAAGCCTCTTATATCTTCCAGTATACCAGGTATTTCGCCAAATAAATAACAGCACGCCTTTACGCTATAATTCATATACTCACATTTGGATGTTACAAATATTCTCATTCTTCTCTACTTGTTCAAATACTAGAATACATCAAATGGTAACTAAATAAAAGCTAATTATTACTAAATATGGTATTTACCTATCCCATATATGTATTTAAGAATAATTAGCGTTTTTCAAACACAAATGCGAATAAAATTTGTAATATCTATTATAAAAATACTAAATCTAACTTGTAGTTTATTGCATGTTAATTTTAAGATCTTTTAGAAATAACTCTTAACTATTTTTCCTAAAAAACTTTTTTATTGAAATGTAGTCTTGGTTTAAATTAGTTTTTTTATAAATTTTCTGAACGCATTGTATTGCACTTACTCCAATACAAATAGTAATTGACTTCTTACTCTTGCATACAACCTTTCGCTATCACTCTTCCCTCTTCTCGCGTTTTCCAAAGAAGAATGTATAATAATTATGTTGTTTTAATTCCACAGGGAGAAATGCTTCACAACGCCCTATTTCAAGGGATGCATGGAGTCTTTGTACCTATACGACGAGAAGGAACAAATAGACCAAATGATCGACTTCGTCGGTCGCTAAAGCCAACCAGTCGCCAGACCATCTCGCCGCATAACCTTACCGTTTTAGAAACGCCAGTTTTATACAAACTATAAATCCAACGCAACGGCATACACAATTTGACCGCTTTGCCAAAAAGCAGACACCATTGTCAATGTTCCTCCATTTTTGACATCTGCTATCTATCCTCAACGATCTAGTCTAAATGCGACGTAATTTAATTTTATGTTCGCAATTATTTGTAATTCGTAATAAGTATTATAGGGACATTTATTATTATGTATTTCATCGTTTATATGTTATTAAATGTTGTAAGCTTCGTATATACATATAGTGTGAAGTACCTATGACACCTCCTAGTATTGAAATTCAAAAATTGGGGCAGTCTTGTCGATGCTGGTCATCTTTTGAACTGCTGTCTCGCAGAATCCGACTGAGATTATCATAAGTGTCGTTTAGAAAAGTACGAGAGGCGAATAAATAATACCGCATAAAACTGCTTACGGCTTGGCCAACTTAGCCATAAAAAACTCACTTTTCTAAACGGCAATAAAATTAAAATGTGACGCATTCCAATCACAGTATTTAAAAACCTACTTACGCTTTTTCTAATCTACTTGTCTCTATTTTTTTTTTACTATCCATAGATATAAAAAAGTCTAAATATTTTAGTTTTTACAAGATAGTAATAAGAGCGGATGCTTAATAACAGTCTTATTCGATATAATTTTATATAAATATTATATACAGATATGTATAAGTAGTAGGTTCTGAGCCATAAATATTAATATTTTGTTATACAATTTTGAACTTAATTTTGTTATTACGAGATTATTTTTAGGTGAAATTGCAACTGATATATTCACAAAGTGTTTGCAATCTGTTACAATTAGTATTTTTTGTTGTAAATACACTGTGGCTTATACATCACTTAGATTTATGGACCCTGACTCATTTAATCGCGTTCATTTATTTATTCATTTAACTTTTCAAATGAAAGGCGAATTTCACTAATAGAAATCCAATTATAAAAGTAACCACCCCCTTTTAAGCTAACCATAACAAAATTTTAGTGAAACCAGACCCTATTTTAAAATAAAGGAAGGTTTTCATTTGTACGAGTGAATGTATACATTTAGATAGATTTGTAGATTAGTCGTAATGTTTGCACAAATGAAAACAAATCTTTAACTGTATTACCCAATTTGTACTCACATATCGGTCTAACAGGTTTCATTTGCTTAGCGAGTTTATTATTTTTATTAGTTAATTTTAGTAGGTTAACTATTTATAAAAGATTTATTTTTATATACTTCCGACCTATTTATTACCTATTGTTACTTTTTATTTATAATTTTTTGAATAATAATCGTAAATAGTCACTTTCGGCCATCGGTAAAATGTAGTAGTTCCACTCACGACTGTGCGTGTGGGTGTGCGTGCTTACAAAACATTAAGTTCTTCCTAAACAAACACAATCGACGCATGCTAAACTAAAGCACACAAAACTACACATTCGTGAAGTGGAAGACCTATACCTACCAGTGTAAACAACTCTAATGTATTTCTGATTTTATTTTAAGTTGCGGTTTATACTTATTTAAAAGTGTTTTTTAATTCCGCTGTAACTCTTCTCTGTGTTCGAATCTCATCTTTTATAGTTTATTAGCGTTTCTTAAGTTTCATTGACAACTTTGTGACATTCGACACATGTCATTTTCATTGTGACGTACTGGTTTCGACACAACTTTGTAACGTAGATAAAATGGTGCCAATTGTCAGCAAGACATTAGGTTAAAATTAGCTAATGATATATAAACAATTTATATGATGCGTTTGTAAAAATGGATAGTAAATTATTATAAATAATTGTATAAATTTTATAAAAAGAGCTAAGAAACGCTACGGGTTCCATGAAATATATTTCATTTGAAAAGCATGATTGCATTTTACTGACTTTTGATAAATCCCCTTTAACAAAGTAAGAGAATAAAGCAGAGTGGTAGAACTAAGAACTAGAGAGTGCGTTAAGAAAAACGGATAGGGCGAGGAACCTAGGGTAAAGAATGTCGCAACTGTCGGATGCGACAGAGGGTCTGATACTGCAGCCACTCACATATAGCGGGGTCTCAAACCAGTGTGGTTCCTAGTGGATAAGAGACCTATTGGTCATAGACTATAGGTGGTCTGAAAGATGAGAAATTAAAAAGTATACTTCCCATACTCCTTCGATATCAATTCGATAATAGTTACGCTGAAAATACTGAAATATACAATTCAGACATTCGTAGGAAACAACACGCCAAAAGCATTTCGGAACCACCATCACTAATGTCATAAATATGTAGTACAATCAATCACTTTCAAGAAACTTTTATTTATTCTTCGTAATTTTGTTCATTCCTATCCTAAGAAATTGTTTAAAGTAACACTTTGATATTTTCAAAATCACCAAATGCCCAAACACTGTTTTAAGAACTTACTGTGGTCATGTATTTGACTGGAAATAACACAGAATAATTAAAATAAAAGAAAGTGCTAATCTGAAATAAAACAAATGACAGTAACCTCATATAATTAAGTACAGGTAAATGCTGTGGATTTCCGCAGAACAGTGAAACTCACGCCTACATAGGAAGGAATAAATGCGTTATAGCCACATTCGTCAGTTATATTAGTTTTATTTTGGTCTCACAAAGATGAGTCTACATAGAGAGCCACCTTCAGCACCCAGTAGACAAGGTCTTCCAGTCATATTAGAGCTCAATGTACACCTGGATTCATATAACGTTACATTAAGTTCTGAGTCACAGAAGCAACTTTCAGGATCTAACACACAAGAATTGACGCTGACAGTAAAGGGAATGGACAGTAAAGGTGTATTTGGTTTATCAATATCATAACAACACAATAAACCTAAAGTTTATTGTTTAAAATAAAATGTATCAAAATAACCATATTGTTGAAAAAACTACAGCTTATTTAAAATCAGCTTACGACCCTTCACATCACATCAACAGCCTTTCATGGTCCACTGCTGGACACAGGCCTCTCCTTAGGTTTACCCTTACGGGCGGAGTAAAAATCATTAGGCCTGAAAAATTACGGGGCACAGCAAATTTGAGTAATAAAAACACAAATACTTTTTTTCTATATATTTTGCGTAGGAATCTTTGACAATTAGATATGACAATTATTTTTATTTTGGATCACAGTAAATAAGTATACATTCACAATTGAATTCCTTACATCATAAGTGGGGTAACTTTAGCACAAGAGATTTAACTTATATATAAAATATTCCATAAAGGAAACATAAATCATAGATGGCGCCACTCGAAGTTAACTGATTCATTGGCCCCCGTGTTGAAAAATAATCTATTATGTAGTATTTATAAAAATAAGACAACAATAATAATAGTAAGTGACTACCGTGGCCAATGACACCAAGGGGTTAAGAGACACAAGAGCGTTGCCACCACACCATAGTGTTCTCTCCCCCCCTCCCTCTGCTATAATCTAGACAAAGTAACAGTGAACTGTGATTTACCATTCGATTTTTGCATACGTAGATTAGGGTTGCTAGGTAGGTAGGTTAAACGCTATTTAACAGTAAATCTAGTATTTTTTTCAATTGTTATGTAGGGAATACTAGCAATATATAATAGTAGTAACCCTAACCTACGTACGAAAAAATCGAATGATAAATCACCGGTCATTCACAGTTCACTGTGATTTTTTCCCATGTCTAGTATGGAGCAGTTGAAGAAAAGGGAATCATGAAATACAACCGTTTCCTAAAATAGTCGAACACAAATTTGTCAATTCTATGTATTGGACCACGAAATTTCAGCAGCAATTTTTATAAATCGATAAAATTAAGATATTACATCCCAAGCTACTAACTTACTTTAAAATAATGTTGTTCAATATATCATTTATAGAACAAACTCACATTCAATGCAAAATAATTCATCATTTCTAATCCTCCGGTGCGCGTCAATGATATTCCCTTAACAAGACAAGTGGCGCCACCTACATCAATTAACTTATTACAAGGACGATTAAACAGAGTCACATCAAATACATGACATTGGATATGTCCAGCTTATATAAAATATAGAATAGGATTTAAAAACTAATTTACATTACAGTCTCAATAGCATCACACATTAAATAACTATGAATACCGTTCACAGATATTACTATTCTACTAAAGCATACTGTTAGAGGGTACTCTAGTTTTTGTTTAGTACTAAAACTTCTCCGGCCATCAGAAAGTTCATTCAGTCTCACAATCTTTTTTTTTGTTTCTATTATTAATTTTATAATCATATTCAATACAAAAATTTATTATCTCATGAAAGCTTTTATCAAAATTTTACTATTTTGTATTTTATATTGAATGTGTTATGGTTCAAAATCATTTTGATATGTAACGAATTTCCTCTTCTCTTTTCTGCGATCTGTTTGAGCGATTAGGTAAAACAGGACAGAAGTATGTAACCTGAAGTGAGCTCTATTTGATTTCTCTAAAGAGCGTTGCTCGTTACCAAGGTGAAATGTCAGAAGGTCAATTCTCGTAATATAAGTTCGGTCAAAATTCAGTTCCGACCTACTTTCGATTTCATATCATAAAAGTTCATCATCACATCAACAGCCTTTAATAGTCCACTGCTGGACATAGGCCTATCCTTAGAAAGGAGGTTTCGGCGTACTACGTGTACGGAAATCCCCTCGGATACCACCTGTCGGTGGCATGTCGGACTCGAACCGACTAAAACCGCACGCCGTCTCGGGTACTAATAGCCGGGGAACCAGGTATAAGCTAGAAAGTACTATACCACGCTGGTCACACGGCCAACCCGTTTGGCCAGCGTGGTATAGTAGGGTATAAAGGGTTTGTGTCAAGTTTTCCTTCTCTCTGCAGTGAGGTTGTTTTCTCTCTTAGTCGGCTCTTACGACACCCACAGGATGAATAAGGGTGGTGACACTCTGTATTCTTAATCCGTCACCACACGGACCATAAAAGTTATTCCAGCAGATTACCGATTCACCGATTCGATGTTTAATACTTTATTACGAGAATACCTTTTATGACAAATGTTAGATCGAGGGTAGATCGGAACTGAATTGAGACCGAACTTTTATTACGAGAACGACACTACTGAATACATAATAATAATATACCTACCACTAGATACTGCAAATCTCGGTCTTTTGTAACCGACTTCCAAAACTAAGGAAGTACTATTTACGGCAGTATGTATTTGTATAAACTCTATAGATAACATTTAAGAACAAAACATAGTACAAGAAACTATGATGCTTAGTATGTGTTAGAGAGAGAGAGAACATGATGTATATGTATGTGTATTAAAAGAACATAACAATAAATTCATGTAAAATACAAAATAGTTTAAATTGGAATAAAGTAAGAATATTACCTAACAATGAATAAAGCCATTCTAGGAACAAGTTAACAGATGTTTTAAATAAAGAATATATTAAAGTCACGTGATCTATTTTAATAACGGAGACAAAATAATATTAGTAGCAAAAATAGTTCCAAACTCAATTCTTAGATGGCGCTACACACGTCCTTCACTATTAACATTCTCGTCTTTACTCTTATATCTCTAGTTACATTAATTAAACTCTATTAATATAGTTTATGGCCATTAACTATCGCAGTAATGTTTATGCCTGTATGTTTGGTAACTATATTGTTGTTCTAGAGACAACAAACAATAGTACAGCTAGCGCGATCTAGCGGGAAACAGTCAAATTAATTAAGAGTAACTCGCCCTGCGGTATGCAAGTGAAGTTTTCATATATATTTGTTATCTACTTTAAACTATTACACATAATACCAATATTATAAATGTAAAGGTTCTGATGGATGAATGTTTGTTACACAACCCCGTCGGAATGGCTAGCCGGAATTAGATGAAATTTGGTACACATATAGATTATAGTCCTAACATAGGTGACTATTTATACGGGATAAATTGATTGAAAAAATCCAAATTCAAAACCTATTTTTAACATGATTCTATCGTCAATGCTATTCGTACCGGCAACAAACTTTCATGGTAAAATTACTTATACGGTAAAACCCCATCATTTTTTTGGAATGCAATGAGATATACACCTAGAAGATAAAGTATATTATTAAATATCTATAAAACCAAATTGTAATATAATTATATATTCACACAAGAATACTTCACTACCTGTTATAGTTAAGTATTCTTACTTAGTTACTTAGTTACCATGGAATGCGTTACAATTTATCTCTAGTCGAGGTTATTGGTCATTATTGGTCGTATTATTTTATTTATATAAAAATGTTAAGTTGGTTTGTGTACGGTTCAAAAACTCAAAAACTTCTGCAAACTTCTTCTTCTCAAAATTTGACACGATATTTTGTTTGTTTCGTCCTCTCTTCTCAGGCCAGTTAGAAAAGACCGAACTCATCTGCTCTAAAATAAGTTTGACATGTAAAATTGTTCTTGTAATTTATTTGCAGAATAAATTTTCAATATTTTTTTTATTTTTGTCTGACGAAGGCACAGCATAACGTGTCTCAGGGATTTCTCAGTTTTCTTTCAGTTTGACTCGATACAATACAAAACTCGGCCCAGTGTCTATTAGCAAGGCAGTAACTGAACCACTAAAAAAAATCTTAATATTTTAAATACCACTCAGTAAAACGTTTTCAAATAAATATCAACTCTCCCTACGACGCAATAAAGTGCAATTCAGGTCACACTGCAGTACAACATGCAGTAATATTCACCTATAAGTTACCTCTATTACTGTCACGTGACTATTGTTCTTCCTAGCAAAGTAAGGCACAGGAACTTCCTGTATTTCGGGACTTTTTCATGTCCTTAACGAAATGTGAGAATCATAAGACTCGGATTTTAAAAGGGCACGAGGCATCCCACTGAATTATTTCGACCAATAGGAGTAATGTACTTGGAGCTTTATACCTATAGTAGGCTTAACCTATTACTATAAGAACAAGCAGTAAGCTATGACGTTGTAATCGAAATATCCAATATCTTGAAATATAGGTCCTTAATTCCTAGTTCGGGTGTCAACCCATATAATTTATAGATGTTGAAATAGTAAACATCAAATAGTTTATAACTCTAGAAATACTTTTTAAATGGAATTATTTAAATTTAATTCTTTAATTTGTCATTTGTGACGGTCGTGTGTTTACCTGTCATGTCAGCGTTTTCTTTTCCTCAATTACCAACAATATATATTTTTTAATTACTGTTTTTATGGTGAATAAATATATTATTATTATATATTTTTATATTTTAACAAGTTCAAGTCGAATAAATGCAGCGATTCTATGCAACTGGAGTGCAGTATGTAACGACCCTTATGTGAATTACATAGCAAAAATAGATCACTGGCTTAGCAAAAAATATCCTTTGTATGGTCCAGCCTAAATTGTGCGATATTAAAATTATTAATCATTTATAACATGTTTACATTTTATTCGACGTAGTGACAAAAATGAAAAAAAAAACATATATTTCATCTAATACAATCAATAGGGTGTCGACCCCAGTTATCGGCTAAGTGGTGTGTTTATATACTGTGTATAAAAAAACATTTGTTACTTTTTCAAACCTTACATAAAGTTATGGAGCTACAATTACTTTTTTCTTATAACTATTCGTAATACTAGAATTAATCTCTCAGCTCCACTTACTAAGCCGCTAAAACCTCATATCAAATAACAAAGTTAAGATGGAACTTTGCGAAGAACAAAGTGACGCCGGTTAAATAAATATCCGTGCGAGGGACCGGTTCTACCATCACAATTTTATTTTATTGAAAATATTGGTTTCTACGCTTAGATATATGTGAAATGCGATTCCATTCTACTATTTATTGTAGTTTGATTTTTACACCCAATCTCAACATAATTCGGCATTTTCACTTATAAATATTGTTAACATTTTTGATGACGTTTTGACTGATAAGGCGTAGTAGTTAGACTGTAATTATATATGTACGTGCCAAGTCGTGGCTTCTTTGTTCACAGAGTACCATCCTAACTTTTTTTATTTGATCTGAAGCTAAAACTATAACTATGATAAGTAAATTTGATCTGTAATAAAAGCGTCTTCGAAGTTTTATAAACAGCCTCTCAAAGTTTACCTCCCTTAATAATTGCATCAGTCAAAAAACATTTAAATACTGAGTAATTCATCTACTATGCACTGAACTAGAATGACAGTATTTATTTTTTAATTATTAGTTTACCACTAAAACTTTGAAGACTTGATTTATGCCAAACAACAAAAAAAACAAACTAAAACCTTAGGTTGTCTTTTTTCTTTTCAATCTACAGTCTTTTTTGCGTTTAATAATTATAATTAAATACTGCAGCATTAATTTAGCAAACAACAAAATTTTAAGTGAATCGTGGAGGATAATATTTAAAATAATATTCACTACATGGCCGTTAACTGGTGACCGCACCCTACAATCTAGACTAGTTTATATCTAAACAGGTACCAACGTTAGTTATCGAGGCAGTAGTCTAAATGGTCCTCCATCACTTTGTACTGTTCGCATGTGAATCTCAAGCATTTGGGGCAAGTCAATTTCTGAAAATTTAGAAAAAAAAATATAATTAGAAATTATGCATAATAGTTAAACATATTTATAATGTTATCTTGTTACGAACGACAATATCAAGACAAAGACTTCAAACATATATAAGTGAAAAAAAATTAATACATGATATTACAAAAAGATGTGATCAATCTTTTTTTTTATTATTTTAAAGTCTTATAAGTAGATCCCGTAGAGTTTTTATGCAGAAATAATATTCTGAAATTATGTACATACAGGTTAACATTTCTAATAATATTAATCTGATCTGATCTGATCTCTCCTTTGCAACATATATTTCAATTTCAAAGTAGGGTTTTTTTATGAGAAAATGTAAACTTTCCCTCATTTTTTAGCGTTTTATGTTATTTATAGAGTTTACTATAAGACCCTAAACTATGACGACGTCTCTATGTAACACCTGTACACTAATATACACAGGGTGTTATAAAGAGGCGTTGCAAAACCGGTTAAACGTTGTTAAACATGTTAATTATTTAAAAAAACCATTTGATATTGTGGTACGTTTTTCTGCTAAAAAGGAAGAACATCATATTGCATACAAGCTACATTATGTTGTCTAGTTAATACAGGGGGATGCGGTTTAGCAAAAATAAATTCACACAAAAAAAACTACGTTAGGAAATTTCATGACCCTGTCTTAGTAGCCTCTCCAACCACAGGACACTTATACTCCTCGCCCCTACTCTCTCTTCAAGCTACTAGTCCTAGACAGTATCTCCATCCGAAATTTGCGATATCCTGTAACCTAATTCTCACTCACTCAATTGACCTTCTGCCTTTGACCCGTCTCAAACATTTACATTGCCAAGATGGCGGTCAAAAGGCTGGCCATAAAAAAAACCCAGCCATAACCTTTTTCAATGTCACACATTACGCGAACCAAAATAAAATTGGGAAATAAAATAAAGGATGAGAACAAAAAATGCCTTCTTTTCATTAGTCTTATAAAAAATATTTGTATAGTATAAATATCATAATTATGTTTGTATACCTAATACAAATACAATTTGGGAAAAGGGCGAAAAGAATAAAGATCGTTAAAAGACACGAAAATATCTTATGTTGTATTTTGTCAATTTGAACATCAAAAATGTCCAACTTAACTAAACGGTTCAACAGATCCTTTTTTATTTAAGTCATCATAGTCTGGAATCAACTGTCTTTATGTCTGTCTATTAGATAAGCATAAAATAAAAGATCAGCCCAAATTATAAATAAATAATTTCAATTTTTAAAGTTAACTAGCTGTCCCGGCAAACGTTGTTTTGCCATATACATTATTTCTAGGAAATATGTAAAAAAAATAGGGATGGGTCACCCTTGTCATTTAGGGGTAAGAAAAATAGATGTTGGCCGATTCTCAGACTTACCCGATATGCACACAAAATTTCATAAAAATCGGTCCAGCCGTTTCGGAGGAATATGGTAACTAACATTGTGACACGAGAATTTTATATATAAGACTAAAACACTGGGCGAACTATTTTATTTATATCCCTGCCTCTGAAGGGTTTTCTCAAATTAGGTTGGGGTCGGCTTCTAGTTCACTACGATACGGCTAAAAATCGTTTTTTTACGCGGAGCGGAATATTTTCGGACTTCTTAGGACTCTTTAAATATTTTAATTTATTATTATTATTTTAATGGCGCACAAAGGTGTAGACAAAAATGATGATTAGTAGGTTATTTCTCACGCACATGCTTGCAAATAGAACAATCTAATCTCAAACAACACAACAACGAGTCTCACCGGTCACTGTTTCCTGGTGGCCTAATTGAGTAATTCATCCTAACAGTACTATTCTACATTCGTACTTAACTCAAGAATGGGTACGCAAAATACTGTAGCATCCATAGGAACTAGAAATATACTATTCAAGAGAAGGAAATATGATAAGAGTGTGCTTGTTAAAGCTTTTTATTACTTATATACGGAATATATAAACATTCCAATATTACTGAGTACAACTTCTCCGGTAATGTTACTCACTCGGTGAAATTCAACAAAAAAATTGCTTGAAGTGCCAGTTTTCTGAGAGACCTTGGTATGACTCTCACCGTTAAAAGGTATTGTTTGAAATGGCTCTAACTTGAGACCTTGGTATGACTCTCAACGTTAAAAGGTATTGTTTGAAATGGCTCTAACTTGAGACCTTGGTATGACTCTCAACGTTAAAGGTATTGTTTGAAATGGCTCTAACTTGAGACCTTGGTATGACTCTCAACGTTAAAAGGTATTGTTTGAAATGGCTCTAACTTGAGACCTTGGTATGACTCTCACCGTTAAAAGGTATTGTTTGAAATGGCTCTAACTTGAGACCTTGGTATGACTCTCAACGTTAAAAGGTATTGTTTGAAATGGCTCTAACTTGAGACCTTGGTATGACTCTCAACGTTAAAAGGTATTGTTTGAAATGGCTCTAACTTGAGACCTTGGTATGACTCTCACCGTTAAAAGGTATTGTTTGAAATGGCTCTAACTTGAGACCTTGGTATGACTCTCAACGTTAAAAGGTATTGTTTGAAATGGCTCTAACTTGAGACCTTGGTATGACTCTCAACGTTAAAAGGTATTGTTTGAAATGGCTCTAACTTGAGACCTTGGTATGACTCTCAACGTTAAAAGGTATTGTTTGAAATGGCTCTAACTTGAGACCTTGGTATGACTCTCACCGTTAAAAGGTATTGTTTGAAATGGCTCTAACTTGAGACCTTGGTATGACTCTCAACGTTAAAAGGTATTGTTTGAAATGGCTCTAACTTGAGACCTTGGTATGACTCTCAACGTTAAAAGGTATTGTTTGAAATGGCTCTAACTTGAGACCTTGGTATGACTCTCAACGTTAAAAGGTTTTGTTTGAAATGGCTCTAACTTGAGACCTTGGTATGACTCTCAACGTTAAAAGGTTTTGTTTGAAATGGCTCTAACTTGAGACCTTGGTATGACTCTCAACGTTAAAAGGTTTTGTTTGAAGCGACTCTATCTTTAGGTGCTACAAGTATGATATAAAATAACATTCTTGAGTTAAGTCACTAATAAACTAAATAACAAAAGACAACAACAATGGTAGATTATTGTAATTTGTTTATTTTTCTATTACAAAAGTAAAAAAAAATGTATATAAATGCAATTAATTTATTAAACCTCTATTCGTGAAAAGTACTTTTAAGGAATAACCTGTTATGACATGCCAATGATGAGTCAACAATAGAGATTTTTTCACTTAACATTATTACTTTAAATATTTATCTGAGTGTTCTTCCCTTGCAAAACTATATCAATATAATAAAGCTGTGCCGTGTGTTTGTTTGTTCGTTTAAACACAATAATCTCTAGAAATAACAGTCAGATTTAAATTGTTTGTTCTCTATTAATCAAAGTATTTTTTTAAGAATAAAATAAACTATAAAACATCACGCTACGATTCTTGAGTACTAAGCAGTTCCGACAAACACAGTTGAAAATTCAGGTAACTGCTAGTGTGATAGGTATAAACAACTTCTAAATCATATCTATAGTATTATGTGGATGCATGTGATTCTATATTCTTTTTGTTCCTTTGAAAAACTTTTTTTTCCACATTTACACATCGCCATCTAGTCCCTAACTAAGCAGAGCTTGTAGACAACTAATATAAATACATAGTTTTTTTTTTTTGTAAATACATACATATTATACATAGAAACACCCAGAACAAATCGAACATTAAATGTTCAACACACAAATGTTTGAATTTAGCGGGAATAGAACTGGTGACCTTTAGCGTAGCAGTCTGTTCCACAAACCACTAAGCCATCCGGCCGTCGCTCTAACTAGCTAACCTCTTTCAATAAACTTGAAACATTTAAATCCTCTTTATTATTTCATTTGCCTGTTTTAAATAATATACTATGCGAGGGCCATTAGAAACTATGATTTATGAAATGCAGAAAAATTAAGGATTAAATATTTACCTAAATAACAGTGTTTAAAAATGTAGTTATCTATATAAAGAAAGAACCGTTTTCTGACCAATGGACCTATTTCTTTACTACTGTGTATGTCCTCGGGGTCTTCCTTCATAGGGTATATCTGAGTCCCTTTGAATAGACTCACATAAACCGACTAAAACCACAGGGTGTTTTGTACACCGAGTGGTTTTCGTAGTCGGTCCAATTTCAACATACCACCACTATGTTTCCACACGATAAAGCAAAAAAAAAATGCATGTAACAAAAAAATAATACTGATATTATTATGAATTTAAAAAATATAATTGAACTCTGGTTTACTGTGCACGTGGTAGATTTTATTTTTTCATAGCAAAAAAAAATGTAAAATAAAACAAATCTCGACCTTGATATTGTAATGATTAAAGAGTAAATGAAAAATCTAAAATTGGACAATGCCTGACACCGGAACATGGCATTTTCACCCGTATGTCAGTACAAATACGCCCTTAATTGTGTTACTGATGGCAAGTATTTAAATGGAAGCGATACAATACTTTTTTTATGCAGACGAGCAGACGGGTCACCTGCTGGAAAGTGACCACCGCCGCCTATAACGTCTGCAACTCAGGAGTCACAAACGCATTGCCGGCTTTTTAGGAAACAGTACGCTCTTTTCTTGTAGGTTTAAAGGTCTTATCGGTCCGGAAATACCGCAGGCGATAACCCGTTCCACAGATTGGTTGTACGAGGCAAAGTGTCTCGAAAAACGAACGGTAATGGACCGCCAACTACCCAGGTGATAAGGATGAAAATTTTGCCGTGTGGAAAGTTGTTATACTGCTGTTTATAGAAAAAAATTATGTATTCATTAGCGGACTGTTTAAGTTTAAGAAAATAAATACCTATACATTATTTCCTTGTCTAACCATTGCTATAAAGAAAGCTTGTTTAAGTGGCTCATATTTTTTCTATATATTTAAAACTAGGTGCCTATTTCAAAGTAAACAATGATCGACATGTTGTTGTAACAAAATTAGTGTTTTGAAAGGCTTGTCGCACACTGGACAGTCGAACCGCAGCGGTGGTGGAGTCGACTCTTTGGTGGCGCCCTCTGATGATTCTGTTTCTGGTGATAGCTTCTTTTTCTTCAAGACCTTATTGATGGATGAGCAATTGATATAGGGTTTTTTTTTCTTTTAGCAAGCACTGAGGCTATTTTAATCTCTTAAATTTCCATAAAAAGCAATTTGTATTAAAACTTGTAGATAAATCGTTAGTTCTAAAATTTTATTCACAAGCCACTGCGCTTCACTGCAGTATTGTGATAAAAAACGTGTGCCGATAGAAGTGAAAACTTGTTTTTGTTTTTTTTATTATAACAGGCAACATTTTTGTTTTTTTTTTCGATTCGAAAAGTTCCGACATGAATATATATATATGTTATACGTATATACACAATATATTTTTATATTATATATAGTTATATAATCAATGTATTTCAACCCAAACTCAATTCTCGTGTAAAAAGGGCCTATATATATGTAAATACTTATATAGGTACAGAGGTGTCGGTAACGGTAACAGTGTCGCGAGTTCAATGGTTTTTTCCCATCTCAAAAAATACATTCTTTTGTTTGTTATTCATAAATGTCCACCTAAAGAAGTTTTCACTTCAAAAAACTTTGTTATCAGAAAATCTTCTGATTATTTGGGCTTATAACAGGCACCTGATTGAGAAGAAACCTCAGGAAACTCAGTCAGGCTTCTTCTTGATTGATTTTGAAATCGATTTAAATTCGATTTATACACTATATCATTTCATTTTATAAAATCTCTAGATACGTATATGTCGTTAATCTGGTGAAGTTAATGTCTTTTACCTAAACCAGATAGTTGAAGTTTTTTAATATCTCTTGGAATATATTTTTTAAGTTTCTTAATTTTCCATGACATATATGTACATATGGAACGTTATAATTGTACACATTCTCTCTGTGGTCGCAGGGGGACATTCACCGTGACCACAGAGTGAGTGTGTTTTTGGGCTTCGGTTACTTTACGCACTAGATGAAAAACAACAAAAAAAATCCATAACAGCGAATTTCCCTGAGGCTGTTATGGAATGGTAACAGTCTGGTAGAGCCAGCAAATTTGTTTGTGGGTTTACGTCGGTAGTGCAATGGGAGCGGTTCAAACCCGTAACCATTTGATCACAAGTCCGATATACCTAAATAAATAAGGGTACTGTCTTACCGTGTTGCCGGTGGCGGCGGGCGAGTGGGGCGCGGGGCGGGCGGGGCGCGTGGAGGGCGAGGAGGCGGAGGGGGAGGGGGAGGGGGCCGCCGTGGCACGACTCGCAGACATTTGGTACACGTTCGGGTTCATCTTTCGTACTTCGTTCAACTGGAAGAAAATGGTCAACATTAATAAATTAAAACATTGAGTAATCAGACATGTCAAATCGACGGGGTAGTTCTTTGTGTCCTTTTCATGTATGTTTCTAAGGTTCCCCGCGACACAGGATTTATTCCTAGTGCGGGAGCTGTCTTTAAAAAAAAAACACCCAGCGCATGACTTTTAAATACATTTAACGTCTATATTATTTTTTATGGGATTTATTCCTCCCATACGCCCGCCACTGTAACTACTGTACACCAGGATCAAAAGTAGTGACAGACGAACACACCGAGTAATGACACTCAGGAAGTCCCAGAAAAAGTTGAACTGTAATGGAACGCGCAACGAAATTGATCAGGAGAAAATGCATGATCAGCTCGCCTGGTCGGAGGATCGTCACTTTGTGTTGGAGGGACATGACACCCGTTTTCCCATATGTTTATAATGTTAATGCAGATGTCAACACTAAAAGAAACACATCATCATCAACATCGTGGGAGAGTTATGCCTCGGGACCTGGACAATGGGACATAGCTCTCCCAGCCACGGTAATGGTAACTTCACTTAACCATACCAATTTCCTGAGATTTGTTTTCTTAAAAAACCAAGCAAGTTTGACACACACGACAAATTAGTTGCTACACATGGCAGCCGCAAAAATACAAGATGATACATACATGTTTGTTAAGCTCCTGATTTCGTCTCTTTGCAGTTCTTAGATCGGTAAGCAGGTTCTCCTTCTCACTTGCCATCTTCTGACGAGACTCGCGTTCGGCTTCGAAATCGCTCCTGGAGAAAACATTCAGTTTTTTATTAATCAAGAATTTTAACAATAAAGAAGTATAAAGAAACGGGCGGTTGTAGATCAACACAGGCATATAATAGATTTTTTACAGGAATACATTTATGTTGGTAAATATTTGACAAAACTGATGGTTGCAATTATGTGTTGATCTATGAGTTTAGAGTAGAGTTACGCAAGAGATGATTACAAACAATTTTATAAAAATAAAATAAAGAAAAAACATTTATTTGCAGAATCAGATCAGTTATGATATAAAAATATTTTTCTTGAATGCATAAGTATAGTAAAATGTTTTCAACATATTTGAAACCTTGCCCCACTAATATTTTTAGTTTCGTCAGAAAAACCTTACGCTAAATCTAATATATAAAATTCTCGTGTCACGGTGTGCGTGGTTGAACTCCTCCGAAACGGTTCGACCGATTTTCTTGAAATTTTGTCTGCATATCGGGTAGGTCTGAGAATCGGCCAACATCTATTTTTCATAAACCAATTATTTTTTTTGTCATTTTTTTTAAAATAATGTATATGACAAAACAACGTTTGCCGGGTCAGCTAGTATACTATATCTATAAATTCAGGAATAAACACATACAACAGATTTTACACGCTGTGAATTGTCTGACGTTTTGGCCAGGTATGCAACACGTATTGAATCACGTTAATTTAAAAGTTAGCAAATGTTGGAAAATTATTCGAGGTGAGTTACTCAACGGACGTGGATCCCAGTGAGTGGCTGTGTAACGGCTACCCAGAAAAAAATTGTTTTCGTATTACACTACTAAGTAGGTCAAGTAGGTACGTGTGGTGACGGATTAAGAATACAGAGTTTCACCACCCCTATTCATCCTGTGGGTGTCGTAAGAGCCGACTAAGGGAGCAAACCACGCAGGACAATGCACTGCACAGCAGAGAGAAGGAAAACTTGAAAGAAACCCTTAACCAACCCGACTGACCAGCGTGTCCAGCAGTGGACTGGTAAAGGCTGTTGATGTGATGATGTGAAGTAGGTCAAATGACAGCTGTAATTAAAACCAAGGAAACACCAGGAACCGTTTTTTGCCTGTTCATATAAATAAATACTTACTTGTACAAATCAAGTTGTGCTTTCATCAAATCTATATTCTCCTTTTGATCTCTTAATTTATCCAACTCAGCCTTCAGAGACTGTAACTCCTGTCCTCTGGCCACCAGGGCCGCTGTCAACGCTTCTACGTTCGCTGAGGGTCTCTCCACCTTGGGTTTGGCGACGGATTTGTTTAGGAGCTCGTTGTAGTCCCGGAATATGCCTTCGAATATTGTAAGGGTACTTCGAACTTGACCTCTGTGGGCCAAACGTTCAATTATTATTTTTTCAAACAATATTATGATAAGCCCTTAAGAGTTACTGGTCCATCTATATATAAAAATGTTAAGTTGGTTTGTGTATGGTTCAAACACTCAAAAAGTTTTGCACCGATTGAGGTCAAATTGTGATACACGTAAAGATGGTTTTTATCTTTTTTTTTTGCTACCATAATGTGCCACGGCAAAGCGTGGCAGAGTACAGCTAGTTTATTATAAAATAAAAAATTTACTTACTAATATTTTTTATTTTATAATACCGATAACAAAGCCCCTGTAAACGGGAGAGCCGGTGTAGACAGGCTTTGAAAGACATACACGGACCAGTAGGCATGGAAATTATTGCTACTTTTAAATTATAATCATTTGATGAAATGATTGGCTTTCGTCATTGTTTTGATAAATGCCGTCAAAATCAATCAAACCGACAATTTTAGTGAGTTTGGGACAAATTTGGGAGTTGCAGTGACGTTGTAGATGAGTCACAGGCGTGCTGAAGTGATATTAAAATCATATGATTAATCACATGTATTGTGATTTTATCCCATACCTACTGACCAGATTGACAGAGAACTGGAGAAGCGCTCGTTAAAAGCGCCTGTAACCGGCGAGCCTGTTACAGACGCGACCTGTGGTGTGGGAGAAACGTTTAAAATGGTGTTCTATCGTCTCTGCCTACTCCGGAAGGGAATGCTATGCGAGTGTTTTGTATACATATGTAATTTAAAATAAAAATATTAATATATCCTACTAATAAATACTTACACATTATTTAACGTAGTACTGTATTGTTTCTCCATCTTCTGTTTGAGTTCGGCGAGCGTTGACTTGAACTGCTCTATCGAGCTCCTTTCCAACCTGAACTCGTGAAGACTTGCTACTGAACGTAAGGTTTGAGTCAGAGTGTCCGTTGTCCTGGGAAAGATTACCAAATAATATATCTATATTTGTATTTTTTTCTTTTAATGCGTAAGTGATGAGTTAATTTATTAATAAAATAATTGAATTAATTAATTAATATTTATCTATTACAAATGTGTATGTATGTTACGTCTGTGTGTGCGTATGTAGCTATCATCATCATCAACAGCCTTTTATAGTCCACTGCTGGACATAAGCCTCTCCTTAGAAAGGAGGTTTTGGCCTACTATACCACGCTGGCCAGACGGGTTGGTCTACACCAACCCGTCTGGCCAGCGTGGTAACTCACAAACCCTATGGTTTGTGTCAAGTTTTCCTTCTCTCTGCAGTGTTATTGTTCTGCGTAGTTTTTTCCCTTAGTATGTAGCTATATCTATACAAATAAATAAAATTGAATTGTCTGTTTGTAATGTCAAAATAATAGGCTTTTTTCATGCCCACATGGTTATTTGCACGATACCTATGCCTGAAAACCAGTTTAAATATTTTTGCCTGTCTATCTGTCTATTTGTTTTTTTCTATATTATCTTCAAAACATCTGGACCGATTTTGATAATATTATACTACCAGCTGTCTATATAAGGTAAGGCTTAAGCTATTTTCCCTCTCAGAAAAACCCAAATTTTGCTCGAAGCTCGAGGCCACATGGATTGCTGTACTACACCACTAGCGGTGTTAAGTAACACACCATAAAAATAACATAACAAATATAAATTATTTATTCATTTGTATGTTTGTGAAATAATAGCGAATATCGTTTACACAGTTTTATGTCATACTTAATTTTATAAGGTTTTTAAAAATAATTATTCTAACTATAGGAAACTGCTCTATTCCACTTGCTTTGAAAACTAGGAAAGGAAAATTAAACTCACCCCTGCGTCACAGAATTGAGGACATCAGCAAGATGTTTTAACGTTCTATCGTAAAGTTTGACATTGGAGTTGAGACTGTTGGGCCCCGACAAGGACTCAGGCTCCGCACTCAGCGAGATACGAACTGGCTGGAATACCTAAAAACATTTTCTATTAAAACAGGTTTTCAAAAAAGGCAGTACAAAAAAGTAATAATATTAAATAACTTCACATCTCCAAGACGGTCATATAATCCCAACCCAAATTAGGCAGAGTCACTACTATGGTTCATCATCATCATCATCATCATCAGCCTATCGCAGTCCACTGCTGGACATAGGCCTCTCCCATTGCACGCCACTTAGATCGATTTTGGGCTTCTCGCATCCAGCTCCTGCCAGCCATCTTGCGCAAATCGTCACTCCACCTGGCCTGTGCGCGTCCTACACTACGTTTGCTGAGACGCGGTCTCCACTCAAGAACTCGTTTTCCCCAACGGTTATCGGTTCTGCGGCTAATATGGCCAGCCCACTGCCACTTCAGCTTGCTGATCCGAGCTACGTCGAGTCTTCTCATCGTCGATCCCACAGTGCCTTAAGACGAAAGTCTTTAATGACCGCGTCCTACCCGTCATGAAAACTATGGTTACTGCTGATATATTCCTAGCACGGGAGATGTCTACTTATATAATTTTATAAAAATAAATGAGTTATATCACATCTACTGCTATTGATGTCTCTGTCAATCAGAAGGTTAATTCTCGTAATAAAAGTTCGGTCATAATTTGGATACGATCAACTCAGATACGGTATTTTCGTAGTAGATTTAAACGTCCATCGTTGACTGTAATGTGATTATATCGTATTGTGACCGAAAATTGAATCGATAATCTGCTAGTCTTAGTAATACTTTACTATTTTACTACGAAAATAAATTTTATGACAGATGTGAGATCGAGTGTTGATGGGAACTGAAGTTTAAACCGTACTTTTACTACGAGAATTCTCCATCAGGCCACTAGGGCCTCTCTCTGTCTTAAATAGGCGTGGGACATGGGACTTAAAAAATACATTTTTTTTAAATTAATATAGCCATTGTTACAACACATTAGGACCGTTACAGGGAACAGTGTCTTCACCCACTTTGTTGTATCAACTTTACAATAATAATACAGTTAAGAGTGTGTGTATCTGTGCGTGTGTGCATGTGCGTGTGCGTGTGTGTGTGTGTGTGCGTCTGTGTGTGTGTGCGTGTGTGTGTGTTTGATGGCCGTGCTCATTTTACCAAGTTTTCGGTTTGTGTGTAGTCGAGCGAGTGTGTGTTTGTGTGTAGGCATGATTTTATTTTAATTTTGAGATATTTTTTTGCCAATGAATTAATAAGCAGCAATGAACTCTTGACTTGTAGACGTATTAGGGCGGCGGTAGTCACTTGTCATCAGGTAAACTGTCTGCTCTTTTGCAACCCTATTGCATAAAAAATGGATATACTTACAATAGTTGACACCTCCTTCAGACGGTTACGAAGGTCTTGTAGCTGTTCTGTGTATATTTTGACTATTTCCGACTCTCCAGACTTGAAATTTGTCATCTCGATCTAAAATAATAGTATAGTTTATGTATTTCCATTTGAACAAACGAATTTCAACGGTGTCTGTGCGTTAGAGTAATGATAATAACACTATCTGATAAATATACTTGTGAGGTGGTTTAAAGCAATAAATAAGTCTATTTGCAATAAGATATTTGAGTATTATATTAGAAATGTATTGAAGCCACACACGAAAGAGTTACAATAAGACACAAGAGTAGATTAGAAGGAAAAAGATTAAATAATAGAACTAGGTACAGTTTTATGCAACGTTACACATAAGATAACACACGTGATGTGAGGGATGCAACCGGTAAGGGCGCGATGGACATACGTGAAGCGTCGAAGTGTTTACACGAGCGGCGCTCGGCGCGTGCGCAAGCCCTCGGCCGCTCTCCTTAACAAACCGGTTATGCATTCCTCATATTTTACATTATTATATATACATAACAGAAATAGTTTTGTCTGGATATCAACACACACACAATTATTTATCATGATAAATAATTGTGTGTGTGTTGATATCCAGACAAAACTATTTCTGGTGGTGGGAATCGAACCCACTACCTAAGACTTAGCAGTCAAAATGACTAACCTCTAGACCAATAGGCTCGTTGTAGAGTCTAATAATACTACTATAGTACATTCGAAAAACTCCACTTCAAATCAAGTTTATAGTAAAAAATATGCTTTAAATGAAGTGTAGTAAAGAACACATTACCTTGACACTCTCTAACTCAAATATCCTGAGCTGTGAGGCCTTCAGATCAGCCAGTAATGTCGCCTGTTTTGACTCCAACTGATTTATCCGTAAGTCGCGGTCCTCCAATATCGCTTTATTCTCGTTAGGCTATGAATAATAAAGGACATTAATTTTTTGTTAATTTGACATTACCAGCAATATCTAGATAGAGTACAGGTAAGGCGATCATGGCTGAGTCGAGCTATTGCCAACAATGATATTATATACAAACAAGAGGTAGATGCCGTGTGGTTCTCGGCGGAGTAGAATAAAGCCAACCCATCTCTTCCCGTGGGTGTCGTAAAAGGCGACTGAGGAAATCTTTGGACTGTTTATCATCAGACAGTATATATACAGTTCGTGCGGTACTTGTCCTGGTGGCCTCTCCAACCGCTGAATATTGGTACATACCGCAGTCTAAGTCCTGTCTCCCATCCTAGTACTGCGGTATTCCCCCTCCCAATTTTCCTCTCTTATCCAATCCTCTCACCCCCGATGTTTCCTTTTTTCCTTTCCCTATCGTATAAACGACTACATTCCCAAAGAGGGTTGGCGACAGGCAGGCGGCCGGCCATAAAATTAATTAGCCAAAACGACTATAATGCAGTATAAGTATGATACAAATTGAGTGCGACAGTGCTAGGGCGTACCCCGTAGGCGACGCGCGGCAGCAGCACCCGGCTACGCGAATAAGTGGACAAGGGTTGTTGCACCACCCGAGGCGGGTGCAACGTAAGAAGCAAGCCCGAGAGGTGAGGTTGAGGTATGCAAGTTGGAATGTAGGGACTATGTCTGGAAGAGCGAGAGAGCTAGCAGATGTGTTGAAAAGAAGAAGAATAAACGTGGCATGCTTGCAAGAAACAAAATGGAAGGGTACGAAAGCAAGAGAGATAGGAGAGGGGTACAAGTTTTATTACTGCGGAAGTGATGGGAAGAGAAATGGAGTGGGTGTAGTATTGGATAGTGCCCTGAAAGAGCGTGTGACGGATGTAAAGAGAGTGAACGATAGAATAATAGTACTAAAATTAGTATGGGAGAGCGTAATTATGAATATTGTTAGCGTGTATGCACCTCAAGCTGGATGCAAGGATGAAGTGAAAGAAAAATTTTGGGCCGATTTTGTCATGGTTTTGATAGGTATCCCTGAAAGTGAAGAACTTCTGATAGGTGGAGATTTTAATGGTCATGTGGGAACAACGAATGAGGATTATGAAAGAGTACATGGAGGAAGGGGGTTCGGAAGTAGAAACATTGACGGCGAGTCTCTGCTCCAGTTTTCCTCTTCGTTTGACCTGGCAATAGTTAACACATGGTTCCAAAAACGTCACGAACATCTGATCACGTATAAAAGTGGTAGCACACAGACACAGATCGACTACTTTCTCATAAAAAGAAGTAAGTTGGTTTGTGTCCGAGACTGCAAAGTGGTGCCCGGGGAACCCGTAGTATCGCAACATAGATTGCTGGTAATGGAGTTCAAATGGAAGAGTTTGAGTAAGAGTAGGAAAAACCGACCTTCTCCAAGAATCAGGTGGCGAATGTTAGAGAAAGAAGAGTATGCAAGTAACTTTAAGATAAAGGTGGTAGAAAAAATGATTGAAATGAATGCAAGGCTAGATAAGTCTGTGGATGGATGGTGGAGTGAAATGGCAAATTCTATACGAAAGATAGCGAAAGAAGTACTTGGGGAAACAAAAGGAAAAGGCATTATTGAAAGAGAGACATGGTGGTGGAGTGATGAGGTACAGAAAGCTCTAAAAGAAAAGAAGGATGCCTTTAAAGCGTGGAAAAATGAAAAGGTCTGTGAGAGAATGAAGGAAGTCAAAATGAATGAATATAAAGAGTGGAAGAAAAAGGCAAAAAAAGCGGTAGCGGTAGCCAGAGCTGAAGCTCAATATAACATATTTAAACATCTACATGAACCTAGAGGTCAAAAAGAACTCTACCGCATTACAAAGAACAGGGAAGAAAGAGCAAAAGACCTGAAGCATGTGAGATGTATAAAAGATGAAGAGGGGAGAGTGTTGGTTAAAGATGAAGATATAAAAAAGCGAAAACTTACTTTGAAAAAAATATGAATGAAGAGAATAAATGGAGCGGAGTGCTAAAGCATGTGGATGTGAATGTCGGACTGGTGAACGAGATTAGTATAGATGAAGTTAGATTGGCAGTACGAAGTATGAAAAATGGAAAAGTAGTTGGCCCCGACGGTATACCAGTGGAAGTTTGGAAGCTACTGAAAGAAGACGGATATGAGTGGCTGACTCTATTCTTCAATATGTTGTTGCTTGAAGAGGTAATCCCAAAGGAATGGTGTCAAACCCAACTCGTACCCATTTTCAAAAATAAAGGAGATGTTCAGGAATGCAACAACTATCGAGGAATAAAGCTCATGTCACATACTATGAAAGTCTGGGAGAAAGTGATTGAGAGAAGAATAAGAGATGAGAGTCAGATAACCCAAAGTCAATTTGGGTTTATGCCAGGACGCGGGACAACAGATGCTATATTTGCAATGCGCCAACTATGTGAGAAATACAGGAGTGCGCACAAAAACTTGCATATAGTGTTTGTGGATCTCGAAAAGGCATATGATAGGGTACCCCGAGAGGTTTTGTGGTGGGCTTTGAAAGAAGAAAGAGTGCCTGTTAAGTATGTAGAATTGATTCGTGCTATGTACAGAGAGTCTAGCACTCATGTAAGGTCGGTCACGACAAACACTGATCAATTCAGTGTCTCTGTAGGCTTGCACCAGGGATCAGCTCTGAGCCCATACCTCTTCCTGTTGATAATGGATGCTCTGACATCAGACATACAGGAGGAGGCACCTTGGTGCATGCTATTTGCAGATGACATTATGTTGGTCGGTGAGGATGGGGTTGAGGTCCAGAGCAGACTGGAAAAATGGCAACAAAGGCTGGAGAATGTTGGCTTGAAAATCAGCAGAACCAAAACTGAGTACATGTTCTGCGATTTCGGCGGTCTCTCCAGTCCTGAAACCATTTCACTGGATGGGATAGCGATAACAGTCTGCTCCAATTTCAAGTACCTCGGCTCCCTCTTACAATGTGATGGTGAGATTGATCGAACTGTACAGCATCGAATCAATACGGGATGGATGAAGTGGCGGCAGGTAACGGGAACAACTTGTGACCCCAGTTTCCCCTTAACACTGAAGGGCCAAATCTATAAAACTATTATCAGACCTGCCGTCCTGTATGGTTCTGAAAGTTGGCCCGTTAAGAAAACGGATGAGAGACGTCTGAACGTAGCCGAAATGCGAATGCTGATATGGATGTGTGGTGTGACTCAGATGGACAAGGTTAGGAATGAGTATATACGAGGGAGTCTGAAAGTAGCGCCACTGGATGAAAAGTTAAGAAGTAATAGGTTATCTTGGTATGGACATGTCATGCGGAGGGATGAGGAAAATGTGGCAAAGAAAGTTTTAGGTATGGGAGTTGAAGGGTACAAGAGAAGAGGCAGACCGAAGAAAAGGTGGATGGACTGCGTGAGGGAGGATATGGCTATGAAGGGAGTAAACAGTGAGATGACGCATGACAGAGTAGAATGGAAAAATCATACATACTGCGCCGACCCCAAATAAAATTGGGAAAAGGGTAGGCAGATGGATATGAGGTAGATACCAACGCACAAAACGCGGGGGTCCTAATTAGGACCATTGCAAGCGAGCGCACGTACTAATTAATTAAAACGACTAACGGCATGGAACACATACTACTGGTCTTTCTGTTAACTCCTCCAGTTACAATAAATGATTGGCGTGGATGGATTCACGTTTATGATGTGCTAGGTGGGGTTCGAACCTGCTAACACTTGATCTTAAGTCCGCTGACTTACCTGTTACGCTACCGCCGTCCAATTCTCGCAAATTTAACAGTTTAACTTTATATACCTACTTAAACCTGGGGATGATAAAAATTTGCATATACGGTAACTACTTACAGCTGACAACGTGGCAATTTTTATTTCTAAATCCTGTATCGTGTCTTTCAAGTCGCGTATTTCCATTAGGCGATCTCCGTCCTTAAGCTGCAAAATATATAACATATAAAATTAAGTAAGTACATTACCAGAGAGACACTCAGTTGTAACTTTTTCAAAGTTAATATTGAACAAAGAGGATTTAAAAAATTTAGTATCAATAAATATTGTTCCTTTGATTGCTAAAGCTTAAATCCGTCGTGACATAGGGACCTATAATATTCATAGAGATTCCTGAATTGTGTTACTGCTGTTTATCTGCTTTTTTACAATAAAACTTCACTTACAGTACGAAAATTTATCTAATTTCATTTTATTACAGTCGTTACGTTCAAGTAGTAAAATAAGGCAAAATAATAATAAAAAAATAATTTAAATGTTTCTGATTACTTAGTCACAGCAATAGTTACGTTCGTGACGTCATCGGATGTCGGTAATTGCCGACTGAGGCGTGGTGGGGTCTGTATTTGCAAGACTTCCCACTTGTGAATTAGGGAGTAGCAGCATAACAAACGAATTAACGATTAATAAAAATAATAATAGGAGGACTGATTAAAGCGCCTCAGTTTATTCTTTGTATGAAAAAATATAATATCGAAAATATAGTAAAAATAGTTTATGATATTTTATGTACCTAAACTAATTTTTTGCTAACATTTCGATATAATTTTGCATTTCGGGGTGTTTTTTGTTTATCGTTTTCCTATTTTTTTGGGAAAATCATAAATCTTGGCTTATTATTTAAAGATACCAGAGCCCAAAGGAGTGAAACCTGTGTGAGTCACAGACTTTTGATTAAACCCCCCCCCCCCCCTTTATTTATTATGTTATTGGCACTTAAATTTATGATTATAAATGAGTAGATATTAAGATTATAAGGACGGCAGAAAAAAATTGTACCTCGGAAGTTGGCCTAAATGTAAACCTAATATGTAATAAATCAGGAAAGTCCTGTCAAATGGTCTATGACTTGTATATGACGAAAAAATTAATAATACAGCTTTGACTTTTTTTTAGCATTTCATACAACTTTGTTTGAATAACATACGAATTAAGAAATTTCATTTTTGTATAAAAAATCTTAACCGAGTTACGAAATTTTGAAATAATTTTTGGTCTCTAGTATTAAATTGGATATTTCGAGATAAAAGGTTTCGGATATTTCGGTTACTTATTTTTAGAGTAAATCTATCGTTTGTCAGTGTGTATAAAATATATAATATTATAAAGCTGAAAAGTTTGTTTGTTTTGTTGATCTCAGAAACTACTGGTTTGAATTGAAAAAAAATTGTGTTGGATATCGAGAAAAGCTATTGGCTATATAACATCACGCTATGACCAATAGGAGCGGTGTATCAATGAAAAATGTTACAAAAACGGAGAAATAGAGAGAGAAAGAGTTGCAGAAGAAGTTGTACGGGTCAGGTATTTAGATATATATACAAAATGTAAACTTACTGCGGCATCCTCTAATTTCTCCTTCAACTCATCTCTCTCTTTAGATATTGCATCAACTATGTGCTCCAATGATTCCCTCTGCCAGGTTAACTTCTCATTTTCTACTATCACCTGAAATAAAACAGAACAAAATCTGACTCATCTAATCTCTTTTCTCTCATTTTTCAAAAGACAACTCTCGCACTAGGAACATGTCCTGTGTCGACTGCCGGGGACTTTACAAACATACACGAAAAGTACGTGTTAATTGTTATATGCATGTGCAGGTATGTGTGTGTTTTTTTTTATTTTTAAAGACAACTCTCTCACTAGGAATATATCCTGTGTCGCGAGGGACTTTACAAACATATATTAAACGGACACAAAGAACATCCAGACTCAGAACAACAATTTGCGGATCACACAAAGTGTTATCCCATGTGGGAATCGAGCCCACAACACCCGGCGTGGGGACCGCTTAAACCACAACAAAGCAACGAAAGAAGTGCTTAACACCAGTTTTCTGTGAGACCGTGGTAACACACAGGTCGAGCCAGGACATATGTGACCCACCCCTCCTCTAAGACTCACTTTTGCTAACAAGATCTTTGAAAGCATTTATCAGACCTTTTACAGGAATTAAAAAAAATTTAAAGACTAAATTATTATCCGTCCCCGCTGGAAATCATTGGGAGAGGCCTATGTCCAGCAGTGGACAAGCATAGGCTGAGGTGATGGTGATGAAAGACTGAATTATGGATTAAGTACTATTAAATAAACATCATCTTTAAAAAGTAATTACGCTTTTAAACCTAATAAAACCAATTTCAACATCCTCTTTAGTTAAAGCAACCAAATTTTAAAAAAATTGTAAAAGTAAATACGCGACCTACATTTAAGGCCAAACAAATTCCTAAGTATACGACGTCATGTTGTCTTCGTGTTTGGTCATGTGTGTATCTAATTGTACATACTGCACGGATGGCGTAGTGGTTTAAGCGGTCCGCTTGCTAATTCGTAGAGTGTTGTGTGTTCGACCCCAATATGGAACAATATACCCCCATATGGTTCTGAGTCTGGGTGTTGTTTGTGTCCGTTTAATGTATGTTTGTAAAGTCCCCCGCGACACAGGATATATTCCTAGTGAGAGAGTTGTCTTTAAAAATAAAAAAAAACACACACATACCTGGACATGCATATAACAGTTAACACGCTTAGTAAATATGTTAAATAAATGTAGAATAATAATGTATTATTTGGACAGACACGAATTTAAAGATAGGAAAATACCAGATACACTAATAATAATTACTTAACCTTATTACGAATTTAACACGTTTAAATAATCAATTGTTAAGTACAGATAAGAAAACACAATACAGCATCAAACTAAGAAATATATACTATAAGTATTAAGTACATGCCTTTGATTTGCTGACGTTTCGTCCAGGTCAACTCTCGTAAGAAATATTCGGTCAAAATTCCGTACCGATCAAACCCTCGATCTCACAAATGTCATAACAGGTATTTTCGTAGTAGGTAAAGTATTAAACATCAAACGTTGATTGTGAACGAAATTTGAATCGGTAATCTGCTAGTAATCCCCTATCCATCCCGTGGGTGTTGTAAGAGTCAACTAAGGGAAAAAAACTACGCAGAACAACAGCACTGCAGAGAGAAGGAAAACTTGACACAAACCCTATACCAACCCGTCTGGCCAGCGTGGTATAGTAGGCCAAAACCTCCTTTCTAAGGAGAACCTTATGTCCAGCAGTGGACTATTAAAGGCTGTTGATGATGATGAATCTGCTAGTGTTAGTAATATTTTTCAACAAAAATACCTTCTATCACATCTGTGAGTAATAATAAAATAATAAAACGTTTATTTCTCATCCACAAATGTTCCTTAACATTAAAACATTATAAAAATACCCATGTGGTGGATGTCCTTTATGAGAGACTGGTAGTGCTATGTGACTAGGTGTTCCTGTCACACAGATTACCAGGCCCCCCTAGGATAGAAGTTGCTTACATAGTAACAATGCTATTCTAATTCACAGTAAAAATCTAATATAAGAAGCAATAACAAATATTTTATAGACTAATTGTGTGTGCGTGTATGTGAATGTGTGTACGTGTGTATATTAGACATGTGTCGACTAGAATAGATCGGAACTGAATTTTGATCGAGCTTTAATTACGAGAATTGACCCTCTGGTTGCACTGGCCGTGGTCACAGGCCGACTCCAGGTCACGGACAGTGCAACTTGGTCGAAACCGTCAGGTAATTGAAAGGTATGTACTATATAAAAAGACTTTTTATTTCTGTTATATTACCTGTCGTCGTTGCTTCTCAACGAGCTCTAACTGCGCGGTCAGTTTGTGTATCGTGTCGTCATCGGGTGACGACACGAACTCCACCGCCGATGAGGGACCAGACTTCGCGGGCTCTTTCTCTCCGTTTTCAGAGTTAGTGTGCGAGTGTAACATTGACTCCGAGAGGTGAGTGATGTCTTGTTTTAGCTTCTTGTTTTCGTGGCGTAACTGTAAACAACATAATGATATTTTACCTACTAATATTACTGGACTTTCCGCAAAGATGTATAACACACGGTTCATAATAGTATAAGTTAAGTAGTACCACTCCAAAAAACGCTTTACGCTGTAGAGGATCAAACGACCAAAGGAGTCACCTTAGGCCCAAGTGTGGGTTTATTTCACATCAACTAGATCGTCACGGTAATAGCGTTCGGCGCTGCGATTGGCCCGCACTGAAATCTGCACCAATCGCAAATCCAAATGCGCTCGCTGTCGAGAGCTAACCATCACCGCCTTGTCATTATCATCATCATCAACAGCCTTTACTAGCCCACTGCTGGACATAGGCCTCTCCTTAGAAAGGAGGTTCTCCTTGTCATTATACGTGTAAATAAATCAAGGTAGACTTCCAGTCACTAGTGATATTGGACCCGTGCGTTGTCAACGTATGGTAGGCATGCGATTAGCGAGTTGTCAAAGAGTACTCGTAGCCTGCGTTCTTGCGTGAACATCGCGTATAGTTGATGTGGGGTGTGGTGAGCGCATATTCGTAAAGTCCATTTGAAGAATACCACCCGCACCAGGGCGATGCTGGTCGGATGCCTAGTTGCTAGTCGGCAACTTTTAAGACAAGCAGTTACTGTCCACTTTCGAGTACTAAGCAATAATTAACGATACCATATACCTATATAGAAGACGCAGTACACTTTGCTATATACACTCACAACGAACTCATATTGTTTGAAAGAATTAACTCGTCAAAAACTTAGCATTTTTTTTCAATTCCATGCAGTTTAAGGGCTAAAGAATAAAAACTACGGAATAGCAACCACGGTCAATAACCGTAAGACTGAGCGCCATTAACTATGAACTTTATCGTATAAAGTTAGAGTTGGTATTTAATAGTCATGTTAAAACATGCCATCTTAGTCCTATATATTATTTAAACTTACTTTGCTAAATATAATGAATTTAATTTACGTTATAATATGCTGTATTTACACTTTTTTGATACAATTTAATTGGCCTTGTAAAAAAATGTAACGATGAATTACATTAATACCAAATAATTTGCATTAAGTGCTAGTATATATTTGTGAAAAGAAGTACCTTTTCAACCAATTGCTTCGTCTCATCAAACTTTTCCTTATGCAGCATATGGGTCTTCATCATGTCCTCTTGACACGAAGCTATCAGAAGAAACTGTTCTTTCATTGACTCGTTGTTCTGCTTCAAAGTCTCTTTGAGAATTACATTCTCGTCCAGAATTTCGCCAAAGCGCTTCTGTAACTCTTCTGTGCTTTTGTCGTCATTAATAATAGTACTGGCTATCATCATACTAGTTGGAGAAGGCTGAAGAAGAATATTTTTTATTAGTTTAATTATTCCCCAGGCAATATCCGAAAAGAAAAAAAAGAGGTTAAAAAGCTGTTCTTTTTTTTAAACATAATATTAATGTCAAAAATACCTGCTATGACACAAAATCATTAAAATAAAAAAAAAAAACACAAATGATAAACTGTTGCGTACTGCGACTTCTAACACAAAGTTTCCTCAACGCGAGTGTTCCAACATGCGATCCAAAACAAACACTAGAAAAAAACTCCTTTCTATAACCTTATCTGTGGGAATACCCTTGCAATACACTAGTTATATGTTAGAGAGTGTATCGAGTTCAAGAATAATGACGTCAGAATAGTTTTAAAGGTGTACTGCGTCAGCCCGTACGAGTATCACCTATTAAGAGGTGTCACAAGACTAAATCATGAGATTTTATCCATTTAAATGTGACAATCCTCATAACCCTTCTAGGGTCTATTAAAAAGAGTATTAGAACGAATATTGGATAATATACCTACTTACAAAAATTACCATAGAATTTTTAAAAAGAAATTCGATTAAAACGTACCAATAAAGATAAGGTTTGATTCATACGTATTGGATTTTAATTGTTATCTTTTATTTTAAGGATTATCTTATATTTTAAATGATGTCTTAAATTATCTTACTTTTAATGGTTTCCATAAGGAGGAAGGAGGTTATCAATCAAGTGATAATTTTTTGTGTATATGTCACGAGATATCTTCGACATTTTTAAACGATTTCAAAAATTCTTGTGTTAATTAAATTAGATTTACTCAAGGTTGGTACCATTTCTTTTTAAATCACAATGACTTTAGGCCACAGTATACGTACGTAACATAATTATTTCAGTCCAACCGAAGGTTACCTGGCGAAAATTGCTCTGAGCAATAAGGCCTCCCTTTATTCGTTATTTTTACGCCTGTAACCCAAAAAAGACAACTGCGTTGCGGCCACCATACCAAAATAAGGAGGGAGGTGCTGGGGAGTCGTTCTTCTGGTAACTTCACTCACTCGGTGTAAAGCAACAAACACCGCTTTTCTGTGAGGCAGCGGTAAAACTCCAGTCGAGCAGGTCCAATTGTACCAAGCAAGACTCTTCCACGGTTGCCAATACTTCATCATCATCATCAACAGCCTATACTAGTCCACTGCTGGACATAGGCCTCTCCTTAGAAAGGAGGTTTTGGCCTACTATACCACGCTGGCCAGACGGGTTGGTATAGGGTTTGCCAATACTTAATTTTAATAAAAGATTAGAAAGTATTTATCATCCATAGGATTTAATATTCCCCGTATGTTGAATAATCTTTCTAATCACAAATCTGATAAGCGTTATTGATATTCGACGTTCGAAACTGATAAATATGCTTTCGTGATAGCCACATTATTTGCTATCACGACTGAGGCCCAGGTGTAAGTTTATTTCACATCAACTCGATCGTCACCGCGATTGCGTTTGGCGCTGCGATTGGCCCGCACTGAAACCTGCACCAATCACAACGCCAACTCGGGTTTTCCGAGTTGTAGAGTAGAGTGTAGAGTCACAAACATTGCATTGTCTAAGAAATCCCTAATAGTAATAAAAATGCGAAAGTAACTCGCTATTACGCTTTGATGGCTAATACGTTTATTATGGTAATAAAATAATTTTAAATGGAACAAATTCTTTGTGTACCTAGTACGTTTAAATCGCTGTTTGTTTCCCTGTTTAAACAAATATGGCGCCGGATGCATATCACATTTAGAATATTTATTGCTTTTATGCGATACATACATCAAAATACGGATACAGCGGTATATAATACCATATTATGACGATGCGATACGTTGCGATGGGTTCTATTGGTTCGTTATTTTAAGAGTCATAATATACACCATGAAAGGACGTTTGGGCACTATACATAAGACCTTTTTGTGCATCCCTATGGCATTTCAGTAGTCCACATTGTTATTACAGTGTCCCAATCCAAGTTGACGTCATAACAAGAATTTCTCGCAAAAACTCAGGTAGCCCACCGCGTTTTTAACATTATAAATTCACCAGGTAGTTTTTGCATCATCTGCGCCTTTTTGAATAAACACGGAAGTGATCATGAATAATAATAACTTAACACATCTTACACACGGCAATCGTCACGGTGACAGCATTCGGCGCTGTGATTGGCAAATGGTTCAGCGCGGACCAATCACAACGCCGACAGCCGTCACCGTAACGATCGATTTGATTTGAAATAAACTCGCACTAGGGCCACTAATCCTAAGCTAAGCCCAACGAATTGTGCTGAGCCATGTTTCAGCACAATTCGTTGGGTGACTACACAGTCAGTAACCGGTGAGTGAGAATGAAAGGCCTGATGGTACTGAATTATTAAAATAATTTTAAAGTATCTTTCCCCGAAACTGATCACTGTTTACTTACACAGTGAAATGGTATATACTATTATCGCTGCTATAGAAACCATACCAAGAGCTTTATTGAATAAATCCTCTTTTAAGCGGCAGCAGTATGCGGTGACAGAATAATATAACATACGGCGTGCGAATATTATAACATACAACCCTATTCATCCCGGTTGTGTCGAAAGAGTCGACTAAGGGAGCAAAGTACGCAGGACAACAGCACTGAAAGAGAAGGAAAACTTGACACAAACCCTATATCAACCCGTCCCGTCAGCGTGGTATAGTAGACCAAAACTTATTTTCTAAGGCGAGGCCTATGTCCAGCAGTAGACTATTAAAGGCTGTTGATGAAACAGTATGGCTGTGTGCAGTTTTAGTGTCAGCTTATAGGTTTATTCGATTGAGACACGCCTCTTTAAAGAAAGCCTCGGTGGAGGTGATTGACCATGACGGTTTCTTGTAAAATATTTTTCCTTTAGACCCGTATTACAAACTTTTTCAGTAAATAATTTAGGTACTTCAGACGTGACGCATACAAGGACATTTCATTTAAAATATACATCCGTGCTCGTGTGTGTGTGCAAAGTAAATTCCCTACATTGATTCATTCAATATTGTTATATTTCAATGGAATTAACAGACACAGCACACCTACTGTCCTGACGCCGGTGACGTGATTTGTGTAAATTTGAAAGACGCTTTTTGCTTTTGATAGCCACATTTATCATGAACACTATTAGCAATTTAATATTAGGCTACGACCCGACCCGAGTAGTGACCATAAACAAAGGTGAAACAAGAAACTTGTCTTTCCTTTACAAAATAATATTGTAAGTACGTTTAATGTTTTACATACAAGGTTGAAGAAGAAATCGTACTATGGTTCATACGAGGTCAGGCATTACAATAATTCTGATTATAAATTATTGTTATTAACTAAACAATATCATAATATAACTTGTAAAGATAATAAATACGAGTGCGGGTCAATAAGTCCGTGACTTTTTGAATTTCTGACCTCTTTACTGAAAAAGCAACACTACTCCTGTCAACAGGCATCTGTCAGTTGACTCCTGTCAAAATTTGAACTTGCTGCGTCAGTTAGTTTGTGTTTGACAGCTATCTTTATCAGACTACCCAGTAATTTGAGGAAATATGGAAAAAAGTGAATTCCGAGTGCTTATTAAGCATTATTTTTTGCGAAAAAAAACCATTACCGAGACCAAGGCTAAGCTTGATAAATACTATGGGGACTCTGCACCATCGATTTCAATGGTAAAAAAGTGGTTTACTGAATTTCGTTGTGGCCGTACAAGCACTGAAGATGCCGAACGTCCTGGACGCCCAGTTGAGGTCTCTTCACCCGAAACAATCGAAAAAATTCACGATATGGTGTTGGCTGACCGAAGATTGAAAGTGCAAGAGATTGTGGAAGCCGTAGGGCTATCTCGCATGGCTCAGTGGTTTCAATTTTGAATGATCACTTGGGCATGAGAAAGCTTTCCGCAAGATGGGTGCCGCGATTGCTCACAGTCGACCACAAACGCAATCGTGTAACAACTTCACAGGAAGGTTTGGCGTTGTTTAATCGCAATATGGAGGAGTTTTTGCGCCGTTTTGTAACCGTGGACGAAACATGGATCCATCACAACACACCAGAGACCAAACAACAGTCAAAACAGTGGGTTTCTAAGGGTGAATCGGCGCCAAAGAAGGCCAAGGTGGGTTTGTCAGCCAATAAAGTTATGGCGACTGTCTTTTGGGATGCACGCGGGATAATCCACATTGACTACCTTCAAAAGGGAAGAACAATCAATGGGGAATATTATGCCAACTTATTGGACCGATTCAATGACGATTTGAAAAAAAACCGACCTCATTTGGCCAAGAACAAAGTTCTTTTCCACCAAGACAATGCAAGGGTGCACACATGTGCAGTTGCCATGGCAAAAATCCATAAATTGGGCTATGAATTGCTCCCTCATCCGCACTACTCTCCAGATTTGGTTGATAAGTTGTATAGAGCTCAAGGGAGACTACGTTGAAAAATAAAATGATTTATTTATCTATCTATCTGTGTTTTATTCCAAAAGTCACGGACTTATTGACCCGCCCTCATATTATATTATGTGACCTTTATGTATTGCACTTAAATATTGTGTTAAGATATAGTAGATGGCCCGGGGTACGTCGGGGTGCCAGGGCTTTCCTTTCTAGGGTATATCTGGTTCCCCGGCTACTGGTACCTGCAGATGGCGTGCGGTTTTTGGTCGGTTCGAGTCCGACATAATCACAGAAAAAAAAAGATATAATATAACACATTTTTCAGTCGTGCTTAATATACCAACCGACTTCCGCAGTTTTACCTGCATTGATTATTACTGTACTGCTCGTAAGGGTCCTAACGTGATGATAAAAAGCCCATAACTTTATTATATTATCCATTTTTAGGGTTCCGTACCTCAAACGGTAAAAAAGGAACCCTTAAAAGATCACTTTCTTGTCCGTCTGTCCGTGTGTCACCACCGATTTTCTCAGGAACGGGTAGACCTAGCAAGTTGAAATTTATACCAGATACTGAGGTCTATGGTCCCTATTAGGTGTATAAAAATCAAGGTCCTGAGTCAACACGATAAAAAGATATGGGCGAATTTTGATTTTCGCGAAAACTTGTAAGTACCAAAATTTACCTTAATTTTCAACTTTTTTTATTTTTCTGAATTTTCTCTTAACTTGTGCTGTAAGACCTAGCTTTTAACCAAAATTGACAATTCTAGGTCAACCGGAAGTACCCTATAGGTTTTGGGTCGAAAACCTATAATGGTAGTTCCCGTTGACCTAGAATTTCGAAATTTGGCAAAAAGAAACGTCATACAGCACAAATCAAGGAATAATTTCAAAGAATAAAAAAGTTGAAAATTAAGATAAATTTTGGTATTTACAAATTTTCGCGAAAATCTACGTAAAATCTGCGTAGATACGGAACCCTCGGCGCACGAGTTCGACTCGTAACTGACCGCTTTTTTTTTGTTGAGATTGTGATAATCTTTGCAAAACTATCACTTACTTAGGTATGTGTCGTGTAAGTGAAAGTGTGAGTAAAATGTCGTACAACGGTAAATACATATATTACTTAAGAACTGTATGCACAAATGACCCCACTGACATTTTTAAACATTTTTATTAACCCAAAAATGCCGAATGAGGTTTGAGTAATGTCAAGAAAAACATAAGTCATGCGTTGTTATTTTATTACTTTTGCAATAAATTTTTCAAATTACATAAGATACCTCGTTCGATGTACTTTGAATGTGAACACTCCATGCCTGTTGCTAATTGCTATTTGCTATTAAGTAATAATTGCAACCATTTACATTTTACTAATTTTATGACCCCTTATCTATATTAGTGTTATCTAACACCTCAAAATGTATCAGCTCTAGTCTGTGGTAGAATCAAATACTACATTGATTGACATCAGAGAGGTTTAAATTTCGAATCAATCCACATCACACAACACACAGATAAAATAATAATACTTACACCACACTGTCCAAGTTTGAAATGAGCCTTAAACGCCATGTTAGCCTCATGTGGTAGGTCCTTCATGGCTTCTTCCATTTGCTCTTTGTCAACTGTTACGTCACCGTTCTCTGTTCCACTGTATTTCATGTCTAAGCTTGATCCTGGCGAGGTTCCAAGGATTATGAAAGAATCGTCGTCTCCGTTTTGAGTTGTTGTCATTGTCTTACATTAATCTGTGAAAAAGAAGTAAAAATATTTTATCTATGTGAGCGTGAGCGCACTGCAGAGAGAAGGAAAACTTGACACAAACCCTATACCAACCCGTCTGGCCAGCGTGGTATAGTAGGCCAAAACCTCCTTTCTAAGGAGAGGCTTATGTCCAGCAGTGGACTATTAAAGGCTGTTGATGATGTGAGCGTAACTCCCTCGCCCTATCCGTTACGTTCTTCCTTTGTCCCGTCTAAAAACGATGTGTATACAAGAAAGGTTGGCGTCAGGCACGCACCCAGCCATAAAAAAAAAACAACCAAATCCTTTGCTTTTATCTATACATATAATATGTTATTATCAGTAGCGACAAAAGTGGATTCTATGCACAAATTAGGCTATTTGCATGAAAACAACTTAGAACAATTTTGAAGTACATTATTGTCGAACATCTCAGTATTGAGACCCATGTTATAATCATCTTAGCAACGTTTCTTCTCTACTAAATCTCTCATATAGTAATTTGACCCATATATACACAGTAATACATATTTATTATTGACGATCTTTGCATGCAATATCTGATCAGTTCAAATGATATGCCATAGATAGCCTAACTGCCTATTACTCGAGAGCAATTCTATTAAGAACTAATGATCTGAAGATCCTTTCTTTTACGGTTCTTAAACATATATATGTTGTTTTAATAAGATCCAGTCCAATATAATATGGAGTAGTTGTGACGCAAAAGGATTACTAATCTGTTACTATCCATTATCAAAATCTACACAAAAAATATGAATACAGACTTGCTGGTTCAATTTTGGCTCGTTTTGATTGAAGATCCTGAAGTATCAATTGTTCAAGAGCTGACTGCCAACCTTCGCTAGTCGGAGAGGCATTCAAAGTATAAGAAATGGATTGGAACTCTTTCGAACGAAACGGTCCACATGCTAGGTATAAAAACACAGAGTACCATTAAACTGGTTCATTGACATCGAAACTCATTTAAATTAAGACATTAAATAAGCATTGCTAATTAAATAGTATTTAATAAAAAGGACGAAACGTATGTGCTGCTTTTGGAAATATTGAATAAGAAACAAATAATAAATGAACGAAATAAAGTACATAGGAACATGTATTTTTCGACAGTTGACAGTAAATATGTACTTGTCGCTGTGAGGAGGAGCCGTAATATTATAATTAACCGACTTCAAAAAGGTAGGAAATTCTAAGTTCGATTGTTTTTTTTTTTTGTGTTTGTAACCTCAGAACTCTTTCATTTATTAACCGATTTCCACTCTTCTTTTTGTATCTTTGTGGGTTTCAGGGGTTTCTTCCCGTTTTGGTCCCATCCAAAAACGAAAAAGGTTAGTATCACTTTGAAAATGGATGCAGTTTTTTCGTGATAATGTGTGGATAAGCGATAAAACCCTTATCCCTGTTTATGACGTTATATCATCATCAGCCTATCGCAGTCCACTGCTGGACATAGGCCGATTTTGGGCTTTTTTTATACTATTTTCATGCCAGCTTTACTGCTTAACAAAAACCAAAGGATAATTTTATTGTTTTTAAACATTCAGGGTTTTACAGGATGTCAGCTGTACACCGGTTGTCCAAGTCATGCAGTTGCATCAAAGTATGAGCAGACAATGAACCAACATTCGGGTCCGTTCAAAAAGGTAGGTTTATTAAAAAGACGGCTCCAGCATTAGGAATATATCCTGTGTCGCGGGGGACTTTACAAACATACATGAAACGGACACAAAGAACACCCAGACTCAGAACAACAATTTGTGGATCACACAAAGTGTCGTCCCATGTGGGGATCGGACCCACAACACTCCACTCTTTCTCCACTACGCCATCCGTGCAGTCCAAAATTGAGAGAAACGAGAATGTAAGTTTTAGAAAAAGTTTCTAAAGTGTAAAGTCAATAACCGCCTCTGGACTGGATCTCTTAGATCAAAAATTCACAAACAAGATAGTAATAACTTGAACTTCTCACACCTCAATGTTTCAACAAACAAAACTTGTGACATGGACAAATAATGATGACAGGGCAAATGTATTGTAATTTATTTCAAAGTTAATAAAGCAAATTTACAGTATTTTTATAAGCACCTGTGTAAATTGATTAAAGAGTTTGCAAGTGGATGAGTTAAACTCACTGAAACTAATTTTTTTATTATATAATTTTGTCTCTGTTTGGAAGTTCTTAACATAAAGGCTTCAGATTATAATTAACCTCCTTTCTAAGGAGAGGAATATGTCTAGCAGTGGACTATTAGAAGGTGTTGATGTAATATATAATAATATTATATATATATATAATTTAATATTCTAAAACCACCCACTCCTAACACAAGTAATTTAGCTTAGCTAGCTTAGGAGTTAACGGGAATACTTGTAATTTCGGTTCCTAGAAGACCTTTATAAAAAAAATACATTAAATGTTCATGCATACAAATGTTTGACTTGAGCGGGAACCGAACCTGCAACCTTTGGAATAGCAGTCTGTTACACAAACCATTACACCAGCCAGTCGACTAATATGTAATATGATAGCTAAGCTTAAACCTTAAATAAGCCAAATGACAGGCATCCCACAGCTCAGTGCAAATATTTGTATTAATAAATATGTTTCTTTGTCTGGTCTCTATGCCTTTAACTTTGTATATTAAATCATGTTTAATTCAGTACAGGGTTTGTTTAGATCTATAAATTGCTGTCTATTAAGTTCAAGAATACTATTTTAAGGATATTTTAACATTTAAAAGTATTCATAAATAAAGGGTGTTAAAGTTTGTGCTGTGTCCCAAGAATTATTGACAACATTACATTTCATGTCAATGATAACATTGCGTACTATACACATACATGTTCGCAAAAAATAAGAGATAATAAAATGTAGGTTGATCTCAATCATTGTTATCGTGTTATATAAAATCACACCAAAATACGAATGTGAATATATGGGGCAGTTAATGCACTCAAATGAAAACAACCTAAAATTTAAAAGCAAGTACAATCATGTTACAATGTTAACTTGGGTCTGATGTAGTGCGAACTCGACAATTTTTTTGTATGAGTATGTAGGAATGTTTGTGTTGTCCGTGTTGAAAACTGTTACATACACATTTAAATAGGTAATCTAAACAATATCTTTAAAATTTGATAGGTTTCTATGTAACATGAATAAAATGATAACTTGCCTAGCGTAATATTGATTTTGTCAATCAAAAAGTAACCCATGTGCTAGTCCAGACTCTTATCTATCTGTAGTAAAAGCCAAATGTATATACATATCTATACAAATAAATGAAAAAACCCTTTAAAATTTCCAGCGCTTTTCAAATTCCACATGAATGAATAAAAAATATATACATGTAGAAATATTAGTGTCTGAAAATTATTTCATAAAATATTAAGATATTGCATAAGACTAGTCATATGGAATCTACATCATATCTTACATTAAATAAAATCAAAACAAAGAAAATAAATCAACATGTGTTCAAAATTTGAAATTTCTTGCACTTGCACAACAAGTATAAAATAATTTATATATATATATATAAAGTCAAATGAATATATATATATAATATATATATTCATTTGACTGTTAAAATAAGTCAATGATATTGTTAAAAATATATTTTTTGTACCAATGAAGACAATGTTTAAATGTGTAAGTGGAAACAAAGTCCCTTTCTCTATTGGCTTCCTGTATGTGTCCCTATTGTTACAATGTGAAAGTCTATAATAGGTAGGCAGGCTTAATATATTTTTAATTATATACTACACATACTTTATATATTGATAGACTGCACACATACACAGAATTAATCACTATATCACTAAGAGTTTGTGTTTTTTTCTTAATAAAAGCTTTGTGTACAGCTATAACATTATTGTAAACTATAAAAACAAATAGAAGCACAACTGATAAAACAGTTCGCACTGTTCCACTTTTTAAAAATTTCGATAGATAATCATAATAGACAATATCTAACCTTTTATGCAAATGAGTCACACGGAAAGTCCCTGTCGAGTAAACAAATACAACGTTTTCTAAATAAAACTATTAATAAAATGTGTAACTGCAAGTTACTTAAATGGCAATTAAAAACTACAACTGGTCTGACAACTATTTAAATACGCGTGTGTTGTGCCTGCACCATTCAAAGACGTGACTAAAAATAAAATTATGAAACTTGTCATATTTTCGAGAATAGAAAGAATAATACCACTTACCGGATAAACTGATGTAATGACAAAACGTAATCAACGGATGCATATACAATATTATATTACATGACGCAGTAGTAGCAAAACACTTAATTTGTTATCAACCGCAGATTAGGTTGAAACCAAATGTAAATATTTTTTACCCACTCTGGAATGCTGAATAGGGACAAAATTCACATGTGACCTTGATTTATAATGTCACAATGTGACAGTTCACTATAAATGTCTATAAAGATTTGTATACGTCTTTGTTATATAGAAACTAAAACATGTAGTAACTAAACGTGGTTAATATAATATTTTAGGTAGAGTGAATTATAAATGAACACAGGAAACAGAGAGGAGTACAAACTGTATCTCAAAATACTACTTACATTTTTACAACACAGGACAGGTTTTTCAGAAATTAGTTTACAACTGTAACTTTTTCATGTCGAATCCAGGTGAGACAAGTTTTGAATCGCAAGTTCGATTTAGATAAAACTAAAAGTAATCATGTTTGGTAGTGATATATTACCCCTTTATCAAGGTATTTTTCTAAGTTTAATTCTATTTAAAGACGTAAGATAAAGAGTTTTGCAAGTTAAAGTTCTGTAATTTTGTTAATCAGCCCCTGATCAACGAACGAAAAACTAGTGGACACACAAACTTAAAATTTTGAACACCTTGCATCATAATCACCTCCGACAGAGTAAACCTCCTTTCTAAGGAGAGGCTTATGTCTAGCAGTGGACTAAAAAAGGCTGTTGATGTGTGTGTGTGATGAAATCATCCACGAAGTACATTTTGCATCTGTGCTCTATCGTATCGTTCAGGTAAAGCAACATTACATTTACTTACATCTCAAGTATTCGAGCTCACTCCAAATAGTTTGTTGCTATTTAGGTCACACTTACCACGTACGAAACGAACCTCTCAATCTGCCAACTCTTATAATTTTTTTAAGAAAATCTACCTAGTTTCCTAACAATGTCTATTATTAAGCGTAAAGATCCACCCGACACCCGACCAGCACTGCCTCGCCTCGAGTGGTTAGTATTCTTTGTATGTAGTATTATGGCTATACATTCAAAACATCAACCGGGGCGATTCACGCGCGGGTTGACCTCGCGTGAACGGCGAGTAGTTTACGCAGGAGGACGTTGCATCGGTGGCACACCAATATCGTTTTCTGGTTAACAACGTGGCGTCTACCCTTGGCCCACCCGTCGACAACGAGTTTACACCGAGTGACGAAGTAGTGCTCTTCAAGTGTCGGTTACTATCAAGCATAAGTTTTTCATCATCTATTATGTTTTGTGCTATGTGCAATTTTTAAATGGTTTGTTTTAAACATCAATATAGCATGTGTGCGTATATTTGACCAATGTATCTTTCCGGTGCTCAGTTATGGTGCTGAAACCTGGATTTTCACCAAAGAAATAGTAGTTAAGCATGGCCCAGCGTGCACTGGAGAGAAAACTGGTGGGAATTACATTCAGAGACCATAAAACCAATGAGTGGTTGTTCAATGGCAAATCGCACAAGTTCGCGATGAGTGGAATACATCTAAGGAAGCCTACACTCGAAAGGTCGAGACAGGATGAAGAGAGAGGAGTAGAGAAACCTTCAACAGTATATATGAACGAAGAAATAAGGACAATGTATTGTGATAAATACGTTAGCTACGTAATTATTTACTATTTTTATATTTAAGTGCTACCAGTTACTGTCAATACTTTAGTTCCTAAAGATTTCATTTATTTTCTTTTATGTCATACTGAAAAAAAAAACGACTACATTTCATACTACGTAAAGATGTCTGTTTACTGTTAATTTAGTCTATGAGTCTACCACAGTGTACAATATAAATTAATATCTGTGGTCTCCTATTTTCAAATGTCAATTGTCAATTGTTCAACGTCAATCAAATGAATCAAATCAAACTTCAGCTGTTGTCCGATTTGTAGTTTTGTAGTGTATTTGAATTTTATTTGGTTTGTGTGAAAGAAATGTCGAACGTTAACACTTTAGACTTACAACATGTTCATCAGTGCTTCCAACGAAGTCTTAAAGAAGAAGATGACGTTATTATAGAAGCATATATCGATGGTTATAATGAATTAGTAAAGTAAGTTTCTTCCATATGGATATCATGAACTCTATTATAAGATTGAATAACAGATTAAATAAAGTGCAAAGCGCTAAATTATAAGAGATAAGAATCTATAATTTTACATTTATGCTGACGTGTTAATTGTAAATTACGAGTTTATTAAATAGGGTCTATTTTCTTTAAAGAATTAACAATTTTGTTTACAAATATGTATGTTATAGGCTTTAGGATAGATCTTAGGATTCTTAACTTAGGATTTATCACATTTACACGAAAACATCAATTAACCTGACCATTGTCTTCTTTATAATTGTAATTAATAAAATGTACCTATTTTTATATTTAATCTAATTTTATTAGTGTTCCTAACATTAAGATAGCACTTAATGCTAGGAACACTAATAAAATTAGATTATATAATATAATATATATAAAACAGATACTACAAAATAATATCTTTTAAGTTTCTACTAATAGCAAATCATAAGAGTGAATTATGGTGTCATCTTAAATATAACTTAAGAAATTGGTTAGCATCAATAAACTTGCCACTTCCAAAAAAAAGAGTCCTAACACAATAAATTCAAATTTGATCATCTTTTTTTCGTAAAATGGCTTAGTAATTATTTGAAGGCATCTTTTTAACTAACAACTTATAGACACAACACACAATGTCGTCACGACAATAGGTTTCTTTGTCTAAAGTAAACTCATTAGAACAATGGATATCATATCAATGTCCACCTGGTCACCGGTTTCCAATTGGTTGATTCTTGACAAGATATTGAATAAATAAAAACCATACTTTTAATTCACTAGACAGTTATGAAAATATTTAGTAAATTGTATTACAGCATTTATTTCATCATCAACAGCCTATAATAGTCCACTGCTGGACATAGGCCTCTCCTTGGAAAGGAGGTTTTAGCCTACTATACCACGCTGGCCAGACGGGTTGGTAAAGGGTTTGTTACAAGTTTTCCTTCTCTTTGCAGTGCTGTTGTCCTGCCTAGTTTGCTCCCTTAGTCAACTATTACGACACCCACGGGATGAATAGCATTTATTTGTTATGCATTATTAATATTTAAAGTAAATAAAATAAAATTAAGGTATAAAAATAAGGATATCAATTATAGAAAAAATAAAGTAAAAGTTGGAAGATAAGAGACATGAATATTTAGTATCTGTGTTTATAGTTATAGTATAAGTGTATAGCATTTTTTAAGTTTTCCATGTTGCAAGCGAATACCCGAGGAATTGTTTGGACTAATACCGGCCGCAACCTTCCACCATCGATCCTCACAACAAAATGTTCATCACCACCACTTGAATAATTGGCACTCAAAAAAGAAAAGAGACACTTTTTGCCTCTCACTACCAACCTGTGGAACGAGTTATGGTCTTCGGTTATTCTGGACCGATATGTTCTTCCAGAATAGAACGTACTCCTTCCTCGAAGGCCCGTAACGCCCTTGTGACTGGCGCTAGTCGCTTTCCATCAGGTGACCCGTCTGCTTGTTTGCCCCCTATTCCATAAAAAAAAACATTAAATTTCCTTTGAATTTCTGCCTTAGTTACTATTACCTAAGTTATAAATTGTTTGGAGAGATCTATGTTGCGGAAGTACTATGGAATGAACATTTGTGCTGCTCCTCCAAAATATCAAATGATACATCATAATAAAAAATAACTGAAAATACTAATCTGACTGTCTTATTACCAGCCAGTTCACAATTTTTGTATATACTGCTATAGAGCTATTTGATAATTTATCTTAATGGGATTAAAGCATGGTATAAATAATAACAATTAAGAATTTTTCTCTGTTGTACATTTGTATTAGTGAACCCTACATATTAAATTTTTTTAATTAATCTGTAAAAATTAAAGCAGTGACTGGATTTTCAAATAGTACCATTTATGACATAAAGCTAGTCCAACCGTTTGTGCTAAATAAAAGTGCAATGTTATCTCCAAATAAATATATTTCAGGCTTGTTCATAGAAAGAGAAGTCAAAAATGAAGACTAGAAACAAAAATGACCTTAAGAATAGAACCCTGTGGCACTCCTTTTTACCAAAGATTCTAGAGATAGCTTGCCATTAGTATCGGCTTTGTAAATCTTGTGAAACCAAAAGTCATTCATAAAAAATATATTACTTAAAAGCAACAACAACATTTTAGCTATGTAGTGATATAATTTTTGATCAAAGTTATGAACAACGCAATCAAAAGCCTGTGATAAATCATATAAGATGCTAAGGACATTTTGGGCATTCTGCCAGGCCCCAAAAATATGTCTTATAAATTTAACACTAACATTGATTCTGAATTTACTTATTTTTTATTGAATTTTCATATTGTGTAACAAGTTCTGGTTATGAAAAGCCCTTACTAGTTGCTAAATTTCAGATCATAATCAACTATTTTTTCAAAAAAAATTACTAAATTCTAAAGTTGGTTGCTATAAAGTAATCAGACTATGATAATTTAATATTTTTACTAGATTTCATTACACATATTGATTAAGATATTCCTGTATTCAATAAGAAGTTGCAATGTGCAGAGATTACTTTACCTAATTCATAATAAATATGTCGAAGCTTACAAGTAGCGAATCACTAATAGAGCACAAGCATTTTCTTGTTCTGTTTTTATTCTTCAGGCTGTCATATATGGATTTTTAATATGACAAAATGTTATTTAGTACAAAATAAATTAGGATAAAATCAACCGCTGTGAGTACCATGGCAGCACCATATTTCACTGGTGGTATTATGGTGTCTCTACCACCATAATACTGAATTAAACATAATGGTTTATCATCTAGCCTAGCCTCATCATCTATAATATTGAATGTTGTATAGTTCTAAAGATGTTTTATGTACTGTGGGGTATGTTGGGAGAGCCCTATGTGCGATGGAAGCCAGCTTTCAGTACACATAAATATTTTTTTAAAGACTAATTAATTTCTCGTCATCGCAGATGTGAGTAATAAAACAATCTATAAAGGGAAATTATGATTTCTATCGATAATTTTATCGCAAATGGTTAAATAAGAACCATTAATTTTTATCAAATGCCATATCTCGTATCAACGTAATATGTTTCTTTGTGTACTAATGCCTTTATGTCTCCAAAAAGGTTAAGACTTTATACTTACATTTTTAGTTCCACCTCTTTTGGGTTCTCGTATTGTATTTCCTAATTCAGGTGACGAATCTAGGATGTCAATCGGTCGAACGTTGAGATCGTTCTTTTTCTTTAGAATTATTAACCAAGATTATTATAACCCGTTATCGATTATTGAAAACCTATACTGCTGGAACGGTTAGTTCTTTTATATTTTATGTTTTCTTCTTTTTAGGTTTTTAAACCTAATTGGATCTGTGTTCTCCTTCGTCAGTAGCGATGTGAAAAGTAAAATTAAAATTATGGAGAAACATAGGGAGTCGGAAAATGCAGTTTATTATGACTCATTCAAGAAAATGATGAAGTATGAAAAGGAGACTAAACTGTACGACCAAAACGACTTCGTGTCGGGTTCGAGGACAATGCTGCGTTTGCATAGAGGATTGGGTATGTTCCTCCTTTTGTTAGTTTCATTTTATGGTTTGTTTTACCTACATAATGCAAACTTTCTTAAGTAACAATTGTGACTTGCTGCTCGTGCTAAAGAGTAATGTAGAGTGTTTTAATTTATTTGTATTGCTCCTTTGACTACCGTACGGCGTAGTGGTTTGTGTAACGGACTGCTATTCCTAAGGTCGCGGGTTCGATTTCCGCTCAAATCAAACATTTGTGTGCATGAACATTTAATGTTTGATCTGGCCTGGGTGTTTCTATGTATAATAAGTATGTATTTACAAAAAAAGTATATATGTATTTATATCAGTTGTCTAGTACCCATAGTACAAGCTCTGCTTAGTTTAGAACTAGATTGCGTTCTGTGAATGTGGTAGAATATTATTATTAATTGTTTAATTGTTGCCGAACTATAATCTGATGTTTGCTATTTATAAGTAAATAAAGTCGTTTACCGTTTTTTTTTCACAACAGCTATAAATTCGATAGATATTTGTCTTTTGTGTCGTAGCTTACAATCGGCGGGACCGTTTTAGCTTTTTTTTTAGTCATGGCTGTAATTGTGATGATTATTTCTTGCCTACCAAATATCTGTTTAAACGTTTTAAATATATTAGATTAATTTTTCCAAATATCCAAAAATAGAAAAAAGACGTTCTTGGTGGGGGCTACGTTAACACTAAGTTTTTTATTATTATTAATTTATATGTGTACATCTATACTTACTAATATTATAAAGCTGAAGAGTTTGTTTGTTTGTTTGTTTGTTTGAACGCGCTAATCTCAGGAACTACTGGTCCGATTTGAAAAATTCTTTCAGTGTTAGATAGCCCATTTATCGAGGAAGGCTATAGGCTATATATCATCACGCTAAGACCAATAGGAGCGGAGCACCAATGAAGAATGTTTCAAAAACGGAGAAAATTAATTACTATTGAGAGACGCAGACGAAGTTGCGCGGGTCAGCTAGTAAATAGTATATATCGCAATTACAGAACAAAGTAAACAGATAATCCACAAAAAAATGAGCCAATTATATATTATTCAAAAATACTAATTTTTTTACAGTACCTACCTAAGTATTTTTTATCTAGTGTTTGAGTTAATTGCAAAGATAAGGGTAAACTTGAATTTGACTTTACCTTTATCTTAGATAAGTGATAATTATTGCGATGTAAATAAATAAATCTCAGTGTCCAACGCGCAAGTGACGTCACTAGTGTATTAGTCGTCAATACGTTATAGTATTATTACTAATATTTGACATTTTAGATCTTAACCTACTGTCTACTGTAGGCCTACTGTCCCATATGTCTGCAATGCACTTTTAGATATACTTTTCAATGAAATGTTTATAAAATTGATAATGTATTATAACTGCACCTTTTTAATTTTTTATTTCAATAGCACATTAGCTTGTGACTACAAATCCATTTAATATATTCTGTTAATATGCGCGTGAGTTGATTTTTTTTTTTATTTCTACCATCCTACATGTGGGACAGTAGGCTTATCTGGGTTAATAGCTATATCTCACGTTTACGTCTATGTCTACAACATTAGGTATCAGTTTCATCTCGTCAATTCATTTTTATATATTCATTCTTTTGGAAGATACGATAGCACAAACACACAAGTTCGAACCTTCACTAACTTCTCATTGCATTCCTTTTCCATTACTCTCTTACTTTTAAGAAGTGGGGATGGATGATGTGTAATATATTTCCTGCTTTCCTTTCCTTCCTTTTTGCTATCGTGGAAACCGTTCGAGAGCCATGCTTCGACATAAATTATCAGAATTGACCCAGGTCTCACAGAAAACCAGTCTTAAGATATTCTTAAATTGCTTTTCAAGGAGCGAGTCAGGTTACCGGAGACCAAACCCCTCTCCTCCGATGTTGGAGGAGAGACTGAAAGGGCGGCAACGCAGTTTGGCTTTTGAGTTGCAGGATCCGTCTTTTGACTGAAAAAAAATGGGAATTATTTCGTGAAATGTTTCAGTCGGTTGGGAAAAGATTCTTGCTAGATGATTTCAACGTCTATCTAAATAGACCTTGGTACCCAATTTATTTTACTACTAAAATTGTTCTTAGCTGTTACTTCTGTCAGTTTAACGATAATCAATTGATGAAGAATTTCACCTACATTAAATTTATAATGTAGGTATGTGTATAACATCTCACACGGCCGTCTGATCCCAAACTAGGCAGAGTCTGTACTATGGTAACCATACTTCTGATAAACATACTTATATATTTCTAAATACATACATATTATAGATAACTTACGCCCAGAAACAGAACAAACGATCACGCTCATCACAAAATTATTTGTCGTGGATGGAAGTTGAAATCACGGCCCCTGGCTTAGCAGTAAAAAAAAAGTTCGGTCAACTCTCGATCTCGCAACTCACAAAAAAGGTATATTCCATTGGCCATTGGTCTTACATAGTTAGTAGAATAGGAAAAGTGCAAAACTATTCCGACGACATTCCATCGACAGTCTATTCATACAATATTAAATAGCAGAATTGAGGCCCAAATCATTCAGTTCCTATGTAAACTCTTGATCACTGCTTTACTTGCGACTAATATGCAATTCAAACTTTGTACGCATGTCTCTTCGAGTTGCAGGTGTCCTTGGGCGACGGTAATCAGGTGACCCGTCTGCTAGGTGTCCCCCTTTTTTTCTTTTTTTTTTCCCGTGCGGAAATCCCCTCGGATACCACCTATCGGTGGCATGTCGGACTCGAACCGACTAAAACCGCACGCCGTCTCGGGTACTAATAGCCGGGGAACCAGGTATACCCTAGAAAGGAAGTCCCTGGTGCAAGCTAGGTGTCCTCCTATACCTTAATATGTGTGATTCCATTAGATGTGTACATTTTTGTAAAAAAGAATTTTCCTAGTATGTGCACATGACCTAACAAGTTCAAGTATTTCCGCACCTTGATAGTTAACGCTTATGGCCTTATTACGATAACAAAGCTGCTTATGAAACACATCATATAAAACAAATGTTCCATAAGCACGCTATAAACATTAAACAGTGTTGTGTAATTATAGAAAAATAGTCATCCGACCAATGTTGATGTTTGCAGTGCCTATAACTTTTTTTAAAATTAAGAATCGTAAAGTCGTCCTTTATGTGTTAAGGTTCGTAATAATGGCAATAGTTCTATGATGTGTAAATAAAAAATGAATTTTAGTTCCATTGTCTTTGGTTTTGTAATTCTATTTGAAGTTCGAATCGAGAAGGAATGCATAAATGTTTTAGCATTTTATTCTATCGCATCAGTTCGTGTATTATACATATAAAGCAACGCGGCTACGTTAATTGTAAAGAGTTTCAAGGATTTTATATGATAAGAACGAGATTAAGCTGTATTAATTATAACCTAAAGTTAAATATCCAATGTTAAACGCCTCCTTGCATAGACGCCTTAAAAGCGTACCTATTTATCGGACATCTGTGTTTGTCTATGGAAATAGTATTTTAACGCACCATTATTGAGTGCCGACGAACTGTTTTATTCCTAAAATGTCTACATTATATACAAGATGAAGACTTTGTTTGTTTTTTACGTCATGACACTGAAGGCCGTGTTATGATGACGCGTGTTAGTAAAATTACCTCTAATAAAAGTATACTATCATTGACTTCAATGCTACATGACAATGAATTGTAAAAAAAACTATATTCTTTATTCTTTAGTTGTCCACCCTTAGGGGTGGCATTTTATGTTTAAATTTAAATGGGACTTCATCATGATGTAGGCGAATTGAAGTTGTTTATCCTTTTTAGGGTTCCGTAGCCAAAATGGCAGAAACGGAACCCTTATGGTTTTGTCACGTCCGTTCGCCTGTCCACACTATATCTCAGACTATTAGTGCTAGAAACCTGTAATTTTGCATGAACATACATACTAATCACGGCGACAAATTAGCAAAATAAAACCTTGAAAAATATTTTTTTAGGGTACCTCTACCTTGAAAGTGAGGATGTTGTTTTTTATATTCATCCATCCCTTGATTTAGGGTGTCTTTAGATAGGTCATTTAAAATCCGACTTGTAAAAATATCTGAAAAGATTTACTTGCAGAAATAAATATCATTTCATTTCATAAAAATAATAAGGGCTTGTGAAGAGAATATTTTGATTAAGGTATCCGTTTGTGAGATGTTTAGCATTAACGCGCTGATTTTTGTTACAGTCAAGTGCCCTCCCCACTTCTCCTAGCCAAACGGCAGTATTTGGAGATCTGAAAAAAATCATGGTAGTAGCATATATAACGAATTTAAAAAGAAAACTATCACAGCTAAGTAGGCTTTATTAGTTTACGAGTAAAAATCGACCAACTAATTTGACGTTATAGGCCGCCGTAACCGAAATAACAAGGGGACCCTAAATTGGGCGTGGCTCGATACGCACTTCGCCAGTTTTTAAAGTGTGATTTCACTTTATACAATGTCAATGTTTAATACTTTTGTAAAAAAGAAAAATTTAAGCAATAATCTCGAATCTATTGAGAAATATAAATCTGTTTTCACTGAAAACAGAACTCAACTGAACTGCGACTACACGCATCCAAAGCCAGAAGACTGCTCGTCATGTAAACGCTGTAAAAAGAAGTGCTTTATGAAGTTTTCAGGTCGTTTCACTTAAACATTTAAATATTTAATCACATTTTAGAAAGTGCAGGCTACAGGATCAAACCTATATTTTGCTGCATAGAGTAAGAATCATTATTTTTTCACGGATACTGAGTAATAAAAAAGGATCTTACTCTATGAACGCTTTGAAAAATAGTAACTAGTCAAGTATCAAGTTTAGTTTTAAATATTTCCAAGGCTTTTTACATTTATATCCTCTGCAAATGCAAATCTATAGAAGAGAAAAATTCTCCAGTTTTATTTAGAACAACGATAACGCTATGAGTTGTCAAGTATTTAACATAATCTTTTGTCCTTCTCCAGATTTCATCCGACTATTCTTGAAGCGTCTAAGCGATATGGACGACACCATGAACACCTGTACTACCTGCCAAGGCTCTTATAACGAAACCTTGGCCGACTTTCATCCCTGGTATATCAGAAAGGCAGCAACATTGGCGATGCATGCACTTCCATCTAGACCTGATTTATTAAAAAAGGTAATTTTATTTTAAGTAACGATCGTCCCATAGACATAGAGAATGGACTGCTCGTTCTGTATTCAGTTGTGCAGTATATACAGACCGAAAAGTACGAGAGAGACAAAGCGAATGTGCGGCCAGTAGTTGTCTCTTTCTAGTATTCTGATTGGTTCACGTCACAGGCGTGTATCGCTCTGCGCTGCATGGACAACTGTAACTGTATTACGACGATTATAAACCCGAACCTTCGTCTAGTTACAACTGTAACTAGACGAAGCTTTGGGTTTATAGATACACTCTATTCCTACAATAAGATGATATAAAAATTTGATCATATATAGTATACTACCGTATAGTATACTACCGTATAGTATAGTGTACTACCGTATAGTATAGTATACTACCGTATAGTATAGTATACTACCGTACTAGACAGGTATTGGCGGCACGTCTCTTTCTAGAGATTGGTCACTTTTGTGAGGATAACGCTCAGTTCATTCTCTATGTCTATGTGGTCGTCCAGAGATAAGATATTATGATTATGAGAAAAGAAACAACAAAATAAATGATTGACAGACAATACAAAATCGTTTTGAACGTGGGCAAACGATCAAACCCCATCAGGTCTGATCGTTTGATCAGACCGTCGACTACCGTCGCGTCGATCATGCATATCTGCAACGGTGTTGCCGGCCTTTGCCTCTCCAAGGATTAGGAGAGGGGGGTAGAGCCTTAGGCAGCTGTAACTCTCTCACTCGGTCAATTGATTAACACCCGTTTTTAGGGTTCTGTACCTCAAAAGGAACAAACGGAACCCTTATAAGATCACTTTGTTGTCCATCTGCCTGTCAAGACCCTTTATCTTAAGAACGCGTAGAGGTATCGAGTTGAAATTAAAACCATATACTCAGGTTTACGGTCCCTTGAAGCGGTAAAATTGTCAAACTCCTGAGTTGACTTAAAAAAAAGATAAAGAACGCATATTTCGACACTCAAGGGAATCAAAATTTATAGGAAACTTCCCGTTCACCTAGAACTATGAAATTAGGCAAGTAACATCATCTTATACTACAAGTACAGCAAACATCTGAAAATTATACATAACAATACAGGTTGTGAAAACTGAACTCTTCTTTTAAACTATTTGTAATATGTACCTACAAATTTGTACGGAACCTTCGTCTGGTGAGTCCGATTCGCACTTTGCCGGCTTTTTTTGTAATTCCGTTCCGTGTGATTCGTGGAAGAATGGCTCTCCCACGGTTTTGTATTCGCTTCGTTTCGTCTATATAACTATAATATCCTTGAGTCAGTCTTGTCGTAACTACGAATCCGACTTCTACTCGCCGTTGTTCAAAGAGGTTACATCTTAGAGATTCCTTATTTCTTTTCATAAAACCAAGTTATTAAACCAAGCTGAAGCATGATTATTGATGTTATTATTAGCAGTACTAAATAAATAAAACACATGTTTTATTCGTTCATATAACGCTTGTACATAATCGATTCTTCATACTACAAATGTGTAAATTACTTTAAAGTGTTGATAATTGAAAACAGTTGAACAAATTAATGACGTCAGAATGAAGGTCCTTCTGTCTATTACTGTAGTTTATACACCAAATGATTTATGTAAGAACTCTGTACTGTCCATATATGGGGGGAGGAGGGGGGGAGGTGGCTGGTGGCTAAGTGGTAACCGAGTAGGATAATACATAGCAAAGTTAAGCAATCCTACCCAGGTTAGTCTATACATGGCTGACGATTCTTAACACATTAAGGCCCTTCCGTGCCTCGGAGAGTTCGTTAACCGTAAAACCATTTGCCATACCATCTGTAAAAGTATAAACATCTAACGTTGACTGTAATGTGATTATATTGTATTAGCTGACCCGCGCAACTTCGTCTGCGTCTCTCAATAGTATTATATTTTCTCAGTTTTTGAAACATTCTTCATTGGTGCTCCGCTCCTATTGGTCTTAGCGTGATGATATATAGCCTATAGCCTTCCTCGATAAATGGGCTATCTAACACTGAAAGAATTTTTCAAATCGGACTAGTAGTTCCTGAGATTAGCGCGTTCAAACAAACAAACAAACAAACTCTTCAGCTTTATAATATTAGTATAGATTGTGACCGAAAGTTGAATAGGTAATCTGCTGGTCTTAGTAATACTTTATTACGAAAATACCTTTTATGACAGTTGCGAGATCGAGAGTTGATCTAAACTGAATTCTGACCGAACTTTTATTAGGAGAATTGGCCTTCTGATGTCTTCCGCTCTTTTTAAGCGACTTAAAAAATAGGAAGAGGTATGATATTTCATTAAATTCTTTAATACTCTTTTCATAGTTATTTATTCGCTAATACTATTCAATTAGACTCTTTGTTCTACTTCAAGGTATATTTTATATTATTGATTGTAAATACCTACGTATAAATATGTACGTCAACGTTTAATGATAACTCTAAAAGAGGTGTAGTTATACCGTGTTTTTTTATGACATAATAATGTGTGAACATTCGAAAATCAAAATGACGCGACATAATCATTTACAGATAAAAAAAGTGTAATAAACCTCTGTGGACATTTTGTTGATACGCTAACATAGTACTTTGTTATTTAGTTAACAAGCCCGTCAAGTCAAAACATCTTCACGTTATTAAACGTGACTTTATCTGCGATATAACAACCTGTGACGTCATATTTGCTTTTACTGTGTGATTAGGTAAATACGAAATAATTATCCAGTCAAATATGAAAAGTACGAGAATTTTATGAAGAATCTTTTATAGTTTTTCTTCGTGTAACTTGCATTAGAACATCATTTTTAACATAAACAAAAATTTTTAACAAAAAAAAACCGACTTCAAAAAACACTATTCCAAAACAAATTAATATACTAAAAAGGAAAAAAATAAATGCATATTCTTCTACAACTTAATAATCAACTTACTTTTTCTACTCATCTATATGTAGGTACGATCTATGTGTTAACCGCGCAAGAAGATAGGTAGGTACCTACCCATTTCAAATCTAATTTAACATATACCTGTGAATAACAAACAACGATCAAAATATTTGCGTTCTCCTAAGTAAAATAAAATAAATATAATGTAGTTACAATTATTGTTATTTTTGGAGTCGGTGTCAGCCAAGTCGGTGTCACCTACACCACGGTACTATTATAATACAGTACTCCAACTTCATACAAACGGACGAAACGCGAGCTATACCTACGCGCCTCGATCTCGGGGTGCGCTCGGGGCGCAGACAGTCACGGCTGTACCGCAGTGTCAAACGGACTGTGTGTTGTTTTTTTAACAATAACCGCGCGATTTTTTCTCTAAAAATCAGTTAATATGACGAGTAGGAAATATTGTGCTGTTTTTGGTTGTATGAATTCGTCAATAACGCATCCAGACATAAGTTTTTTTAAATTACCTGGAAACTCTGAAAGGTAAGACTATAAAATAATTTTACTTACTAGTAGGTAGGTACATAATGTGTGTCTTTTTAATGGATAAGTATTTCCTTTTATATCACGAAAAAAAAGGTGTTTGGATGAATAAATAAAGCAAATAGAGTAACGGAAAGTTATTGAGACGAGTGAAATAGGGAGTTATATGCGGTTCCGAATGAATCATGATACGGTAGGTACCTACCTACTCACGCTTGTGTTAAAACTTCGGTGCATGTGTGTTTTGTTACTTTGCATAATTCAAAGTAAAGACGTGGTATTTTATTATTAATAATATTTGTTTATTATCTGTGTGTATGAATAATACTAAAAAAAAATTTTTACCGTCTGTGTGTCATTAGACAGTTTTCGAAATTTTCACAAAGTGTTTCTGCTGCTACTATAACAACATATACCACTAAAAACTGGTTTTATTTTCTCGGTATTAACAACAACAGCTAGACTCATATATATTATTTAAATGTTTGAGGGTTAAAACATTCGTAGTCAGCTGTTCAGCTTTTTAATAATTAATTAATTGGTGACCAAAGAATTTTTGTTTTGAGTTGTAGGTAGGTACCTAATTTATAGAGACGTTAATAAGCTGAGATAAAAAGTTACTTTCTCGTCAGCTGTTTCTTGCATTCTAGTTGAGTAGGTAGGTGTTGGAGTTTCTAAGGATTGGAGTTTTGTAACGCGTAAGGAGAAAGCACATTTATTTTATTTTATAGAAGGATTTTCTTCGGTCGCAAATTTATAAGCCCGATTTGTTTTTCAAACAAAAATATGTTTTCTTAATTGAATCTACCAATCAAAAAACAACACGCATTTTTATTGAACACTTCCTATTCAATATACAAAGTATTTCATTTATTTATATAAAAAGGATATTTACAATCACAAATCTAAATAGAAACAGAAAGTAGGCAAATATAATTAAAATGCTGGAGACGGGCAGCCCTAACGCATGTTTACGTACCGCGTGGCTGTAGGCATTTATTTCTATCATGCGGCCGAGTTACACTACTGTATTATAATTGTACCGTGCCTACACCTTATAAGTGAGAAGTGCTTGTGTCGCACGCGCGAGTTGACGAGTCTTAAAGTATTCTCGTATTATTATTGCTAGGTATATCGTAGTGTTTCCTTGGCTGACACCGACTCCAAAAATAACAATAATTGTAACTACATTATATTTATTTTATTTTACTTAGGAGAACGCAAATAAATATTTTGATCGTTGTTTGTTATTCACAGGTATATGTTAAATTAGATTTGAAATGGGTAGGTACCTACCTATCTTCTTGCGCGGTTAACACATAGATCGTACCTACATATAGATGAGTAGAAAAAGTAAGTTGATTATTAAGTTGTAGAAGAATATGCATTTATTTTTTTCCTTTTTAGTGCATATTAATTTGTTTTGGAATAGTGTTTTTTTGAAGTCGGTTTTTTTTTGTTAAAAATTTTTGTTTATTTTTTGCTTTTTAGTGAATCTGAAGTACACTTACTAATTTGTCTGAATATGGGTAGACCTAATAAACGTGCTGCTCAAATGAGACAGCGCCGTTTGAATGAAACAAAGGAAGTCAGGAAGAAACGCCTATCTCAACAGAGGCAATCTACCCTGTGATGACGGATTAAGAATACAGAATGTCACCACCCCTTTTAATCACATGGGTGTCGTAAGAGTCTAGTGAGGGAGCAAACTACGCAGGACAACAGCACTGCAAAGAGAAGGAAAACTTGAAATAAACCCTATACCAACGCGTCTGGCCAGCGTGGTATAGTAGGCCAAAACCTCTTTTCTAAGGAGAGGCCTATGTCCAGCAGTAGCTCATTAAATGCTGTTGATGACGACAATTACTTGACCATAGCGACGTTACTGTAGGTGACTCAAATATCCAGATAGCCCATAAAAGATTCAGCCGAGTATCGTTAATTTGCTCCTAAGAATTGAAGAGTTCCGTTACTTTGTCGTGGATCCCATCATCAGAATCTAACCAAACTCTCATCAAAGTACCCTTAAAGTATATCCATTCCAATAAAAAAAGAATTATCGAAATCGGTTTGCGTGAAATTGAGTTATTCGTCTATTTGTCGCGAACATACTAAATGCAAATTTAAGACTTATATGGTTTTCTCATGGATGCCATTATCAGAACTAAACCAAATTAAAATGGGACCACACGGGAAGCACCAGCTTTCAAATAAAAAAAGAATCATCAAAATCGGTTCACCTAGTCAAAAGTTCTGAGCTAACAAACATAAAAAAAAAAAAAAAAAAATACAGTCGAATTGAGAACCTCCTCCTTTTTTTGAAGTCGGTTAAAAAGAGACTAGATTCGGTGAACTCTTTTTTGGACAGTTCTGTAAAAATAGACAGTTGCGGATGATTAACGCCTTACGAAGAACAATCTTAGCTTTTTTTATTACTATTACATAACATATATATGTATATTACATAACAATATACAGGTTATTAGCATTATTCATATTTTACAGCAATAAACCTTGAGTAACGCTAATAAAACGTTTAAAACAGATGTTTCTTTTTATTTCCTCGATTTTTTTTTTGACCCATGATCACTGATTGATGAATGACTTTCTCATTCATCAATCAATAGTACTATCGTCTGTCTTTGTTTTCGGAATACCGTGATATTATCATTTTTATTTGTAGACTATAGGGTCCATTTCTATTCTACTACAACTTGTCCTACTAGTAACCCCAAGTCCAGAAGTTTTAATTCACCATAAGACCAAGTTACCGTGTGGTGACTGATTAAGTTACCTGTGGATAAATGTCACCGCCGCTTTTCATCCCATGGGTGTCATTAGCCGACTAAAGTAGAAAACTCTGCAGAACAAGCACTGCAAAGAGAAGGAAAACTTATACGGGAACCTTAGATGGGTTGGCCGTCTGGTCAGCGTGGTATAATAGGCCAAAACCTCCTTTCTAAGGAGAGGCATTTGTCCTATGTGTATGATAAAACTAAAGCGAGCCTTAAAAATCTATTCACTAAAAGTTACTTTTTATAACGCGTTTTTATATAATGTTCTCGAGTTTTTTGAGAAATCAGTTTTTCATAAAATCTGTTACTAAGCTACCAGTAAAGTCTAAAGAGAATGTATAATTAATATAAGGTTGCTTAGCGTAAAGTATTTACTGCTGTCACTAGATCAATGAATCACCAGAAGATTTTAGTACCTGACTTTGTTACTTTTTAACCCCCGACGCAAAAACGACGGGGTGTTATAAGTTTGACTAGTCTGTGTGTGTGTGTGTGTGTGTGTGCGCGTGTGTGTCTGTCTGTCTATCTAGCTATCTGTGGCATCGTAGCTCCTGGATGGATGAACCGATTTTAATTTTCTTTTTTTTTTGTTAGAAAGGTGAATTAGTCGGGAGTGTTCTTAGCTATGTTTGATGAAAATTGGTCCAAGATGGCCGCCACCATAAAATGGCGGATTACATATTTTTTCACAACTCCCTCAATATGGGTATCAAATGAAAGGGCTTGACTAGTAGAATACTATACACTATAACAAATTTCAAATCCAAGATGTGTGTCGGGGTTTTTTAAATTTTTAATTTAATTATTAATTTTCTAGATATTTGGAACCGAGAGTAGCTTAGAAGCAGCATTCACCATCTTGCCACAGACATTGACGATGTGCGATGAGGTGTACAAGCGCGTGGAACAGCTTTATACGGATTTTGACTTCCATGGCTTACCGTAAGCATTCTGTGTCTATTACAAATACTTGGCAAGTGAAAACATTTGGTGAATACGCCCTTTACGGACTTGGCAAAGCTCTAAAGATCACTAAACCTTATAAGGGGTGTACCCATACTACGTGATCCTGGGGAGAGGTGTATTCAAATTACCATGTTTGGTCACAGAGGCGGTGGGCTTAGGTTTTAATTACGTAATCAATTTTTCTAGGGAAATCTTGCGCTTTTTCGAGCTATATTCAATTATGGCAGCAATAACGACAAAATATTAGCCAAATTATTATTTTCTAACTTTCTGTTTACAAAAATATTTTAAACCTGTTTTAAGAATTACTGTTTGGATGATTTTGGCATATGCTATGGGTGGTCACCAAGGGGAAGAGGTAAACATTGTAAAAATGGGTGACATAGTATGGGTACGTTCCCTAATTGCCAATACATAATGTAATTTAGCTATTAATTTAGTTCAATTGTGTTTCTACTTAATGTTATGATCTTTAAATGAGTATTCCTATATAGTACTACTTTGTTAATAATTTTTATCAGTTATGACAAGTAATTTTGATTGTCCAAGTCTACAATTTAGCGCCGAATTGATAATATTTAAGTTTCTACGTCACTTATCTATGAAGAGGTTATCAATTTTTATTTATGCCACAGAATAAATAAACTATCTGAACCATCCAGTGGTAGTCGTAGTAGACATATATTTAAAAAGTTATAATTTAAATATCGAACTTGTATTACGTTAAATAAAAATTCAAAATGTTACACAGTATTTAAGTAGTTAAAAATAACATTACTGCTTGAGTTTAATATGAGATAGATTCGTAAAAAAAATCCATTTCAAAGATTAAGAAACAAATTTATTATGCTTGAAATAGGTTTATAATCCTTTCAGAAATGTGAACTACATTACATTTTAATCATTTTTAGAATTACTTAATTTTATCGCTAAGTACTTACGTGATTGTTTATAACGGTATTATATCAAAGCAAACTTTAAATAGTTATCAAAATATTCGTCAAGTATCGTAGTCCGACTTTTTTTACTTCTATTATTCACTGTGGTTGATGATTTAAAGAAAAAAGTAAATTCTATCGTCTAAAAAGAAACAGCCAGGTCTATAAATAATATTTTTTGAACTGAATGCTTGTAGACAATCAAATTTACTGTAATTTTTTTAACCGATTTTTTTTGTATAGAAAAATTAAAAACACAAAAGTAAATACGGTATGTTTTTTTGGAGGATACTTAAAAATGTAATGGTGCTTGTCTATGATAAGTATATTATTTTTGTTGCAATAACCTTCCTATTGATACCTTTAACATTTGTTAATTTATTGTTTTATAAAAACATACCTACCCTATATATTGTATAATAAATAGAAAAATATACATTAATGTTATGATCTCAGATAAAAAGTACAGCTTCTAGTACGTGCATAATATAATTTTAACCATAGATAACTAATATATGCCATAGCAGAATTTTAGTTCAATATAAAGTATGAATGGTCCACACTGCAAAACTGCGTGAGGAATTAGATGGAAGAATGATAAAACCGACGGGCTTGTTGGTCTAGTGGTTAGTGGCTCTGACTGCCGAGCCGGAGATCGTGGGTTCGATTCCCACCCAGTACCAATAATTATGTGTTGAGTACGATGATTTGTTCTGTGTCTGGGTGTAATTTATAAATAATATGTATATATTTAGTAATATTTAGGTATTTATCTGCAGTGTGGTCACCAGAGTATAGGCTCTGCCTAAGTTAGTATCGACGGTGGCTAGACATATGTGTGTAAGATGATGTATTTTTAAATACTTGTATCGATTGATTATTACGTTGTAAACAAATTAACTCTACTGTAAAAACAAAAAAGTAAATTTTTGAGATTCTTGCTGGTTAATATGTTAAAAATAATAACGGATATTGTTGCAATACTACATTTTTTTATAATTTAATTATATAATAAACAAAATTATGCCATTGTATAGCTTTGTGTAAGACCAATATTAATTATTATTATAACGACGATTATGATAAGCTTACTATATAATATATTAACTTAAAGTTTTATAAAAATGTTATACATTTTTGCCTGAGCCATCTCGGAGACGTGAATATTTTAATGTGTAATTTAAAACATTTATTTAAAAATTTAACATGTTTCTCTAAAGTAGTCAACATCACTGCCAAACTTAATAAATAATTATTAAAAATAATAATAATAACAATAATTTTGTATGTGGCGCTAATGAGCTCAATCGGAACAATTGCTCACACAACTATATTTGTAGCTTTTATAACGATGATAAATAAAATTGTAATTGAAATAAAAGTAAAAAAAGTTTATGTATCAATTATAAAATTACGTAAAAACGGCTATTAGTGACATCTAGTCAGGCAAAAATATGTACTAGTATAGTTCAACGAGAACCATATTCTTAAGTTTAATTGTAATTGTTTAATAAATTCACCAATTTCCATCAGAATTCATCTTAATATTAGACAGAGTTTGTTGTCCATTAAAATAGGGTAGTCTTACTTTCATGTATTATTTTAAGTAGTGCAAACTGTAATTATGATAGTAGGAAGTTTTATACATTACCCATTTGTAGTCATAAGTACTTATAAGTTGTTAGTAGCTTATAAACGTGTGATTTTATGAAAGCATTTTAGAATGATTTCTGAAAATTATCTTCCTGATAAGTGTTACGGACTTAAAAGGATCCCTTTATTAAAGAAATATGTTATTGCCAATATAACAAATTAATAAACTTTACTGGCTAGTGACGTCACAAAAATCACAATATATTAATTAAAATTAGGATTGCTGAAATTTTGTATGATGGCATCTAAGTTTTTTTTCGATTAATTACCTTATTGCAATTTTTAACGAAATCAGCATAAAAGATATTACTATACTGGTTCTTATTTAGAATAGAAAAAAAAACACTTCTGGCAGAAGTAGAACTACCTATACAGTGTAATCTATCTGCAATTCTCTTTAGAGTTTGAAAGGGGGTAGGATTGTCGACAACAATGTGTCATTTCAATTATACCTACTGTCAAAATTGCGTAATTAGGACTTACTTATCCTAATTTTATCTTTAATTCGTGTAATACTTATCAAATGACCAGTAAAAGTCATCTTCTTTATTTCAGGTTAAAGTCAAATTAAGTATTTATTTTTTTGTTATTTAACCTTAATATATTTTTATCTGTTAGAGTCAAGCTATATCTATTCGTGCATTATAGATTATGCACGTATCGATGTAGCTATTTATTTAGTGTTACGATATTTTGTTTAGAAAAATGCTTAGCATTTACCAATGCTGTATTTGTTATGATGCCTTATGAAATAATTTATAACAGTTAAAATTATGATATTTAAAAATGGTTCTTGAGATTCACAATTATAAGATATGGCGTCCTATGTTTACATGCTGTTAAGGTTTTCATGTCAAAACGCTAATCGATTTGAGGTACTATCGAGATTTTTAGATCAAAACCTTCCCGCTCCACTTAATTTTGAACAACTGAAATATTATAGTAATATATGGTGAGTGGAAAGTTATTTAATATCGATTTTTTTTTTTCAACATTTTTTCGTTTCATTTACAAAGTAAGAACATCACAGGGGTACAAACTACTATTATGTCTATACGACTTTTATAATGAAACGACTCCATTAGTATTTTAAGCTGTATTCCGCTTATAAACAGCACTAAACTGAAAATAACAGAAGATCATCTATATTATGTAATTTTCAACAGTTCTATCTTTAAGTTGTTAATATGTCTATCGTTTTGTGCCATTAAAATACGTTGTTTATAGCTTTTGTTCCCTCATATGTATATTAATGACAGTTATATATACCACAAACTTAAGTGATATAAATAGAATTGAAAATATCAAGAGCTCTGACAGTGATTAGCTATTTTTTAAATTAGTTTTTACATATTCTAAACGTATTCAGGCTGGCCTGTAGCATATATAGGTGTATTTTTTAAATTATAATTGTTATAAAATATATCGTGTGCTTAATGCATTCCTAAATCATTCCTTGATTAGTGAAGCAGTTTTATAAGATTTTGTAAAGGGTTTTACTAAATAAAATATATGCCCAGTACATGTGTTTAATTAAACCTTTAGGTATCCCTATTACATTATTCCTTGCCGACTGGTAACCATACCTGCACTCTGGTAACACTAATTATTACAAAAAGGGAATACAAGTCTAAACAGTGGTTTGCAGAAACAGGGCAAGTATGTGTTCACATGTGTCATGCATGTGGTGACGGACTAAGAATATGGAATGTCAGTTCCCCTATTCATCCCGTGGGTGTCGTAAGTAAGAAAACTACGCAGGTTTATCCTGAGTAGTTTTCTTACTAAAGAAAACATGACACAAAACCAATATTAACCTGCCTGGCCAGAGTCCATTAACCTTGGTAACAATGGTCTGATGATGAAGGTAGGATAGTTTAAATTTTTCTCACGTCACGGTGACGTGTTGCAATTGGCTCGCGCTAAAATCTTCACTAACAACGCCAAACGCGTTCGCTGTCGAAAGCGGGTAGAAGTAAAATAAGTTTACACTAAACCCTCTCACTACAACTACTAACTTTATTTTTTACATGTCATTGTGAGCAAGGTAAAAAACTTACCGAAATTTACGAACCTCTTAAAGTAAACTACAAATATTTCAATCCTTGTATTATACGAGTATTTAGGACAATTACCAATTATGAATTAAGTACGAAAAAAATGAGGCTAAAAAAATTAGAATTTATTTTTTCTAACGCATTTTCGAAACGTAAGTGTGATTCGTAAATTGTAGGGTAGCATGAAAAAAAAAACAAATTTCATTTTTAATATCGTATTTTATTCGATGCACCGAGATATAATTACTCGAGTATACTCATAAAACACAGACAACACTAAATAAATCAACAATATTAAAATAATAATAGGTACATTAAATTATTCACAGTGCGCTTATATAAGTATAATTCTAAAAGGCCTTGTTAATGGACTCGCAATTGTGGTAATGAATGAATGAATGTATTTTAAAAATAAACATATTTCTACACAACCACCCCTCTATAAGTGGGTATACATAAGGCTAGAAAAATTAATTGTAAAGGATTAATTTTATTGTAAAGGTCTTTCTGGTAGTAATAATATTTTAACCCGACTTAAAAAAAGGAGGAGGTTTTCAATTCGTCGGAATCTTTTTTTTAAAATGTATATTCACCTATTACTCCAAGACGTCTTAACCGACTTGGTAAGTTTTTTTTTTGTATGGTATACTTACTATACTTCCCAGGTTATTAAAATTTATTTAAATTTTACCGAAATGGGCGGATGGTTTTCGAAAAATCATTAAAAATCTAAACATTTCATTGGAGCAGTGAATTTAGTTGGCCTGTTCATCTATACTAATATTATTTAATTTTTAGTGCTCTTTGTTAGTATTGTTTGAAGTCAGTTCGACTATTTTTTTAAAGGATTTATAAATCCTTTAAAAATAAAGTTGAACAATTGAATGTTTAAATGAATAATTATTCACTTACACATTCAATCATTTATCAGAAAACAAGACTTAAATTGCCCTTATAACAGTTTATTACTGAACTGATTCAAGTTTTAGAGAAATTTATTGCACAAAATGTAATGTTATTTTTATTATTTATTGCATACATATTTTAAATTGATTGATACAAATTAAATAAATTTAAGCGTAGCTTTAGTAGTCGAACACATTCTAAATCATGATAAATAATTGTGCATTCCACAACTTGCATTCCATCCTTACTTTTTTTATCGTTACTAAGCAATACCAAAAAACCAAAACATAGCTGAGCTACAATATATAGAACAAAACTAGATTAAATGGAACGCATTAATTAGTTAACAATAAACGATTTTGTAATACAAAGCACTCGACTTAGTAAATATAAATATTCTAAACCTAATAATAAGCAAGTTTTCTATGTACACCATTGAAGTAAATGTTAACTCGTATATTATCGCTATTCGAATAGCTTTGGGCCCGACGGTGGTTCTTTATCAAGGAGCGAAGCGATCAAACACGTCAGTAGTACAAAAAGAAATTTATTTTTATAAACCCTGTTAATTTGCGAATGTAGACAAAGTAATGAGATATAGACAAGTAAGAATAAGACAACATTATTTTTTGTATTCCCGGGTAAATGTTCAGAAAGCCTTTTTATATTCTGCTGAACATAATTTAATATATTTTATAGGCAGCGATGTTAACATGAACATCGCAGAAATTAACATAGTCAGGGTGTTTTTAAAATAGAGAAAATAAAAATGGCTCAAGTAATAATACTAACTGCATCCTTCGTTTTAAAAATATTGCAAGAACTGCTGTGAATAGTCCTTGCTTACAAAAATGACCACTACAAAGTTATGTGGGAGAAGATTCCAGCTAAAATAAATTTAATCTGTGGTCTGTCAGGTATTTTAAAGTGTCATCATCATCATCATGAGTCACTAAAGCAAAATAAACTGTTATATTTTTTCTTAATACGTTCATATTTTAATAAATTTCTTCCTCTTATCATATCACAAATTTGCAATATTAATATAATTATACTAATATTTAATCTGCCTCGATGGCCCAGTGGTAGTTTATGCGACTGCTGTGCTGAGGTCTCGGGTTCGATTCCCGGGTCGGACCAAGCGTTTGTATGATCAGAGAATATTTGTTTCCAATTTTGGGTATTTTCTGTGTATAATATGTATGTATTACAAAAAAGTATATAAGTATTCAATCAGTCAAGCTAGCTTTGCTTAGTTTGAAACTAGATGGCGTAGTGTACAGATGTCCGAACTATTATTATAAATTTATGCTCGTCGTTATTTCCATATCGGTTAAACGTGGTAAATTTTGAGAAAAAGCCATACCTCTATATTTGGGAAACAATTTATTTCGTCATTTATTAGGCATTTTGGTTTCTAGTGACTCTTAAAACCAAAATAGCTACATAACTAGAAAGAAATGTACTAAAGTATTGAAGCGGTAATCGTTTTAAAAAGCGTTGTTTTTTTTACCTACAAAATAACTTAATAAGGTGTAAGGTAGTTATGTGTACAAAGGCGTAATGAGTACCTACACCGTAAAATGCGCCTCTCATCATAAAAACCTAAAGTCTCGACTAATAAAATGCGTTTATTGTGTAAGATAAAATGTTAAATTTACTTTTAAAATATAGGTTGTTGTAAATGTGTAACGATATTTTATTTTAATTGTAGAAACGCCATCTGTTGACAATCTGTTTAACTAATGTGCAGAACCGTATTTTAAAGTTTTTTTTAAATCCAAACAGTGCGGCTTGTGATTAAGGTTTATCTCACAAATTGAGTCAATTAGTTATGTTGAGTTGGGGGTTGTTGTGTAAACAGTAAGTACACTAAAACTTTAGCTTAGTCAACTATGTCATAACGTTTTGTCAAAAGTGATTGCTTTATCACCAGGCTATTAGGGTTTTCACGCACACTTCACACGTCTACATATTTTTTAATATGTTCTACCAGACGTGAACCAGATAGTTACATTCATTTCTGGTCATCGTATTGTTACGATTAACATGTATAATAGATTAAAATTGATAAATGACAATACATATATTTATAAAATATCACCATCGCTATTTTTGACCTCATATAACGAATGGTTTGGTTCGAGAATGTCTGACAATCCTAGTTACATTAGCAAAACTCAAAAAAAAACAAGTCGGCTTTAGACCACACGACTGAAGTAAAACTTCTTGGGTATGAGAGAAAGAAAATATGTGCTCGCACCTCTCTCTCTTGCCCCTACAGTAATATACGAAACGTAATTCTCTCTTTCTATCTTCACTAACTTATATCTTCCTCTCAACTTCCGTTCACCTCGCCCGATCACACTTTTCGCAACGCTCTCGTCATGCATTTACCAGCTTACTTCACAAGTCAAGCGTGCATAAAGAAGTTTTACTTCAAAAAGTGCGTGTGTTAGCTCCAACGTACGACTGGAGTTTACTCCTTAAGAACGATTCGGCTGCACACAAGTATAACGTAACGAGGTCGTTTGATCACTAAATTTTACTCTTCATATTTTTTTTCATACCGGGCGCCTTATATGAAAAGCGATTCTTAAGGAATAAACTCCAAGAATTACATAATTATATGTATGCAACGTACGTTTTCGTACGTGTTTATTTACTATAATATATAATTCATATTTATTTCAATCATAGTTTTAATTTGAAAACTTTGAATTTGATATTGGTCTAAATAAAAGAGGTGTTGATTATCCCTTTGCCTGACATCAAGGTAAGTTTTTGCGGTCTGTCCTAACAACATTCTATAGGTTCCTATTTTATTTATTAGCCTTTCCAAAAATGTATAATATTTAGATTATTTGAGGCCTCATATACAACAATAGACCTAAAATTATTACTATTAAAATGGGGTGCAATCTCTACCTTAAAATATTTTTATGATTTAGGAGATAAAATAGTAACTAGATATTTACATAATAAATACTAATTTGAAGCAGAACACTGCATTTATTGGAACACACTTATATATTTGAACTACAGGAGCTACTGCGAAAGATTTCTAAAAAGATAATATTTTTATATCTATTAAATAATAATGATCTAATGATGAAGTACTTGATATTTCTTGGGTATGTTATGGTACATAAAGCTCAAGGAGCAAGAATTGTTCGAAGATTTGTCGATGTATGTCAGTGGCGCCTGCTAGCGGTAGTAATATGAACTAGGCGAAAAAAATAACTACACTATCACATCACAATGTTTTAACACACGGTATTAATTAATATTGAGCTAAGTTTTAGAGTATATAAAATAACTATAACAGTATTAATGTGATGATAATCATAATCTCTGTTTAGTACCGTGGCGTGACTATATACACAGCTAAGTAGACTACCTTGATTTATTTACTTAAATTACTGGACCGATTTCCATAAAAATTGTATGAATTCTACAATAATTTTAGTAAGGCGTTCCCTTACAATAAATCATGGAAGGAAATCTTTTTACAATAAATATATTGTTTACTTACATTTCATTCTCTCCGACCGTGTTCGAGGATAGTCATAGTATTTTAACAGTGCTGCCATCTTGTGAAGACTTAAATATTTTTCTAGTATTAATTAAATATAACAATTATATTAAATTTAAATTACATACAAGATTAAGTTGATATATCGCACCTAACAGAAATTTCATATGACGTGTAACATCTGACGGTAAACGGTCCCGCGCGCGCTCATCGGTTAAAACAAAAAACGCACGCTTACTCTTCTTCCGCTTCCTGTTATACATTTCCGTTCCCCGTTACGAACTCAGTTAACAGATGCGGAAGAGCGAGAGGAAAGATGTAACACGTCAAAAAATGACGTAGGAAGATAAACATCAAGTCGCAGCGAGAAATTACACAGTAATCGCTACAAGTGGTGACGGCACGTGTGGTAGTTCACGGAGCGTGTCAGGCCTGCGGTGGCTCGTCGAGCGGCGAGGCCCGCGGCAGGTCGGTGCGGTCGCGCGGCAGGTCGGCGGGCGCGGGCTCGTCGGCGGGCCGCGCGGCGGCGGTCGCACCGCTGTTCCCGTTGACGGCGCTCCCCGACCCACTGCGACTCGTCGAAGTGGAAGACGACGAGTCGCCCGTCTCCGTCGAGTTTGACTCCCTGCGCATAAGTGATCTTTTAAAATTCTTAAACAGGATAGTCAAAATAATTTTTTTGTATGATTTTTTAAATATCCTAAAAATAAATACTATTTTTATGGTATAAGGGGGCAAACGAGCAGACGGGTCACCTGATGGTAAGCAACTACCGCCGCCCATGGACACCTGCAACTCAAAGTCACAAGTGCGTTGCTGCCCTTGGAGTTCTCCCGCTCGAATCAGCGGGAGGGGGGATTAGGGCTCCGATAACCTCACTCACTCAGTGAAAGGCAACGAAAGAATTCCTTAACACCGGTTTTCTGTGAGGCCGTGGCATCACTCCGGTCGAGCCGGCCCATTCGTGCCGAAGCATGGCTCTCCCACCGTAAATACTACTAAAGTGTATAACTTACTTATGAAATCCGTTCGTCTGACACGTGTTATAGGCCCCACAATGTTGACACTTTAGTCCCACCACGTGGAACTTTACTGTTGACAGCTGAAACAATATTGTGTAACGTATATTCCAGAGCATAATAAATTACTTGGAGACGTAATGTCTTACATATAAAGTTTTATTTCTATTTGTTTTGTATACATTGTCTAGTTTACCTTATGGCAGTCTTTACACAGTATGGTAGCTTTGTAGTCCGCGTATTCTGGAGGCATCGGGGTAGCTGCTACCTCAGAATCCAAATAACTCCACAACTGTTGAAAAAAAATACAATATACATTGCATAAGGCAGTTTTAATGCCATAGACATTTACTTTCAGTCGACTTTTAGATGCAGAGTTATGTGTCACATCACATCAACAGGCTTTAATTAATAGTCCACTGTTGGACACAGGCTTCTGTTAAGAAAGGGGATTTTGGGCTAAAAAATAGGTGGTATCTACTCGATTCCACACGTCACGCATGACAAATTGTGTATATGTATATATTTGTGTATATGTATATATATATATATAAATGTTAACTTGGTTTGTGTATGTTTGAAAAATTAAAAAGATCTGCACCGATTGAGCTCAAAACACGCTTCAAAGATGGTTTTTATCTATTTTTTGCAAGCTACAGCGAAGCATAGCAGCTAGTAGTGTATAAAAATTCAGTCTGATTGAGGATCTCATCTGTTCCGAAGTTAGAAAACATACATTAGTCATATCTATCATGCTTGTCTGGCAGGTTGGGCAGGCGTAGTGGCCTGAGTGCAGCAGTTGCTCGAAGCAGGGCCGGTGCAACAGGTGCCCGCAGTCCGGGATGTGGCACGGGATACGGGAAGTGTGGATGTCCTCGAGGCATACGGGACAATTCGAGCGGGATACGTTTTCTACGCACTGTAACAAATTATTTGTTTAATTTAGAAGTAGGATCTAGTTTGTTTCATGTGTTGCACACATTGTAAGTTAACATTTTTCACAGGTCTCATAAGACAAGAAAGTCAATTCACATAATAAAAATTCGGTCACAATTCAGTTCCGATTCACTCTCGATCTCACAAATGTTATAGAAGGTATTCTCGTAGCAGTGTTACAAAGACTAGCTGAATACCGAATAAACTTACGGTCACATTACAATATACAGTCAACATTGGGTATTTAATATTTGACTATGAGAATATATACCTTTCATAACATTTGTGAGAAGTTTGGCAGTTCATCAATAGTGCCTGTTAGGGATTGATCAAGTATTGGAACATACAAGCATGTCCAGCACTATTGATTATACTTACCCTATGTCCAACTTGCTGCAGCTGCACTGGCAAACACATGTTGCATCGCTCGCAGTGGAAGAATCTGTCCCGGCCGCCAACCCGGCAGATACCACAACCGTCACAGTGGTACTGCCGCTTATCATCGTCGTCGAACAAGTTGCATATTAGGCATGTGTACTGCAAGTTTAAATTACATCATAATTATAAACTGAACTAGGACATACTAAGCTTCATTGTGGTACTCTCAACTAACTACTTATTCTACATCTATTCTAGTAATAGGTTGCGTAGAAAGCAATTCCGCTTGGTAAGAATTACAAACAAATTCTTATCAGATTACTTGTTAAATATTGTGCAATTTGCTTAACTTGTGCAAATCTTTATTTTTCGCTAAAATCATGACAGTTTTGTAGACTTTTTATGTTTAAATTGTATTTCGATTTTGGAGGGAGTTGAGATTGAGACCAACTGCCTCAATCTATATATCTATATCAAAGAGAGACCATATTACCGATTGTTAAAAACCTCATTTATGATACCTCCACAGTTGCAGTAATATGTTTTCTATGGTAGGCTTAACTATTGGACAATTGTGTTTGATAGCACCATAAGCAATCAAAAGCGAGATAAATTCATCAACAGCCTTTAATAGACCTCTAGATACAGGCCTCTCCTCAGAAAGGAGGCTTTGGCCTACTATACCACGCTGACCAGACAGATTGGTATAGGGTTTGTTTGTAATATTCCTTCTCTTTGCAGTGCTGTTGTCCTGCGTCGTTTGCTTCTTCAGACGGCTCTTACGACACCCATGGAATGAATAGGGTTGATGACACTCTGTATTCTTAATTCGTCACCACACAGATAGAGATAAGTTATTTAAGGTTTAATTTGAATTAGCTCAAACTAAATAAAAATAATTTTCAGGTTCTAATGTGCGTAATATTAAACAAATCTAGGATGAAAAATTTCTTTACAAGACAAAAATGCATCGATAGATGGTATGCTACTTTTCTCACCTTCCCAAATCGAACTCCGCAGTTCTCACAGACCTCCTGGACCTTTTGCCGTTTGTCACATTCTGTGCAAATTAGCTCAGTAACAGACTTTCTGTTGAAGTAGTGCTGTTCATTTTCATCATGGCAGTATCGGCAAACATATACTTTGTTGCAGCAAGGTGTCTGAAAGCAATGGACATAGTAAAACATACATACAGAAAAATATTCTACTTTTGAATTCCTTGTACTTAGAATATAATACACACAGAGATTAAAGAGATGGAATAGAATATTCTCTATGTCCAATACAGAAGAATAAATTTGGAATCTTTGGAAATTTGGACATAATTTGTAATATATTATGTAAATGTAGCATAATTGAAAATATTATTAATTTACAAATCAGAGTACCTTCAACAATTATATTGCAATCTCTACTAGATAACCTTGAGGTGGTTATTACATAATTTAAAATAAAAACAGAGTAGTTAACTGTCATAATTTCAGAAATATTTTTTTTGGGTGTAATCCTCAATTACAAAATGATGTAAATAGTGATTTCACCACCCCTTTTTAAATTATGAGGGAGGGTAACCTCATTTACTTGGAGAAAATATTATATATATTTGACTTTACAAGTGTCATTTCATTTTATCATTTATCTGTAAATCTTTATCTCGTATAAATATCGTACACATTCATGATTATGACTAGACTTGCAACGAATATTCGGTTGCTATTCGGTATTCGGCATATTCGGCTGCTTTTATTATATTCGGCCGAATACCGAATATCTACATATTATTCGGCCGAATACCGAATACTTAAATAATATATTTTGTCATTGAGAAATAATTGGTAAAATTAAAAATGAAAATCGATTGATTACGTATATATTCATATTTTCATTTCTGTTATAATCATTTAAGTAGTCACTGGTGCATAACACAGGTACATAATCATCTTCTGAATTGGAAAAATGGAGGATTCTATGTATTTGAATTATTGTGGTAATCAAAATTTAGAAGTGTAAGGTTCTCATTTCTTTTATAATCATTTATTAAGTAGTCATTGGTACATAAAACAGGTACATAATTTAATTCACGTCTGTACAAGTTTTTGGCGCTAAAATCCAGCCGAATACTTTTGCCTAATATTCGGCTATTCGGTCAGGGGCCTCGCCGAATATTCGGTATTCGGTATACTGCCGAATATACTATTCGTTGCAAGTCTAATTATGACACAAGTTAAATATTATTTTCATTTTTATTTTAATAATAGGTATTACATATTTAATTATATTGATAATCCCAATAATACCGACTTATGAAATATGTATACACATATTACACTCCTTACTTCTACTACTAAGTAAGTGTTTTTTGATATTAAATTTTAGCCATGACTTATCTGTACATGTGTGTCTGGCTTTGGTAATGATGGCCATTTAGATAAAATTTGGTATAGAGATAGTCCCAGACCTGGGAAAGGAGTAGGGTAGTTTTTACCTAATAAATCATCCTTTAAAGGGTTGGAAAGGAAGTTTGTTTTGGGCAACAAAAACTGTTTAACCAATTTAGATGTAATTTGGTATGGACATATTTTGATGCTTGAGGAAAGACATAGGCTACTTTTTAATGTGATAACAATAATATGCGAACGGGGGAAATTGCGAGTTACAGATAAAATTATTTTTCCATAGCAAATAGAACTGTAGTTTTTTGGATGAAAGGTTACCTTTATTCTTATGTGCACCTACTTATGTACATGCAAAGTTCATAGTGAAGACATGCCATAAGAGATCCAGCTTCGACACAGATAAGCAAGCTTGACTGAAGTCATATCACGATCTCACCGAAAACCAGTGTTAAGTTTCCGTTGCTATACACTGAGTGTGTGAGTTTATTCATGCCCAAACCCCCTCTCCCTTCGGTTCTAGGTAGTGACACACAAAGGGCCATAACACACTAGTGACAGTTGAGTTGCAGGTGTTCATGGGCAGCGGTAGTCACTTACCATCAGGTGACCAGTCTGCTCGTTTGACCCACTACACCATACAAAAAAAAAAAAAAAAAAAGGGTGGAGAAGTCATGAAGAGGAATACAATTAGAAAATCATATAAGTATATTCTATATTTGCAGTGATGATAAGTTTGCAAGAAAAACTATGATATTAAACTTTCAGCAGGTTAATGGGGGTTAATTACTATCAATAGCAGATAAATCATAAAGTTATTGAACAAACAATTGTGTTGAGTAAGGCATCTTTTTAATATATTAGCTGCTTCGGGCTCCGTAATATTGGTGCCAAAATACTCATGAACCTGACTCTCCGGTTCGTTGACTTCAGCTTTGTTTCTTAAACCCGCATGTCACCATTACAAACGTATTGCGTCGGTGTGTATAAATATAGAATACCTTTGTTATTTCCTGTGATATTTATGAGCTATCCAAATAATCAACTAAGAGATCTTAAATAATCGTTCACATATATTTACCACGAACTTTGCACGACGTTTATAATGAGCACAACCAATTCGTTTTTCTTTGCTGGGCTCCGCGTTTAATGCTTCATTATTGTTGATCACTTGCTGTTCTTTCGACATCTTGCTAGCACTTCTACACTACACTTATTAAAAACAATACTTAAATATTTCAGGACATTAATGAATTAATTTTAATAATATCTAATTCTTAAGAAAATAATGAACAACATTTTACTTGCGTGATGACATCTGGCTAACTTTCTGGGTTTTCCAGTAAAACTAGGTATAAATACTTGTCATTTTACAGGAAAAAAGAAAACTAATTGTATTTTTCACAAGAGTAAAAGAGATGGCAAAAAAATGATGCATAATATTTTCATGATGACAACATTCATTGATCACTTTGACGTTTTTTAATACGTTCAATAACCTACTTTTTACAAATGTGACTTGTACAAAATTGAATGGTGAATTAGAAATACAATCACTTTTGGAACAAGATTAAATCAAATTCATATTATAAGGGTGTCTCAGTATGAGTTCACTTTTTAAATTTAGAATTTTTTTATATCGTGCAAGTGGCAACTCTGAAATTTTACGGCTCTCACCTATGTTTATTCCGATAGTTAAAAATGTAACGCTTTTCGAAAGAATAACGATTGGTTCTTATTTTTTTGAAGATGAAGCAGAAATTGCAGTGACTGAACGGCATTCGTTATAGGAATATAGTAACGGAGTTCTTATGGCTTTAACTGAACGGCAAAGATCTGGACAACATGTGGTTTCAGCTGGACGGCGCCACCTGCCACACAGCGTATGAAACAATCGACTTATTGCAGCAACGATTTCCAGAACACATTATCTCACAAAATTCTGATGTCAACTGGCCACCAAGATTGCGATTTAACGCCGTGCGATTTTTTTCTTTCTTTGGGGTTTTGTGAAATCTCGGCTTTATTCGAATAAACCAGAAACAATTCCTGAGCTCAAATCATAGATCCAACGCGCCATGGGTGGGATACAGCCACATCTCTGTGTAAAGTCATGGAACATTTCATGACAAGAGAGCCTGTCATCAGAGCCGTGGGGACCATTAGCCGGATATTTTATTCCATACTTAATCGGAACGTGTCTTCTTTACAATCCAATAAAAATATTACAAATCTTTCATAAAATACGTGTTTTTATTTTAAAATGAAAAAGTGCACTCTCACTGAGATACCCTTTAGATAAAGCAACACAGGTTAAAACTTTGTGCTGCGTTAAGAGGTACAAAAATAAAAATATATAAAAGTTTATAAAAATAAGCTATAGGTATTCGGTTGTGATTATAGAGATATAAGCATAGAGTGAACAAGAGCCCTAATCTTGCAATATAGGCAATGAGAGAAATGGATAATAAACAGTTTTCTCTATCTCTTTCTAGTCGAGCTTTATGGTTGGCTGGGGAAGTTTCTAATACCCGCCTGTTCTACAATCAAAACCATGCCTTAATGATAGCCAATCGCAGCTTAGCTAAACAGAGACAGAGGGAACTATCGAGAATCCATGTTTCTCGTTGTCTGTATCGCTTCCACTTATAGGCAGCTGTACCCCGTGTTTATTCTGTGCTTTTGCATCTTTAAATTTAATACATAATCTTTTTTCTGACATTAAGATTAAAGGGTGCTATTATCACACTGGCAGCAAGCTAAGTGGACGATGGGCAAAAAGATATTAGGTATTGCAATAAGTAAACCTCAAGACAGAGTTGTGTGGCTGTGTTCAGTAAGCCTGTATTAGTGTGTCGTCCGCATAGCAGACAACACTTATCCATGAGAGCAGATTGATGCGAAGGACCGCACTGTATGTGAGGTTCCACAACTAAGGGCCTGCCTCCTGCGTCCCCTAGGTAGGAGCTGGTGATCGGAAGGGATTATCCACCACATCACCAAAAAAAAATTAGTAAATTCCAATATTTTGTCTGCATTTCTTAATTTTATCATAGCCCTAGGTAAATGGCTACGCACATGAGAGACGATAAACCCTGTGTTTGTTTCGTCCTTTTTTCTCAGGTCCAGTCCAGTTCGGAAAGGCCGAACTCATCTGCTCTAAAAAAAGTTTGACTTGTAAAAGTGTTCCTGTAATCTATATATAGAATAAACGATTTCATTTCAGAGAAAGAGGAGGCTGCCGAGGCAAAAATATAACGAGATAGGATTATATTACTCTCCTGTCAGCAGACGACGCATCCCTTGGCGTCTGAAACCTCATATATTCTAACTTTTAAACCTTCATGTTTCATGTTAATTATGATAAGATATGATGGAATGTTAACGGGCATTACCTTTAAACCAGGCAGAATTGTCCGCGGTCTCGCACGTGGTATTGCACGAATTTTGAGGTCAAATCAAAGAGGTGGAAGGTTCCTCGCGCACCTTTATCATAATCAGGTTCTAATATTAAGTATATAATTATTAGGATATCATTCTATGCAAAATCTAATAACCCGACGATGCTCGGCATAGTACGTAGGTTTTACTCATACATATAATCATCTAATAATGTGACTGAATTTATTTTCTTTTTCCATTTACCTACTTGTCATTTCTAACTTTCACATCAGAATCAACTCATAGTATTACAAAATGCACAGAGTACAATAATAATATTAGGGAACAAAATGTCAGAATCTCAACACAATAATCATAAATAACAAAATATTTCAAAATAAAAAAATAGTTTAAAATTGATAAAATTTGTTAACAGCAAAATGTTGAAATACGCTCCAACATTTTTAATTTTACTGACGTTTGCATACCAAGCTACAACGCTAATTCCTCCAAAATTTCAATGGAGAACAATAGATTTCGCCTTTGAAGATGGAGAAAGAGAAAGTGCAATCAAAAGTGGCATGTATATACCTAACAATAACATGCCAACGGGATTAGCGAGGTGGAAGGACAAACTGTTTATCACTATACCGCGATGGAAAAAAGGCGAGTAGTTTACATAATTGACAGTACTCAGCATCACTACTTTTAATTCCATGAACCTCATCTTGAGTTCCTCTGCTTCATGTTAACAGCAATTACCATAATTATTATTTAAAAAAAATATTGACAGCTCCGCCTGCGCGTATGACGGTTATCGCGGTTAAAAGTGGCCTATGTTGCTCGCTGATAATGTAGCTTTCCATTAGTGAAAGAAATTTTAAAATTTGTTAAGTGAGTTAGGCGTGAAAGCGTAACAAACAAACAAATATGGAAGTATATATTCATATTGAAGAGTCAGTCGTAAATTTTGTCTTTAATGATTAATACGTGTATTATAATTAGGTTTGAGCATTAAAGCTTTAAACCACATTGTTTCAACAGGTGTTCCTGCATCTCTTAATTATGTATACCTGAACGGCAGTCAGCAAGAGCCTCTGCATCCTTACCCAAATTGGGAGGAAGGTGCAGGAAATTGTCGCTTAACCTCAAACAGAACCGTAGTTTCAACATTCAGGGTGCATGTGGATAAATGTGATCGGCTCTGGGTGGTGGATAATGGAGTTTGTGATATGTCAGGTTAGTTATGTTAGGGTAAAGAACACAAAGGTAATGGCGCGACGCGCTACGGAGCGGGAGCAGGAAGGGAACATCCGGGTTCCCACACAGGAGGGGTCATCTATAAGCCGTAGATGGCCTGAGGTACGTCGGGGTACTAGGGCTTTCCTTTCTAGGGTATACCGGCTACTGGCTACCTGAAGAGGGCGTGCGGTTTTTGGTCCGTTCGAGTTCGACATAATCACCCACTGCTGGGTAGTATTCGAGGGGAGTACCGCACAGAAAAAAAAGGATAAAGAACACAATCAGTTTAATCACAATCAATCAGTTTAATAGTTAAGCAGGCAGCTTAGGTGGTTCTAAAATTTGTAGAGCGTTTGATCGTTAGTATCTTTAAATCAGAAAATCTTTAACGGCTTCATTATTTTAGCAGTTTTGTTATCGTACTTACCTTTCATGTACTCATTTACGTACAGACGACTGGATGGCGTAGTGGTTTGTGTAACGGACTGCTATTCCAAAGGTCGCGGGTTCGATTCCCGCTCAAGTCAAACATTTGTGTGCATGAACATTTGATGTTTGATTTGTTCTGGGTGTTTCTATGTATAATATGTATGTATTTACAAAAAAAAAAAGTATATATGTATTTATATCAGTTGTCTAGTACCCATAGTACAAGCTCTGCTTAGTTTGGGACTAGATGGCGTTGTGTGTGTGTGGTAGAATATATTATAATATTATTATATTTACCCTTACGTCTCTTCCCCTTCCTCCGAGCCTTTTTTCCAGACTAGGTTGGGGTCGGCTTCACTACTACAATACGACAGAACTTCGATTATTTACGTGTAGCGACTGTCATTAGACCTCTATAACCCAAGTACTAGGCGATATTGAAGTTCTGTAGAAAGTTTGTTGTCGGACTTTTTAGGGCTCGAACTACCCTTATTAAGTACTAGCTGACCCGCGCAACTACGTCTGCGTCTCTCAATAGTAATAAATTTTCTCCGTTTTTGAAACATTCTTCATTAGTGCTCCGCTCCTATTGGTCTTAGCGTGATGATATATAGCCTATAGCCTTCCTCGATAAATGGGTTATCTAACACTGAAAGAATTTTTCAAATCGGACCAGTAGTTCCTGAGATTAGCGCGTTCAAACAAACAAACTCTTCAGCTTTATAATATTAGTATAGATTTCATTATTAAGCGACTTAAAAAAAGGTTTGTTCATTTTTATTTCTTTTTTGTGTTTGCTCCCTTAGAACTCAGGCATATAAGAGAACAAATTGTGAAATTTTGATAGTGAATGCTACTTATTGTAAGACGCGTTGAAGTCGTTTTTTTATAGTTCATTATTATTACTTTTTTTAAGCAGAAACGGCTGAACAAGTCGCACCGCCATCTATTCTGGTCTTCGATTTAAATACAGACATGCTGTTGGCAAAATATGAATTTAGTGATGACGTCTTAAGAGACACTTCTGTATTAACCAGTATTGTAAGTTCACTAATATACATTTTAGTTTCGAGTGTTTAGTAAACGATTTCTTTTTTTTTAAATACACTAACTCTTTTTAGGGTTCCGTACCTCAAAAGGAAAAAACGGAACCCTAATAGGATCACTTTGTTGTCCGTCTGTCTGTCTGTCTGTTAAGACCCTTCATCTCGGCAATGCGTGAAGGTATCGATTTCAAATTAAACCCATATACTCAGGTCTACGGTCCCTTGAAGCTGTAAAATAATCAAACTCCTAAGTTAACGTAAAAAAGATACGGCCGTTTATACTGCAAAAAACGCATTACGCATATTTCGAAACTCTTAAGGGAATCTAAATTCATAGGAATCAGAGTACTTCCCGTTGACCTATAATATGTACATACAAATGTGTACGGATCCCTCGCAGTTGTCCGATTTTTTTTTGTTTTTAACTGATTGTGCAATAAGCCCAGAAGGGTCGTTTTTTATTCACCTGACGGTTTCATACTTCTGAACAATTTTGATACATATTGAGGAACACCTATAAATGAAGTAGTTTATTAAAAAACAAATCAAAATGACTTTTGACAAAAAAAGCACCTAACAAACTAATTTAAACTCATAAAACAGTGTATCTTTCGTAGTCAATACCTACTTTTCTTTTTCTTTTCATCATTTCCCATTTATCTCAATAAGTGTAACTATTGCATATATCGGCCTTGATTTTCGTCAGACTTATGAGGGTATTTTTCAATATAGTTTGCATAGTTATACCCAATAACTCTATATTCGGATTAATGACTTAAAAAAGTGCCTTTTTGCAGGTCGTTGAAATACCAGCTTGTAAGAACGCTAACTGTTCGAATGCATTTGCATATATAACAGACATGGGTTCCAACGCAGTTATTGTTTATGATTTCGCGAACAACGATTCTTGGAGGGTGGAAAACCATTATTTCCATTTTGATCCTCATGCAGGAGTATATAAAGTTGGTGGTATTGACTTTTACTGGCGCGATGGAGTGTCAGCTGCTGCGTTGACGCCGCCGAAGAAAGGCGGGTAAGTAATTAATGGCGGGAGACTCTACGCTTAATAATATCTAGTCCGTAGTCGCCAAAAGACAAGGTACACTTTAGGTACTGAAGTCTAGGTCTATTTTGTTCTTCAAATTCGGGAAAATTAATAACACACATCTCACACACACGGCCGTCTGATCCCAAACTAGGCAGAGCCTGTACTATGGTAACCAGACTGCTGATAAACATACTTATATAATTTAATATACATAAATACATACATATTAAAGATAAATTACACCCAGACACAAAACAAATGACCGTGCTCATTATATAATATTTGTCCTAGGTAGGAATCGAACCCACAACCTCCTTTTTAGCAGTCAGTCCGTCAGTTTAGCAAATATGTTATCCGATTTAATGTTTTTTATCTGTTAGCAAGATTGCTCGTACCAGGAAATTAAAGGTATTACATCTGTACGTCAAAGTCTACCACGACGTGGTTACCACTAAATGAACAATATAGTCCCACTAAAGTCTCAAAACAATTAAACCCTTACATCTAATAAACTTCTAAGAAATATATCTCAATCTTTTGTACGTTATTCTTGGTAGACTTTATTAGACTTCGAATTTCGTAGTATACCTACCATTCGTGGTGGGTCAGCTTTAATCTTGTTAATCTTGCATACTTGCAATGAAATGAGACTTACATTTACCATATTTATTTTTTGTTACAGTTTTTGCGATCTGTATCTTCATCCCACTTCAAGCACGAAATTATTTAAGATGTCTACCAAGCTGCTAAGAAATAAAACCGCCTCTAGTGATGATATATTAAATGGAGTAGAGGTAGGCTTAACAGATACCATGTTTGTGTTCGTAGCTTTTGGAGTAATCGGAATAAAAAATAGAATATTACTCCCTACCTACTACAGTTTCTTCCCTATCTCTTCGATCTATTGCAGTTATAATCCTATTTCACATCTGTAACTTGCGGTATCTTAGGTCCCTGCTCTATTCGTTTTCCTTACCCGAATTTACTAAACATTCTTCCTCTGTCTTAAAACAATTAAAATATCAAAGAGAGTTGGCGTCAGGCCGCTTAGGTCTTTATAAGTCTTAAGAATGCACCGACTCCAAATAAATTTCGAAGAATATGAGGACAATGATGATTATTTAGCAATAAGTAGATCATAGAGTTTTATCGTTATCAGGTCGTTGGTGATAGAGGGCCAAAGTCACAAGCTACTGCATGCGACATCGATCCGAAAACTAACATTTTGTTTTACACACAGGTAAAATATATTTTTTTCTTTTTAAAAGACAACACCCGCACTAGGAATAAACCCTGTATCGCGGGGGACTTGTTCTCCATTCTTAAACGATAGGCTCTGCAGAGACTTGCATGGATAATGACGATATTACTATCGTACAAGAATTTACGGTGGTATAAATTGTTGGTTTAACTATTAAAATGATAAGAAATCGACAAAGAGGTACTAGCAAATTTAACTAATGGCGTTTTCTTTGCCGAAAAAAAAAACCGTCACTGATTCAAACTAATATTAAAATTTGTGAATGTGATTTTGGTTTGTTCATTAGGTACACTGAGATTATACTTCAGATACTTAACCCGTCATCAATTTTACAACATATCAGAGATATACAAAATTATACAGGTGATCCAAAAAAAAGTATTAGATAAATATAACTGTCCACCACATGGTGACGGATTAAGAATACAGAGTGTCACCACCCCTATTGATCCCGTGGGTGTCGTAAGAGCCGTCTAAGGGAGCAAACTACGCAGGACAACAGCACTGCAGAGAGATGGAAAACTTGACACAAACACTATAGGAACCCGTCTGGCCAGCGTGGTATAGTAGACCAAAACCTCCGTTCTAAGGAGGATTTGGATGATGATGATGATGATGATATAGAAAAACTGCCACCAGTTTTCACATCAGGTGATCATACTTAATAATTTGTTGCAGGTCTGCAAAAATGGTTTAGGTTGTTGGAACATCGACAAGCCATTTTCAATTGAAAACTCCCCGGTGATATTCAGCGACTGTAATTTATTGGAATTTCCTAATGATGTTAAAGTGAGATGTTACTTATATTGATTAGCTATACGCATAAAAATATATTTAAAATACTTCGGACATCTGACACACAACGCCATCTAGTTTCAGATTAAGCAGAGCTTGTACTAAGTAAGCTAGATTCACTGATAGAATACTTATATGCTTTTTTCGTAAATACATACATATTATACATAGAAAACACCCAAACTCCGAAACAAATATTTGCAGATCATACTTACAAACATTTGCCACGACTCGGGTATTGAACCCAAGACCTCAGCACTATGTTTTGAAAATCCTGCACACTGACGAAAAATACTTCTTATCTTTTTCTACCTCTAGCGAGTGAGGATAACAGAGGGCCAAACATCCCTTATTTAAAGAGGTTGAGCCACCGCTAACGCACTGTGCAGGTTTACGTGGGTGGCGTTAGTCATTTGTCATGAGGTAGCCCGACGGCTCATTTGCTCTCTTTAGGTGCCACGAAAAAAATATTTACGACTAGATGGCGCCATAAACTTCCTATCGCCTTCTATCTATTAACCATTTATTCACCTGTATTTCTAATAGTTTATTTTTACAACAAGCTAAATTCTAAACTACTGCAAGAAAAGCCAAAAATAATAGGTATGTTACTTTTGCCTTTTCTTTAGGCTCTTTGATTCTTACACTTACTGCTAGAAAAGTCCTATTTAGTCATTAAGCTTTGTTTTCTTCAGGTGGACAACGAGGGCAATGTTTGGATGTTAAGCGATAGGCAGTCACGGTTTCTATATGAAGGCATGGATTATGAAGACATTAATTTCAGAGTACTATCTGCGCCTTCTAATTTGCTTGTACAGGACACAGCTTGCGCCAAGAAACGGTAAATTTATAAATCGTCATAGCGAACTTGGTGAAATCGATTTTTCCTCCTGTGTAGATTCTATGCCACAGAATAAATAATCTATACCTACCCAGAACTGACATGCCTGAGAATGCCTTTCGCGCCAATTTTATGTCAATACTTTTTGAACGGCAAAATATTGTCCATCAACGGTTTAAGTAAATAAAATGTTTTTTAAGTAGCTGCTGTAATGTATGGACAACCCGATGTATTTTAGCTCGTAACGCCTCAAGTAGTTGTAAGTCATGTGGGGACTATCTTCTTTTATTAATACCACAATTTACTAACTTTTCGGCTAATTCTCGTGTTTGAGAGTGAATTGTTGTTTTGTGCTATGTAACATCTTTCTTCTCGCTTTCCTTAAATCTATGGAAGTGATTTTGTTAAAACGGACTACACAACTACAAGCGTCAAGTGAGCGAGATGGAAATGGATTAACTGTCGATACTGATCCGTGCAGTTGTAGAGACTAAGATGGTGGGTAGCTTCATGGGGCGTCCCCTTCAACTACTCACCTCACACCGCAATTTAATTACATTTTTATTTATTTCAGGCTTTAGAATCATCACTTCTAAGTCTATTTTTTTTTATATATATATTGTGTTGATTTTCATATTTATTCAACATTTTTAATATTGTACCTATGCCTAATAAATCTCTCTGCTTAAAATATGTACTTTTATTTGAATCGACGATTTCCACTGGTAGTCCCCACGCAGGGTCTAAGTTATACCTCAACACCTCGTACCTCGGGACCCCTGATAGTAAGTGATTACCGTCGCCCATGTCTACCTGCAATTGAAGAGGCACAAGTGCGGCAGTGCTCCTAGAGCTAGTAGCGTTGTGCCCGTGCTTTTGCAGGTAGGCGCTAGGAGTGGTCGGGATGTCTTAATAAAAGATATTGCTGCGTCCCTTCTGTTTTAGGCGTAGTACAGCACTCCGTGTGATTGTTATTCGGTTTGATTCCGAAACACGTTCCACAATAAATCCCGTTGTGGTGTTTGGTCACTCTGTGCTGGGAACATGATCTTAAATATCAAAAAATTTGAGTGATTAGGTCGAATTTATTTAACACTTAAACGATGTATTTACAACATATTCCTTTTTGGTACTGTAAAACCACCAAGGTTAGTAACTACTAGTACTGTAACACCACTAGTAAGTACTGTTAGATCATTTCCAGAAAATAGTCAATACATAGTGGTTTTTTTTTTAAAAGACAACTCCCGCATTAGGAATATATCCTGTGTCGCGGGGGACAAACATACAACATTACAAACATACATGAAACGGATACAAAGAACACCCAGACTCAGAACAACAATTTGTGGATCACACAAAGTGTCGTTCCATGTGGGGTCTGAATCCACAACACTCGGCGCAATAGGAAGCGGCGTGGTGACCGCTTAAACCACTGCGCCATCCGTGCAGTCAGAGTTTGAGTGATACATTTTGATACTTTATACAACTGACGCTCATAATTATAGTAGTGGAAATGTAGTGTATTTTGTGTGGATCGATACGTAATTGAATAGTTCATATAGAGATCACTATAACCCGGCAATCTCGTGTGCGACCGTCCCGCGGGGTGACAGACAGTGGCGAGGGCGAGGTAGCGCGTTATTCTAGCACACGGCTACACACGAAGAGAAGCGTTTCCCTTCCCCGCTACAATTCCCAGCGTGTATTGCAAATTCTATTATAATTTAAAAAACAAATAAAAAATATATATTTCTTTATTTTATTTATATTTTATAATTTTTTTATTTATGTTTATGTACTTTTTTATTTTAATTTTTTAATTTATGATAAACATTTTTTATTATTATTATAATTATTTTGTACAATTATTATTTAAAATTGATAATAAATTAAAAAAAAACAATGAATTAATTCTTTTGTACAAAAGTCTCCAGCACTGCGAGCTTGGCACTTCTGCCAAGCTCGCAGTGAACGTTCAACGGGTCCCTAAAAAAAGTGATCGGTCCAGCCCTAACAACTACCGTTCTTCCTATATTTTATTATTATTGGCAAAATGTTTAAAAACAGTATAAAGCATATTATTTCATAAATTATAAATTCTCCCACTAATGTGGGAAAACCAAAATGATTTTTTAATGGTAACACTGATTCTAAATTACAATTATCAGTGTTTTATTTCAATTATAGCCTCAGCCGCTACCCGCTGACATCTTGAGTACCTCGCCCCGCCACCGTCTGTCACCCCGCAGGACGGTCGCGCACTACGTTGATGGACTATAGTAATGGCTATTGTCACTGTGGTAGAAAATAAAACAACCAAAATAGTCGTAATTTTTTATTTAAATATACAACATGGTAGTTATAACTATGTAATTAAATAAGTCTATGTGATTGAATAATTCATAATTAATTATAATTTTTGCACGTGTCCTCCGTCGATTCCACTTCATTTCGTTCTTTGTCAGTCTTTTCACTAATAATAACAACTGAACCGACTTATGTTAAGAACTTAGGAGTTTGAGCACCTACTCAACTATGAGGAGTTTAGAGTCCGATGGACATGATTACACGAGTGGATATGAACAGTTTTGAATCTATTTTATACCATGGCAATACTCTAAATGTAACATTTAGTCGTAAAATTGTAAATAAATTAACAATTTGACATTTCTCGTCTAATTTAAAAGTAAATAGGCTTGGGTAAAAAATCCATGCAATTATATATTTTAGAGGGCAAGGTCTTTTAAAAATGCATATTATCGGCGTAATGGAATATGTAGTTATAGCGAATTATTTCACAATCTGAATACTTCGAAAAAATGTTATGATAGTATGAAATTTATAGGAGCGGAACAATAATGAAAAATATTGCAAAAAGGGGGAAAAAATATTTCTTTTGTGAGACGCAGATGAACTTACGAAGCAGGTCAGCTAGTATTTAATAAAGATATACGGTTTTACTCATGTATGTATTCCGAATATATACGGTTCGACTCGATGTGGGCGCATTTTTCAAGTAACACGTGAGTAAAACCATATATCTTAAGAATATGTTGTTACATGTTGAGACTATACTACATTCCTGTAACCTAATGACATAATATTATTAGAAAGCTGAATTTATTTCTTTTAACACTAGAGTATTATCATAATCGATTCATTATTTAATTAGATTTACATAAAAGTATTTGATATTTCTAGATTTAGGTAAAATTGAAATAAAAATTATTTGATCTGATATCTGTAGGAGTATCAAAACTCCATCAATCCCTATAATACATTAACATGTGATGTCGGACAAGATAGATTGTATCTTGAATATAAAAGTTTCATTAATAACAAACTCTTTAAATGTCATTTGCATTTTTGAGAGTATTTATTGTACATGCAATATTTAATAAACCATAAAAAAGCAAAACCAATCGTTTAAAAAATAAATAAAAAAAACTCCATATCTATTAAGGTTCGTCGTTATAATTATTCCTACAAAACCTTCAAAATTCGTTTCTTTCTACGCTGGAGAAACGTCTTAATAGTAAAAACCTCCCGAATCACTGTCATTCCTGTAAACCGAAGAGATCTTAGAGACTTGTATTATCATAGAAATTATACTAAAATCGTATCTTAATACATAATAACTACAGCTGCCAACTAAAATGAACTATTTTATCTAATATAATATTTTTTTATTATAATACTCATTAAATTCGAATTCTTTATACTAAAGTTATTTTTTTTAGTTCATGTCTGTTTCAATACTCGTGCTCAACGCGTGAACGAATCAAAAATGTTGCAATTTAAAAAGGTATTATTTACAAAATGAAATTATTGCTGAATTGTCTACCGTAGGCCTTAAAATATTAAGAATTTACATGAGAACATCAAAAAAAATATGTAAGGTTCGCGCCCATGTTTACCACATAAAACAAATGTATCGAAAATTAGGAAAGGTCACCAATTTTACTCCTAATTTGCTATTCAAATTGAGAACTTGTTGTCATTCCGTAAGGTCTTATTTCCTATAGCAATCAATGTCCGAAGTAGTTCACAATTTAGTCGATATATTTCCATGTCGCAATAAACATCACCAGCTCAATATCCACGACATAATACTTATAAATTTTTAATACGAAAGCGGTACCTATATCGACAAAATGAGGGACGTCTCTAGTTTTTGTTTAAAGTACTTAATAGATATAAAAAAAATACTAATAGTGCCTTCCCATATAAAAGAACGTCGCGAGTTAAGAATTTTTATAATTCATTTTTCGTCATCTGACAGATTTTATGACAGGCAGATTTATTTTAAACTCCACATGTCATGTGTATAGTGTTATAGAGAACCTTGGGATTCTAATATATACAGCTTGCCTCGTAGTAAGCGGTAACCGTGGCCTATGAAAATGCGCTTCACAAATTCGAGATTTTTTTATTTATTAAATTGTCTATTTGGTTTTGTTTTGGCTTGTTGTTGCCAAAAGCCGTCATAATGAGTAATCTTTATATTGATTGAAAATTTATGTAAATTCATGAAAAGAATATGAATAGATAAATATGAATGAATAGATATTCCGAGTCCGTTCGGCCGTGCTATCCGATTTGCTAAGTTTGTCTTTAAAAGTATTAGATGCACAAATTCATCACCAAGAATGCCAAATTTTTTTCTCGATATTAACATATTTCCTCCAGTACATTTCTTATGTTTCATACCGTTTTTCTGTTTATCCCTGGCTTTAAATCAGTTACGCGGTTCGATTTGGTCTATTCGTAGAAGGAAGAACAATTGCTGGGATGAGTTCTTCGATTTGAGTTTTACCCACTTAAATTGGTTAACATTCACTTGAATTTATTTTCGTTGTGGTAAAATGATTTACTTGCTGTAGACTCGGTCATAAATCTTCAACGCAGAGTAAGAATATATATATAAATTAAAGAATTATATAATTCATCATTCTCTCCTCTTGGGCTTAATGAGCGCAGAATCGAGTATATATGACCGTATGATTTATGACAGAGTCTGATGAAACGAGGTATTTCTGAAATGGGTATTTTATACGCACACGCAAAAATGAGTTGCGGTAGGGCTGTCTCACTCCCGTTTTCGTCGTCTTCAAAGGACATGATACCTTCAGAAAAACGTACTGTATACCCCTGACAGAAAAAAAAACCTAACCTAGTTGCGAGGAAAGGCTAACAGAAAAATAAAGAAACCACGGTCACTTTTCTCAATTTCACGCTGAATTAGTGCTAATTTCTACAACTTTCAAATCTATTTATTTTTGGTGTAAAACAGTTGCAATGTGAATGATATCCCTATAATAATAGCTAAAAGGTGTAAAATAACAAAGAAACATTTTTACTAATAAACGTGTAATATACCCACAAGGGTGATGTATTTAATTACAACTTCAATATTTAAAAATAAATAAGACCCTGGCTTAGCATTCTGCATAAAAGGAAATCTTCATTTTGGGTCAAGACTACCTTGTCATATAAATGTTTTAGTGAGTTACGAACAATTTAATGTTCTCAGGTGCATTATGTTTTAAAGTAGTGGTCGACTAACATGCGCGATATTCCTAGACCGTAAAATTATGGCAAAATAGACTATACATACGGTCTAACCTCCCGATATCTAAGGTATACAACGACACTTCACTTCGCCATCTAAAAGTTAAAATAATCTAGAAAAGGACGCAAATCGCTCTCTCATTCTTGATTACGGAAATTGCCGAAAACATCCGACCGCGACCGAAGTGTACCGTCGAAGGAAATAGTGGTGCGTCACTGTCAACATTGTCCTACTCTACAAGATCCGTTTTGCTGTGACGAAGGAATTTCTACCTTATTTCAATAGTCCATAGGTTATTTATTTAGTACATTAACTAGTGTTCTCTGAGCTTTCCGCTTTATGCTGTGGCGTCGACTTGGGTTGGTTGAGGCGCTGTTTTAGGGGAGTATTGTACTCCCATCCGTCTTCACCTTTGGGGCTGAACAACTGCAACAATTCATCACTCTATTAAGTAAATTACATCGTTTATACATTTGTTTAATTTTAAATCTACTCGTACTACAATGTACAATAAACTGAATAGAAATTTAAAATAATTTACTTTATTATAAATACGTTCGCTACATATAATTTTATGGGGAAAACTTGCTGAATAGAGGAATAATTAATAATAATAATAATAAATTTATTTCCAAAACAATTATACATAGAAATTTACAGTACATGTTAGTTACAGGACAATTTTAGTCGTCGGTAATATCGAAATATCCATGTTCAATCAGTGAAAAACCCTGCCTTTTAAACTAGGTGACACCTGTATCTTAAAAGACAGTGTTCGGCCATACATTTATACAATATTTGATAAAATTTTTCTAATTTAGAGCAGTTGTGAATGCTTTGTGTATTTATTACATATAAGATTAAGCTGTTGTGCATTATATATGGTACTATGACATATGGTATATGAATGAGTGTGTGTCTGCGTTTGCTTGCTTGCGCGCGCGCGTGTGTGTGTATGCATGAGTGTGTGCGTGCTTGTGTGTGTGTGTGTGCGTGCGCGCTCGTGGGTGAAAGTATTTGTGTTTAATTTGTAGTTTTATGTGATGTAAGTAAGCAATGACTCTGTACTGAAGTAGTCTTGTTTTAGTAGCCATTCAGTCAAGACGAGCTTTAATGTGTGTATGTTCATTTCGAGTATATTAAGTTCTTTGTGTATTTTTTTGTAAATGTGCGTGCTTAGTACATAATAGTGGTGCTTTGCAAACGAAGTCCTATGTTGTGTGCCCAGCGGTAAGTTCCTTCTAAATTTTTAGACGGTGGTTCAGTTTAGATGTAGTATTGAATAGCCGCGTTAAGGCGTGCGGGTACCTGCGTCTGCCACTTGTCCCCGGCGGCGTCGCGCAGCTTGACGGCGTCGCGCTGCGCCTGCTCCACGTGTCGCTTGGCGCTGGTGGCGAGCTCCGTGTCCTGCGCGCGCAGCGCACACGTCACGTGGCGCCACACGCGGCGCGACTCGTGCGGCGCCTGCTGCGACACGGGCGCCACGCGCTTGCGCCGCGCCTTCATGCCGCTCATCTCGAACAGCGTCTCCGTGCGCTGACACACCCACAACATCATCTTACTAACTATTAACGTACGGACTGTTCATAAACGGATCTGGATGGAATTTGGCACAAAGATAGATTGTATTCTAGATTTCATAAAGGCTACTTTTATTCCGAAAAAAATGTTTCTAAAATCGACATTAATGCACGGTCAAAAGAAAGTTTAAGGGAAATTAAAATTGACTTATGATTAATATCGGTCTGGTTTTAGTATATGCCCGTATATGTAAGTTCCGGGTAATCTTTGACAAAGTTGGATAGCTTTTTACAGCACTTACACGCGCAGAATGTTGATAGCACTAGAAATATTTCAAGTAGCAAGAACTAGTTTGGAATGAAATAGAAAGACAAGACCAGAACGGTCAGAGGGAATATTACATTTTACTGTTTTAATAACTTACTCCTGTATCAGTCCAGCGTCCATCCATCCTCGAGTTCCACTCCCCCTGGGCGGTGTAGTAAGCTTTCTTGTCGACGCCCGCGAAGATCTCGCAAGTGACACGATGTTTCTTCCCACCGTAGAAGGGTTTCGTCAAGAACTCGATGTTAGCTTTGTGGCCTGTCTGTACGCACTCGATGACGACTGAACCACCTAACTCTATCCACGGTACTGTTAATATCGATCTGTGGAAAGAGAAATTAGTTGAACATATAACTACAGAAAGTCGGACTCGGTTTCAATTTTTATTTTTATGTCATGGGGACAGAAAGGTTACCAGAGCCTCAATTCTGTTATTTTAATATTATACCAATACACTCTCGATAGAATGTTGTCGGAATAGTTTTGTACTTTTCCTATTCTACTAACTATGTAAGACCAATGGCCTCCCGATGACTTGTCACTGATACAAATGTCGTCGATGTCTTTGAAATAGTTTGGTAAACGGTACATTTTAAATTTGTAAGAAAATGATATATTTAATTTTCCAGGTATGGCAATGTTGTTGATATCACCATTGATGACCTATATTAGTATATCGACAGTCTATTAACACTGTTCTGTTAGTAGAATACTGATATCAACACACAAATCATGTTAGTAGAATACTGATATTTTGACCGATGTCAATGGCGTCTCAGTGGCAATGGAATGACAGTGGCTTGACGTTAACATAAAATAGCAGAATTGAGGCCCTGATGGTGTGATAAGAGACTACTGCCGACCACGAACATCTGCAGCTCAGGTTTTGAGCCTCTACCCCCAGAATCAGATCAATCAAATTTTTTTCGTTGCTTATTTGCAGTTCATTATTAAAGTTTCAAAACAAAAGCGAACCAACCTGCCGTAGCCATTAGGGAATGTAAGCGTATACTCCTCGCCAGTTTCCAGCAGAGTGACCAAGCCTCGTCCAATGTTGTGCACACCGATAGACAGTCCCAAGAACTTGCTCTTTGTCCACACCCACGCTTCGAACTGGATGCGTTTGTTCACGTGTTCCGCGTAGAAGGCTGATATTGGAGGGTGGTGGGACACCTGTTCTGCTACGAACGACAGCTGGTCTGGAGTACACCAGGGGACTGGACCATCTCCTACTTTTAGCTGGAAGGATGAGAAATAATAATAATGATGGTAGCCTGATCCCAAACTAGGCCTAGCTTGTACAAAGGTAACCAGACTGCTGATAGACATATCTATAAATATTTACATAAAGATAAGTTACAACCAGACAGAACAAATGATCGTGCTTATCACACAACTATTTATCTTCGGTGGGAATCGAACCTGCGACCTCTGGCTAGCAGTCAGTGTCACTAACCGCTACACCAAAAGGCCCGTCAAATAATATTTATTATTATTTATTATATATGGTTATATTATTATTGATTTTGCAATTTACCTTTTCAATAGGTATACGAAAACATAAAAGCGTTAGAACGCGACTCTCTTAAATGATTGTAACTAAATGATATTTATTTCTATAGATAAATTTAATCTGTTAGAAAAAAAATCGCTTACCTTGTCAAGACTATTGGAATGAGTGTCAGGTAACGGGTCGAGGTCCCAGTGGCAGCGGAAAATCTCACCCAGAATGGGGTTGTATGGCTTTTTGGCGACCTGGGATTTGCGACCGGCGTGATATGAGCTCAAGTACCATCGCACCACTTGTACCATGCGGTCTCGGGGTGTGGGCTGGTCTACTATCCTGGACAAAGATATATTTTGGATTTCAAATCTTTCACGTAAATTTATAAAAAAATTATATATACCTAATTCAACGATAGCTATTTTAGTTATCTCAATATCTATATAAAATTGACCTAAAAATAACAACAAATACGTCAATGAAATTTAAGTTTAATTTTGTAACTATATGAATTTAATAAATGTAAGGGCTCTTTCACATAAACACGATACGATACGACCCTCGTCGCAGATTTCCACGATACGACATATCTTCTTTATCTAAGAGCTCTAAATTGAAGTTTTTATTTATTGGCGTTGGCGATACTTTTATTCTACAAGTTAAGTTTAAATGTTGGTACTAACTTGACGAATTGGTCAGGGTGGGCGAAGTAGTCGGCATACATCTCAAGAAGTGATCGCCTCTCCAAAATGAAAGTGGGTAGCACAACCTGTAATATACAAATATCATGGAGTTAAAAATATTGTTAAGATAAGTTAATTTTAACGCTTAAACCACTGAAATCATTTTAATGATTTTCATAAAGGGAGAAAGTGAAGAGAATTTGAAAAAAGAAAGAAAAAAAAATGCTTTTTACTATTGACAACAGGCACCCAACGCTTTTTTTCAAATTTATTTTCAATTTTTTAGTTTGGTTTTCTATAGAAAGCGTGTTTTTTAGTTTTTTAAAACTATTTTTTTTTTATAATTTAGTGTATTGTCATCGGTCCTCGATATATCTACAAAGTTTGAACGAATTCTGGCCGTTTAAAGTCAGTCAAAATCACGCCCTAAGGAGTCGTTTACAAACATACAAACAAACATACAAGTGAAGCTAATATAAAGCGTGTAAAAAGAGAAGATTTTGAGAAAAGGGAATTCAAATTAGTGCTGCGCTAATGAAAGGTGGAGGACGGCGTGTATTACGCCCCTCCGACACTTTTGAAGTTGCAAATTTATCTAAGGTGCATATAATTGCGCGATGTAGGATTAGTAGTCATAATGAAGTTCGGCTTATCCTGGGTAGATGGCGTTCTATGTTTTTTAATATAATGGCGCCTGGTTTATTCAGGAAAAAGCCTGTAGATTATGCTCGTCAATAATGAGTAAAATTCATTATTGCACATACAACTTAAAAACGGGTACTCAGTTTGATGGCATAATTTGTAGAAAGAGCGCAAAAAGATAATATAATAATAATATTAATCGACGACATTTGTATCAGTGGCAGTTGAGTGACAAGTTATCCGGCCATTAGTCTTACATAGTTAGTAGAATACGAAAAATGCAAAACTATTTCGAGGACTGTCCCTCGACAGTCTCTTGATACCATATTGAAATAGCAGAATTGAGACCCTGAAGTGTTTTGTCACGTCTGGTCACGGTACAAAAGTATATATAATGGCATAAATACAATTAAAACCGTCGAAATTTGATCAATGATCAATGAAAAATGATATATTCAATGTTAATTAAATAAATTTTAGTCGTAATATTAATACGCACGATGTACACACTATGCGGATATGAAAGTTATGAAGATTGTTACGTCACTTCTAAGTGACCTAGAATTAACAAAAGTTTTCTGTTTAGCATATTTTTAAAACAAATATTAATTAAATATTAATGATCATACTTATAACAATTAAAAACAATATTCGTCGAAGTTTTATTTATAATTTAATTACCTAAATAATGTTTGGCATATCAGATTCACGTTAAATTTTAGTTGAATAAGTATCATTAGGGAACAAGTATTGTGTAAAAACATTTGGCAATATTTGGTAACAATTTATAAAAACATTGACAAACACAAAGTTTAAGTTATCAAACTGTTTTTGAAATTTCAAGAATTGTAAGCATATTTTATGTATGCTAAAGTAAAGATATTGAAGAGTTTTTCTTTGATTTCTTATTTAAACCTGTAAATCTTTGGATGTAACAGTCGAAACTATCAGGTGAAACCCAATTCTTCAGAAAGGTTATAGACCCGTATGTGCGCAACAGTAACATCATCATCATCATCATCATCATCAACAGCCTTTAATAGTTCACTGCTCGACATTAGGCCTCTCCTTAGAAAGAAGGCAAACAGTGATAATAAACAACAAACAGTCGGATTCTAAATAGTCTTTTCGAATTAGTCCAACGTGAATAAAACTGTAGGGATAGGCTAGAGTATTATTATTAGCGCGAATTACATTATTAGTAGACTGACTCTTACTGTATGTAATATAAAATATGTTACAGTCAGAACTCTTAACCGGGCAAAAGCATTATTAACTGCCAAAATCAGTCAAAAGTTATTTTGACCGCAACATCATACTGTTATAACCTCATCTAACCCGAATGATTCACCAACAACAGATGTATTGAAAGCGAAGCAGTCAAAATTACTACTGCCCAATGTCTGTTAAAAATACTTTACGTCATATGTTCTGACTTTACGTATACAAGTCCCTATGTCAAGTAAAGAAGAATGCGTGGTATAACGACGTGCTTAAACATTTTAAAGAGCGCACTATCCTCTCAATAAATATCTAGAATAGAATAGAAATAAAGCAAGCGTAGAAAAATATGAAGTCGATCATAAAAGCATTTTATTTCGTAGATATCTAATACCTACCCACGACTTTATTTTGTCCTTAGATATAATTTTATGAGAGACTGTTTCGTTCCCAGAGGAGGCGTAAAGACATTTGATATGAAAAAGGAATGATATTTAAACTTATTTCAGGTTTAGTTCATGGCATTTTTAAGTACATATTTCCCCGTAGTTTAAGCGCGGGTTTATGGCTACTGGTATGCTTCAAGGGTATCTACTTGTATCTTTCAAATATTAGAGCGTTTGAGTAAAATAATAAACAGTTTGTTTTATGGATTGAATTTAATAAGTTGTAGATTTTAATAAATTAAATTCTTAAGAATACATACTATTTAAGACAATTATTAAATTTCAAGGTTTGATGATAATTAATACTGTTTCACTGTATTTTCATTAAGGTATATATATACTATAAACTGGTTAAACACGCTTACGATTCGCTGGAATTTCGAATTCTTTGTTTTATTTTATTTGTTGCTTATTTCTTTCTTGACGCTGAGCTGTTTTATTATAGTCCATCAACGTCGTGCGCGACCGTCCTGCGGGGTGACAGACGGTGGCGGGGACGAGGTACTCAAGATGTAAGCAGGTAGCGGGTGGTGTAGCGGCTTCCCCGGTACACCACGCTAAACGCGATAGGCACACTTCTCTTCGTGTGTAGCCGTGTGCTAGAATGACGCGCTACCTCGCCCCCGCCACTGTCTGTCACTCCGCGGGACGGTCGCGCACGAGATTGCCGGGTTATAGCCAATTTTTTGATGATGATAGGATACTTTTCTTCATCAAAATTCGCGAGGCATTGTTTTATTTATGGTATAGGGTAAGTGGCTACCATCGCCACCTGCAACTGCAACTATAGAGCCACAAGTGTGTTGCCGCTCTTTAAGCCCCTAGAATCAGTTACTGGATGGTTTAGTGTCGGTCACCTCACTCACTTGGTGAAAATAATGGTTAATACCGGTTTTCTACAAAAGCCGCGGAAGACGCAGGCGGCAGGGGACACATTACCTTACTTGGGATTTCCTTTCTAGGGTACACCTGGTTCCCCAGCTACTGGTACCCGAGACGGAATCGGACGGATATCCGCACAGAAAAAAAGGGGACACTACCGAATATAGTAGAATCAATCGGTAGGCCTATCTGCTAATTTCCTAATCAGTTACTTATTAGGTACAGGCGTATCCGGAAAACTTTATATTAAGCGTAATAGAAGTACGTAGATTATATCGAAATACAATTTATACATTAAGTTTTAAAATAACCTTCTTTTTTATGTAGGTACGACATGGTAAATAATAATTAAGAAAAGGAAAACATACCACTCACCCACGGTATGTAAACCACAGCATTGACAATAGTCAGCGAATAAACACAGTGGGGGAGGCAAAGCCTTCCTCTTACATTTAAAGCCGTAATGCGCAAATTTCCGCTGGCACTTTGCCACTACAGTAATACTTCGGAAGCATAGCAGAATATGATAATTGCAAATAAGGGACTAGTCCATATGCTTAAAGAAGATAGGTACGCATCGATTAAGTTCCGCACCCTAACCAATCAGATTCCATGCTTTCGTACGAAACGATAATCTTTGCAATACGTCACTATTTTCTTAACGCGAATGAGCTATAGGTACATACCTTAGTGAGATCCATTCCAATCTTGACTTGCGATAGTAGATGAGTGACAACCGAGCCGTGGTTCTCCATCGACCCGAGATCACTGTCCGATTCATCTTCGTACAGCGCTGCAACAATAGGAAAGAGACATTTCAGTAAACTGACTTTGTGGTATGGAGGAGAAGGGTACAAGGGTACTCGCAATTCACAACTGCGTCGCCGAACTTTAGTACCTGTTTTCTTGAGGTTTGAAGTTTAGGTTTGTACCATAATCCTTGAGAAGCACACATAGTGATGGGGATGGAAGTTTTCTCGCGCTCTGGCCGGTATTTTAGAGTGCAACCAGAATTTAGTTATTAAAATATCATAAACGGTAACCATGTGTTAGTATTTCGAAAATAGTATACGAATTATTATATTTTAGTAAACAATACACTTTCTACGTTATTATGTAGAAAGTGTATTGTTTACTAAAATATAATAATAGTCTAGGCAACGAAAAATAAAGTTAACGTATTTATAACTACTTTAAAACTATTAAACATACGAATTCGCTCGAATCCTCCTAATTTATACTCTTTAGATCCGCTGGTAATCGCTGAAGTGTGCTGTATGAGATATGAATTATTTTTCAATTGTTGTACAAGTACCGTTTACTTTAATGGTCGGATTTTAGGCAGACTGGTTTTGTTTATGAATCTCCGTCTATAGTGCCTGTTAACTTTATACTAGTGACTAGTAAGTTTATTTGTTTGATACGTTTTCACACCTCAATTACACAACCGATTATGATGTCATAGTATTGTATATAGATTTATCAAAGGGACAGAAAAGGACAACTTCATTTAGAAAAAAAGTACTAATTCGGAGGGATAAATTGATTGGCAAAATCTGTGGGTAACAGCTGGCTTTACTTAGGGTTCGTTTAGAGCACACTGGTCACCTGATGGCAAGTTACTATCAACCCCATCGAAACAAGTGCATGAGATTTGTCTAATTATTTGTGGTCATTAGGAGTTCTCTTTTTTTTGTTGTAGCATTCAGATCGTTCAATAAATATTCAGCAGATTTAGTCACATCTGTGTTCCCTTTACTGTTGATGTGCGTGAGGAATTCTTCGTTTTGGTATGTGTTTGGCTTCGTTCGGTTTGGTAGGTACTTTCGAATGAATATTCTTTCTAGTTTATATGTGTTTGTTTTTGAAAAATTATGTGTTTATACCTGCATTTAATGTAAATATAAATAGACAAACAGTTCAGTCTGCATTACAATCGGTCGGTACACCCATCTATTTTACATGTGTCATTTTACAAATAAGGTCCTGTATAGTCTGTATACCACATTGTATGATAATGTCGAATGGCACAATCTGACGTAAGGGTACCTCTCTGACGTCAGCTTTTAAACAAATGCATGGTGGGAATGCGTCTATGAATATTATGGATGGCTGCATTCGCGGCAAGAGTTTAGTAATATTAACAGTCGTACGTTGTCAGCTTTGAAATTAATTAATATACATATTTACGGTATTTTAATTACTGCATACAATATATAATAATATTTCGGACATCTAACACAACGCGATCTAGTTTGAAACTAATCAGAGCTTGGACTATGAAAGCAAGATTGACTGATAGAATATTTATTTACTTTTTTTTTTTAATAAAGGGTGTCTTAGTAAGAGTGCACGTTTTTGGAATAAAAACACGTATTTTATGTATTATATGTATATGTTCAGTGTGTACTATAAAGAATAATGTGTGTACTATAAATGTTGTGATATTTTTATTGGATTGTAAAGAAGACATGTGCCGATTAAGTAAGAAATAAAATATCCGGCAAATGGCCCCCACGGCTCTGATGACAGGCCATTACTCTATTCATGAAATTTTCCATGATTTTTACACAGAGATGTGGCTGTATCTCACCGATGGCGCGTTGGATCTCGGATTTCAGCTCAGGAATTGTTTCTGGTTTATTCGCATAAACCCGAGATTTCACAACACCCAAAGAAAAAATCGCACGCCGTTAAATCGCACGATCTTGGTGGCCAGTTGAGGATTTTCTTAGCCCCAAATTCGACAATTTTGGGTATTCACGTAGCCATTCAGATGGAAATGCGCTTCATCGGACAAGATGACTTTTTTCGAAAAATTGGCATCGACTTCACTTTGCTCCATTACCCATTGAACGAATTGCCGGCGCTTTTCATGGTCTGCTGGTTTGAGCTCCTGAGTTAGCTGAATCTTGTACGTATGAAGGTGGAGGTAGCAGCGAATTTTGACAAAAGACCTCCACGCTTCGTGAAATCTGAAGTTGTTGAGAACGATGACGAATTGATTTTTTTGGGTTTTCGGCGACACTCGTTAACAGCAGCAATGTTTTCAAGAGACTGACCGGTACGTTGACACAGGATTCTTAATATCCATAATCGACCCAGTTTCTTCTTCCCAATTTTTTGTCTTGGGTGCACTTTCTCGACTGAAAATTTGGCGAAGTTTGCGAGCGGTTTCAGCGTAACTTTCCCCATTTTTGTAATGAGTTTTCACAATTATCAAAGCGAAAAGCGCTCCATTTTTAGGGTTCCGGTTAGGTAAAAAGGAACCCTTATAAGATCACATTCTTGTCCGTGTGTCACCACCGATTTTCTCAGGACCGGGTAGACCAGATACTGAGGTCTATAATCCCTATTAGGTGTAAAAAATCAAGGTCCTGAGTCAACACGATAAAAAGATATGGGCCAATTTCGATTTTCGCGAAAACTTGTAAGTACCAAAATTTACCTTAATTTTCAATTTTTTTATTTTTGAGAATTTTCTCTTTACTTGTGCTATAAGACCTTGCTTTTAACCTAAATTGACAATTCTAGGTCAACCGGAAGTACCCTATAGGTTTTGGGTAGAAAACCTATATGGTAGTTCCCGTTGACTTAGAATCATGAAATATGGCAAAAGAAAGGTCTTACATCACAAATAAAGGAATAATTAAAAAAAAAGTTGAAAATTAAAATAAATTTTGGTACTTACACATTTTCGTGAAAATCTACGTAAAATCTGGGTAGGTACGGAACCCTCGGCGCACGAGTTCGACTCGTACCTGACTGGTTTTATTTATAATCGGAATAAACATAGGTCAAAAAGCTGTCAAATTTCAGAGTTGCCCCTTGCACGAAAAAAAATGATTCTAAATTTAAAAAGTGCACCCTTGACATACATATTATACATAGAAGACACCAACTTCGAAACAAATATTTGCAGTTCATAGAAACATTTGGTCAGACCAGGGGATCGAACGTTAGCACATCAGTCGCATACGCTATCACTGCACCACCAAGGTAGTCATATATGTAAGAGTATTGTGACTTTTACTGACAGTATTGTGTCGCTGTTATTGTTGTGTTGTATCTCGTCCAGGCAACCATAGGATGGATAGAGAAACCTTGGTGTTTAATTACTTAGTTATCGACTAATCATCCTCATTCACACATTCAAACTCAAACTCAAACTCAAACTTTCTTTATTTCATAAAATTTCCAAAATTGTTTGAAATCGTCTTCCATGTAGACTCTAAAGTCATAGCAACAATCTCTGTTTTGTCAAATAGTAACCAAATAAATTTAACAAAAATTAAACCCATACAAAATCTATGATATGCCTGTGCCGATCTACAACCGCCCGTTTCCAAGTGGTTGAGCCTTATGAGAAGAAAGGGCAAACAAACTCATGGCCACTCTTTTGCAATTCACAAGTAGATACAATGGCACTATTAAATATATCACAACATTGTTTTGATGTGTGCTAGTATGTCCGTTATTAAGGACTTAAAGGTGAAAAAAACAACGAAGAGAAAACAAGATTAAAAAGAAAAAAAATTATTCCATCCCATATCCCGTTCACAATCCATGGGATTGGTGAATCCTATCCTCGTCGCCATTGTTACGTACAACTCTGTGTAAAAAGTATCGGGAATATGTCAATAAAAAGACCCGCGTAAAAGAGGTCGTTCTAATTTTTTTACTGCATGTTGGTAGCACTGTACTGATTAAGCGCGCAAAATTTGAGCGGGATCGGTCATTTAATTTGTTTTAAAGTACACTTTTTGTTGGTGATAGTTTTGAGTCCTCGGCGATTTTTACAATGGAAAATATTGTTGAACAAAGAGTGTGCCTTAAATTTTGTGTTTCGAATGATATTTCTTGTGGTGAATCACTAAAAATGTTGCGAAATACCTACGGCGAATCGTGTATATCAAAAACAAGGGCTTATGAATGGTATAAGGCTTTTAAAGAAGGCCGAGAAGTAGTAGTAGACTTGCCTCGTTCTGGTAGACCTTCAACCGCTACGACCAAAGAAAACATCGACAGAATCAAGAAGCTAGTGCTCGAAAATCGACGTATGAGTCTGAGAGAGTTGGCTAGTGAGGTGAACATATCTTTTAAGTCCGTCCACAACATTATCATTGACAATTTAGGCATGAAACGCGTCGCAGCTCGACTAGTTCCAAAAGAGCTTAATTTTGTTCAAAAAGCGCAGCGAAAGCATGTCGCTGAAGACATGGTTTCCCGAGCTTCTACGGATCCGACCTTTATGAAACGTATAATAACTGGCGACGAGACATGGGTTTATGAGTACGACATGCAAACAAGCCAAGTCTTCAGAATGGCGTCTCGAAAACGAGCCGAAAACAAAAAAACCGCGGCAAAGTCGCTCCAAAATCAAGGTGATGCTGACAGTTTTTTTTACTACCGTGGTGTGGTTCACTCCGAATTCCTTCCAGAGGGAGAAACAGTGAATAAAGAATATTATTTAGGCGTCATGAAGCGTTTGCGTGAGAGTATCCGCCGAAAACGTCCAGATTTGTGGCAACACAACTCATGGATGCTGCACCATGATAATGCACCATCACACACAGCCATTATAGTGAAAGAGTTTTTAGCGATAAATTCAACAAAAGTTCTCGACCAAGCACCGTATTCACCTGATATGGCTCCGTCTGACTTTTTTTTATTTCCAAGTTAAAATTACCACTTCGAGGAAAACGTTTTGAGTCGATAGAAGCCATAAAAGAAAATTCGCTGAATGAGCTAAAGGCCATACCGCAAATAGCCTATGAAAAATGTATGGAAGACTGGGTGAAGCGGTGGAGATGTTGTATTGCAAGCGATGGGGCCTACTTTGAAGGCGATGAAATAAATTTAGATGAATAATTTGTATTTTTTGTTTTATTGACAAATTCCCGATACTTAGTACACATAATGTATGTGGGAACAAGTGAAACGCGTGCAGGTTGAGTGCGTACTGCCGTTTATTCGCATAAACAATACACGCAGACACTATAGACACATAGATACATATATAACACAAATGGTTATGTGTTTAATCGAAGCAAGTATATGATACCACATATAAAGAGTTATAGGATTATAAGAAATACGTAACAAATATCTCTTCTTACCGTCATAGTCAATCTCCCCATCTCTTGTCCGTGGCAGGTCGACGGCGGGCTGCGTCGAGTCTTGCTCGGCCGCGCCCTCCGCCGGACAAGTGCGACTTGCACTGTAACAATAAAAAGTTTTTTATTAACAAATGAAGCATAACATAGAAATGGCTTTTTTTGACAAAACGTCAAAATTTTGAAGTTTCCGCAGCCAGTATTTATTTATCGTATTTCGTAGACGGAACTGAATTGTGACCGAACTTTTATTACGAGAATTGACCTTCTGGTCGAAATGTACGGCGAATCAAAAGTATGCCTATTAAATAAAAACCAAATGTAATTCTTTACAAAAAGAGTTAAATTTGCAGAACACACTATTTAATAAAATACTTATCAATCTAAAGACTTGTGTTAGGAGTGTGCTCAGGTGGGTAGTGCCTACATGGGACTTGAACGCAACCACTAGGTTGCAAATCCCATGTCTCAGTCACTACCGCTGCTAAAATTAATATGCGTGACGCTGATAAGTGTAGGTTCAATAATACCGTTTATAAAAGTATTGGAGCTGAAAAATAATAAATGGCTAGTCACGTGCCTTGGTCACTGACGACCGCGTTCACAAACATAAATTAAATTAATGTTATATTTTTTCCGTTATTTAACTGCCGGCAAATGCAATTATGCTTACTAAACAAAAAAAAATTACACCATACACTCGGCAGTCTGATCTAAAACTTTGCAGAGCATGTACTAAAGCAACCAGTAATAAAAGTATATGTGTACTTTTAATACATCAACATTCTTTAATAGTCCACTGCTGGACATAGGTCTTTCCTTAGAAAGAGGTTTTGGCCTACTGTACCACGCTGGTCAGACGGGTTGGTATAGGGTTTATTTCAGGTTTGCCTTCTCATTGCAGTGCTGTTGTTCTGCGTAGTTTGCTCCCTTGGTCGGTTCTTACGACACCCACGGGATGAATAGGGATGGTCACACTACGTAATCTTAATCCCTCACCACACGGACACATTAATAGATAAACTATTTCCAGCGAGTATTTACTAAAGAAATATTATACAATTATTTATCCTGGGTGGAAATCCTGGTCTTTTGGCTCAGTATTCAATAGGTATGTAGCTATTCAATATTTACTATGATTTGAATGGAAACATACTTTAGAATAAACAATATCGTTCGTGAACGAAAATTTATGACTGAACTTCAGGATCAGGAGACTCCTAGCGACAAACTATAACTATAAATCTTCGACATGTATATAAATGGATGTCCGTCCGTCCGATATATGTACGAGGCCGTTAAACTCCAACACCGCTTGGCTGAACTCTTTTAAGACTAGCTATTGTGGAACTCACGAAGAGTGCTCGAGTGCCTACTGATAGGTTTTCAAGTATTCTCGAGCTTTTTAAATTTTAGAAGAACAAAAAACCGACTTCAAAAACAATGACGCAAAGAAATATTTCTTCTGAAAGGATATCTGTGTATAACTTCACTTGCATCACAACAACACACAGGAAGTACCTACGGAATCGTAATGGTTCCGTAGGTACTTCCTGTGTGTTGTTTACTTACATTAAGATTACTACATCAGAGTACTACATACATATATTGTCACTTTCATCGCAGTCACGATAAATTGTAATCTAGGTCTTCATTTTCCACCCTTAGACGTAGAATTTAAAAGGAAACAACCTTGACTAGAATCAATTCAATTAATAGAATGAGTGTAATCGTACTCATACACGAAAAAAATGAACCAAATTGAGGAGAAATTCATTAATTCCGTCTCCAGAATCAGGGGCGAGCAAGTGAAGTCAACGGAGCCCAAACCCCCCTTTTGATTGGTGAAAAGTCACGAAAGAATTGCTTTTTGTGAAGACGAGGTTTCACTCCGGTCAAACCGGCCAAATTGCGCCAAAGCAAAACAACATGCACAGAAAAAATATTTAAGTCTCCTTTTTAACCGACTTCCAAAAAGGAGGAGGTGCTCAATTCGTCGGAATCTTTTTTATGTAGGTTCACCGATTACTCCTAGACGCCTGAACCGATTTGGAAAGTTATTTTTTTTTGTTTCAAAGGGTATACTTCGAAGGTGGTCCCCATTTAAATTTTTTTGGAAAATTATAAAAAATCTAAACATCGCATACATCGATGATATTTTGGTTTACTACGAAAGCTCACCGTCTCATTGGAGCAGTGATGTTAGTTGTCTATAGTATAGTATAGACTCTATACTAATATTATTTAATTTTTATTGCTCTTTGTTAGTATTGTTTGAAGTCGGTTCAACCTTTTTTTTGATATTTATAAATTATTATAGATATATTTTAGAGAGAGAAAGAGAGAGAGGGAGAGAGAGGGAGAGAGAGCCTTATGATAATAAAAACACAGTTTACCTTCAATTATTATGACTCATAACGAAGTTCACGCGCACTTTTATTGGCACGAATGCAAATAAACCGACACGTAAGGCACAACATAAATTGCTTCACGCCACAATAACTGTTTGCGGATCGGTTTTATTATCTCGTGAGTAACTGGCGATTACGTTTATGAGTTGTACGGGTATGAAAGCTGGAATTAAGAGAAAAGTTATATTGTTACCTTAATAGGTACCATAAACGATCAAGTACCTACTTAATCCTTTATGGTAGCGTACGATAATGTATTTTAATGGTGTAAGGATGACAAACGATGGAAAAATATTTGGCTTATGTTCACCTACAATCCAAGAGCCATAAATAAGGGCTGGAATTGTAAAACTAATTGATGATAGAAGTAATAGATTTTGTCTTCAGCCATTGCAACCAAATAACCAAAGGAATTGTTAATATCGATTTTCTCTGATGCCGTGGTGTCACTTATATTTACATTATTGTTTTGACGGGCCTGTTGGTCAAGTGGCTAATGACTCTGACTGCTAAGCAGGAATTCGTGGGTTCTATTCTCACTCAGGACAAATATTGTGTGATGAGCACGGTCATTTGTTGTTTCTGGTGTAATTTATCTATAATATGTGTGTGTTTAAAATAATATAGCACAGGCTCTGCCTAGTTTGGGATCAGACGGCCGTGTGTAAGGTATTCTTTAATACTATTAGGGAACCCAGATACACACACATTCATGCCTCGGTGGTGCAGTGGTAGCGTATACGACTGCTATGCTAAGGTCTCAGGTTCGATACCAGGGTTGCACCAAATGTTTGTACGATCTGCTAATATTTGTTTCGTCGTTTGGGTGTTTTCTATGTATGATATGTATGTACTCGTATTTACAAGTATATCAGTATTCTATCAGTCAATCTAGCTTTAATAGTACAAGCTCTGCTTAGTTTAAAGCTAATTGGCATTGTATGTCAGATGTTCGAAATATTATTATTCTCTTTATTAAATTATAAATACATATTTATTACATTTTGAAATACATATTTTACAAAAGAAAAAAAATACATTTAAAAATATAAAAAATAGAAGACCGCCGACATCGGGTAATAGACCAAGACACGGGTGGTTAGGACTCCAAAGATAGAAACCTCCTCATTATACAAGCCGTGACAAAGAGGACCGCCTTCTGCATCAGACCCTCGAGCCAGACGTCCAACGTGAGCCTCTTAAGGTGTTTTATTATTATTATTAATACTATTAGGCATCACAGGTACACATACAATCTGTGTGTAGAAGAGGGTTAACTACTGACGTACGTTTTAGGAATTTGATAGGAAAATTATGAAGTATAAAATTATTAAACCATTAAGAAGGTTAAGGTAATATTGGTCATCTGCGGCGGAGTGGTGTTGGCGGTGTCCTTGGACATCGCCAACGCCTTCAATAGTCTGCCATTCAGCTGCGTCAGGGAAGCGCTCCGCTACCACGGAGTGCCGGAGTACCTGAGGCGGCTGGTGGCAGACTATCTTGAGGAGCGAACCGTCATGTACGAGGACCGAGATGGCGTCTTGAGACGCAGGGCCATGTCGTGCGGTGTTCCGCAGGGGTCTGTCCTAGGACCTCTCCTGTGGAACATCGGGTACGACTGGGCCCTACGAGGGCGTCTCCCCCCCGGGCTGGGTGTAATCTGCTACGCGGATGACACCTTGCTCACGGCCCGGGGGGCTAACTTCCAGGAGGCGGCGCGCCTGGCCGCCACGGGAGTTTCCCTGGTGGTCGGGCGCATTGAGACGTTGGGCTTGCGGGTGGCCCTGGATAAGACGGAGGCCCTATTATTTCATGGGCCCCGTCGTGGTCCACCCGCCGGCGCCTCAATCGAGGTCGGCTCGGTCCTCGTACCGGTCCGGGCCCAGATGAGGTACCTGGGTCTGGTCCTAGACGGTAGGTGGCTCTTCGACGAGCACTTCCGACAGCTTGGTCCGAAGCTGGTGGACACTGCCTCCGCCCTAGGGCGACTTTTGCCCAATTTGGGCGGGGCCAGTGTTCCCACGAGGCGGCTGTACGCGGGGGTTGTCCGGTCCATGGCGCTTTATGGTGCACCGGTGTGGGTGGCGGCTCTGACCGCCCCGAATAGGGCGCGCCTCTGGCGCCCCCAGAGGATATTGGCGGTCAGAGCCATACGCGGATACCGCACGGTGTCCACCGAGGCGGCTTGCGCCTTGGCCGGAACACCCCCGTGGGATTTGGAGGCGGAAGTGCTCGCCGAAGTTTATCGGCGAGTGGCTGACTTCCGGGCGGAGAGCGGATTTCGCCCTCCGCCCGAAGACGTGCGCGAGTGGCGTGAAGCCGCTCGCCGAGCCACCATGGTGAGATGGTCGTTCCGGCTGGAGACTCCACGCGCTGGCTTCGCCGCCGTGGAGGCTCTCCAGCCGGTCATCGCCGAGTGGGCAGGGCGGCAGCACGGGACCCTTTCCTTCCGGCTGACGCAGGTGCTTTCCGGGCACGGTTGCTTCGGAAAGTACCTGTACTCGGTCGCTAGGAGGGAATCGAGTCCCGCCTGCCACCACTGCGACTGCAGTGAGGATTCGGCCCAGCACACGCTGGCGGTTTGCCCCGCATGGGCGACGCAGCGCCGGGCCCTTACTGCAGTCATCGGAGCAGATCTCTCGCTACCGGCCGTAATTCGCTCCATGGCCGGTAGCGACAGTTGTTTTACCGCGGTCGCAACCTTCTGCGAGGAGGTAATCTCGCAGAAGGAGGCGGCGGAGAAGGCCCGGGAGGACGACCTCCACTCGGACCTGATCCGCCGCCGGCGAACCGGGCGGCGGAGGCGCGCTTACCTGCGCCTCATGCCGCCCTGAGTGTGGCCGCGGGTGGACGGGATGGGTTCTCCCCTCCACCCGCATTAGTTGGCCAGCCGCGAGGGGGCGGCGTCCGCGTGTGCCGGACGTCGCCTAAAGAGAGGAAAGATCAGAGACGGGGCCCGCAACAGGAGCGGGCCGGCGCTGGGAGGGGTCCAGAAGGCGATAACTACCTGGACCCCTCCTACACTGGAAGCGCAAAGAGGGCACACCGTGTGGTTTTAGTCGGTTCGAGTCCGACACACCGCCCCGCCGAACGAGAGCCCCGGCGGGGTGACGGTCCGAGGGGATTTCCACACGTAAAAAAAAAAAAAAAAAAAAAATATTGGTCATACGAATGGATTGGCTCAAGTGGTGGGGGTTAAATTCCTATAACCAGAACTGTAGAGCTACCGTTAACAAACTTTTTAAGTACTTGAAGTGTGTTTATTTATTTTTATGGCTGCTAAAAAGGTGGATATTTTTTATTCATAATTCGTTAGTGCTAAGCAATATAACACCTATACAGTACCTTTAATCTATACTCTCTATGTAGTGATATCATAAGCCCGATTAATATATGCTTGATTCAGACAAAAAACCATTAATTTCGTATTCCGTAACCGAATAATAAAATTTAATTTTTATTAATTAAATAACATAAATTGGACAGGTTTTTACCAACTTATCAAATAATTTATTACTAATCAGGTTTTAACATAATAGGCTAGCTCACGATAACTAGTTTAGCATGAGCTATTAGAATTATGATTTTGACCGACTTCAAAAAGGAGGAGGTTATCAATTCGCATGTTTATATTTTTTTTACGTAAATTCGTGCATAACGCCGTCATTCTTCAATTCTTCAGTTTTTCTTTTATTTTCACGGAACACAAACTCTCCCCTTCCTCTGACTTTGGGGGAAGAGAGTCAAAGGGCCGTAATGCACCTATGACTCTTTGAGTATGTACGTCGGTTATCGCGGTAAATAGTAGCCTATGACCCCTCTCAAGAATCAAACTATCTCCATATCACTTTTCATATACCTTCAAGAAAAGAGCGTACTCCTTCCTAAAATGCCGGCAACGTACTCCTGAATTGCAGACGTTCATGGGCAGCGATAGTCACTTTCCATCAGGTGACCCGTCTACCCTCTCTAACATAATAATAAAAAAAAACAGTTCAGCGGTTATTAAATCCCCATACAAACTTCCACTCCCCTTTTCACTCCCTTAAAAGATGGTTTCTGGGATAAAAACTATCCTATGTCCTTTCCCGGCACTCAAACTATCTCTACATGAAATTTCATCTAAATAGGTTCAGCGGTTTAAGCGTGAAGTGGTAACAAACAGACAGACACACTTTCGCATTTATAACATTAGTATGGATAAATCTATCTGTATGCCAAATCATGCGTTAAGCCGTTCTGGCCTGATTGAGTAACAAACATCCATTTATAAAAACTTTCACATTTATTGCCATCATATTTATTTAATATAGGGGACAGCGGTTGAGATTTATACAATGTAAAAAAACAAGACAAGTTTGAACCGGACTTAAATTCGTGCATTTTAAGAATCCATTTCTTTAGAGGTACGGTGAGAAAAGTGCTCTATAGGCTCTACCTGTGATTTATTTAATATTTAGGTACATTACATAGTAGCAGGTACGTATATTTTGCTTTTAACATAAAAGCTTCTTTTTTACAACTTCAAGACAAAGAGGTTATAAGGATTTGACGTTAAACTGATTTGATATTTAACTTAATATCTTTACACGTTCCTTAGAAAAATGGCCTTGACAGACAAACAGACAGACGGCAACAGTGTGAAACTAAAGAATCGCGTTTTCTTGGGGAACGAAAGTTTAAAAACAAAACAATTTACGAACGGGCTACATTCGAACAAGAAAGGTTGGCTGGTAGAGAATGCCTTGGGCATTAAGCCCGCCGTTGTACACAAGTGCATAAAGTTGTAAATAAATAAAAAAAATAAAAAAAACATTCGAATTAAGAACTAATTTTGGAATAAACAGATTTAATATTTTTTTGCTAGCAACACATATTATATATATTAAAAAAAACAACAATATTGGAGTGTCACTGACATTATAAAAAAAAAAAACAAAATTACGTAACCTACTTAGCGCTATCAGTCAGGACTGAAGTAGTACTCTGTTAATATATTAGACTATTAATCAGCCTGCGTAGTCCGCAAGGTGGCGTTGCTGAGACGTCTCAAGACACCAATGCAATTTATGACTAAACTTAAGGTGCTTTACGGCAGATGGTGTAGAAACATATTTTCAATTATTTCTGGCAATTCTATGCTTAAAGGTTTTCATAAAAAGTGACGATGAAGACGTCTGACCCAATTCAATCCTCTCTTACACACAGACCAGTTGTGTGGTAGGACCATGTAGCTGATATACGAATACTATACACCAAAAATGAAGGATGTATTCGCTTAAATTTTAGTGGAGTTCCTATGCTTTTGAGAGACCCCAGACTGCTCTCTAATAAGTGGTCACATATTACACACAGGCAAAATGTTTGGAAAAGAATCCGCTAAGTAATTTA